AAATGTGTAATATCTCCTTACATGGGTGAAAAGAGAATGCCATTTATGAATTTTAAAATAGAAAATGCCAAAAACTTAAAGATGGAATTTAAAAAAATACTAAGATTTAGCATATCTATTCACTGAGATTTAATCATTAGCCAGCACACAGAGATATAAAGAGGCTTTGTGAAAAAAAGCCAGGGCAATAAAATTATTTACGCGAAACATGTGCTTACCAGCGTGCTTGTGAGCTCATATTGCCAGGAGCCCGTTTAATTACACGATCACAGCCCAGACGCTTCTTGCGAAATGTACTGACTATCAATTTCAGAGATTGATTCTTCAGTTTCCAGCACTAGGGAAAAATTTATCGTATCGCAAGCATGTCCATCATAGCTCGAGCATTAGGTATGCCTCGAGATGTCGAGCGAAGAGAAAGTGGCTTCATTTTTTGTGAGACAAACCATTTCTTGAAGTTCGAATGAATCGAATAGAAAGCATGATAACATAGCGCTAAAAAGTACTATGACCAGACAATGAAATTTACTCCTCCCGTGGTAGGATTGATACCATTTTACCCGTGAGTCTGTTTGCACCACCCTTTCGCGCTCGGTAATTTCATTCTCAGATGTTTCACGGGTTCTCACATGACAATATTTCCAAAATCAAATTACCGCGTCAGACTTAATGTAAACATGAACATCGCTAACTCAATCTCATTATATTTCAATTTTGGGAAATTAAAGCTATAACTTTGTTCTTAGAGTAAGAAAAAAAGCACGATTTTTTAAATGAATAATGTATACCATGCGATAGCTAACTGAAGAGAGAATGATAGAAACTTGCTCACGCTGTTCGCTATCATTTTTAAAACTTTCCAGGCAAGACATAATCCGTAAGTTAACTTATTTTCCCTAAACACCACGACTGTATTAAACATTCCAAATGGTAAGACCAGAAATAATTTTAAGAATACGAACACTTTGAAATATTATTCGAGCGATGAACTGGCGCGAGGGTTTTAAAGCGATGAATACAAACGTCATCGAAACGTGATTTGAATTATAAACTGAAGCTAGTATCAAACGAAGATTGGGAAAAAAGGTTTGAATTTTTCTGGACCTTAGCGTGAGAGAAAACCCAGATGAGACACGACTTACTCGGAACCTTTGTGGTTCGCTTCTCTTTGTTGATGACCCCTTTTCAGTTTGTTTTCTGGAGCTCTTTGTGTTTCCTTCTCACGTTGCTCTTCGCTGGATAGTCACCTTTTTACACATGCTTTTTCTTGTTCTCTTTCGCGCTCCTCTCGCCGTTTTCTGCTTATTTTAGCCTCCTTTCTAACTTTCTTGTGCGTTTTTCTCGACTCGCTTGACGCCTTTTACTTCATGCTTTCTTTAGCCGCTCTGTCTCTTTCTTTCCAGCCTATTTTCACTCAAAACCCTCTCTCCACGAACTTGAATTATAACAATTTCCTGCGGTTGACAAGCTTTAGCTCTGCCGGTATTGTTGCCTTGTGAGTTGATTAAAAATTGCAAAATGCTGAGAATTACTGTTTAACTACAACCTTACCAATTTGATTTCCCGCTCAAAACGCGTGTTGCAAATTATTTGCTCACGCGGCCTCACATCTACAAGCCCACGTGAACCCCTCGTGTAATGCCTAACTGTGTGCCCGCCGTACGCTGCACTAAAGCTCGGCACTCGAGTATGCACACTTCATTGTAATCTGCCGGTGTCTCCTGGCGCGGACTAATGAGGTATCCCAGTTGCGCGCGCAGTCGCGCCTGCGCATTACCTTCTCCTTCGCCCTTCCATTACGTAATGGCTAAGATAGTGCCTGCGCGTGCTAAAAGTAGCACCTTGTACCGACGCCCGTACGGTGTCAAGTCCAAATTTTTTCGGCTTGACGGGTTACTACTATTTTGTATACTAATAGTGCTACGCTGCGCGCGCTGCGAGCTCCGCAATTAAGAGGCTATTTCCTAGTTGGTAAATAGTAGGTAGATGAATAAAGGGGGTAACATATCAAACTCATGGGGTACAAATAGTCTTAACATGAATGTAGTGGCCACGCCCACTTCAACACCCCACTCAAATCGAGTGTAATTTTCGAATGTTCCACCATCGTGCGGATTCTCTACGGAAAAAGCACTCAATGTACCTCTGAAATATTAAACTATAATATTGTGGCTTTCTATTTCGCTAATTTTCTAACTTAAAGGTAAAGTTTTTTCCTCGTCATTTTTACCTTTTCTCCGAGCGGTTGCGTGAAATTAACAAGGCGTTTTTGATCAAAACACGACCGAGCGAAGGGTCTCGGGCGATATCTCTTTTACGCAGGCGCAAATTAAAAATGTACCGCCAGAATCAGAAAGAGGAACAAGTTTCCTTTGTTTTGATATGTAAAGTGTCGAACAAAAAGCAGATTTACCTTCGTCAAATGGCGTTTCAAAACAGCTGTATCTTCTTCCTTTTGATTTTTCTTGTTTTGTAAGCGTGAAAGCAGTAGGAGAGGGATCGGGAAACTCAGAAAGCGCTACGGGAATTAATCTGCCATCGTTTATTTACAAGATAAACAAGTAAGATTTGTGAAGTTCGTTGAAGTCTAAATAAATGCCTTTTTAAAGCTTGTTTGCCGGATTTTTCGTAAACTTCCCTGATTAATTTTTCGTTTCAGCTTACTAGTCTATACTATTTCAAAGCAATGTCAAGACGAAGACGGAGAACCATGAGTCGGTCCTTTCAACAATCGTAAACAAAGTTTTTGAGCAATCAGGTATACGAGGTGTAATAATCAATAGCCGCATATCAGAAGTCTTCAGAAAGAAAGTATTCTGTCTTCAGAAAGCTGTCAAGAAAGCTAATAATCGTGGCGGAAGGCAATTAAACGGGCCCTCGGTATCGATTTAATATCATATCGATCTCAATATCATACAGTTTTGTATCTTTCTTCCGTGGATTCGCCTTTCTAACGAGGGTGTATGTTGAGAATTCATTGCAAAATCGCTTTTTTTTTTAATTTCCCTCTTTGACCTGTCCGCCGTTTTGAAAATTCGTAACGTAGAGCATGCGCATTACGTGGGTTAGTGGTTGCGTACACCTGGAACCGAGAAAAACAAATGTTCGTCGCACTGGGGAAAGAGTTTGATATGTTTCTAAAGAAACTGTGGTGCTGCGTCGGCGGGAGAGTATAGCAGATAATTTAGTGTTAACAACTGAGTTGAAAACGTAAATTAGCCACCATAAAGGGTAAAAAAGCTGACGTTTAGAGCGTTAGCCCTTCGTCAGAGCGAGCGTAGGCTGAGTAGGTAGAGTCTCTTAGAACCTTCAAACGCCGCTTGAATTTTGAACCTGCGCTCTGAATATTTTTGGTAAGCGGGTCACTCCAAAAAAGGACAAAAAGCTGGTCATGTATTTGCACCAATTTATCTTCACTGGCTCCAATCTCGAGCCCAGGGTCATTTTGGCTCCTTGTAAGTGGTGTGGTCGCCCAAATATTATTTGGCGATCGTACAACTGTTTAACTCAAATTATGTATTGTTTAGTTTGTAATGAAGCTTTCAGGCGCGAAGCGTGAAAGAAATGGTATATCTTATATGCGTGAAACAAAAAATGTACTTACGTTTTGTGAACAAGGCGAATCGAAGTTCCCTTTTCTCACGTTCGCGCGGAGAGAAAACGGCTCCCCGCCAAAATGCAAGATTTCATGCAGAAGTATGTCTGGCTTCCACTCGCTGTCGTCGTCAATACAAAAGTCTAAATTGCTTAAGAACCCTTACAAGTCCCAACTCAGTAGCATCAGATTCAAGCTTATTTCGAACAAGCATTATCATGAAACTGTGATTAAATTCGTAAGTAACGTTTATCTAACGCAGTCTGATCTTTTAAAAGCCATTACTAATAAGTGGAAGGTAGCAGCAAAGAGCTTGTAGTAGCTTACGCATGACATATAGATCTGAGCTCGGAGTAGACTGCACGCCATTTTCCTGCGCAAAACTTCATAGGGAAATAAAAGAAATAACCACTGTCTCACAAAACAAAAAAAAGCTAAATTGAAGCGTTCGTGTTAATCTGTAAAAGGAAACAAAAGTCTTGAAAAGGAAAACCCCTGACTTTTGGAACACAAAGCTTACTCAATTATGGGTTTCTTGTTGATTTCCCATTTTGTTTGTTTAGGTTATACCATGATTTCTCTTGCAATTTGGTGTTTATTAGCACGAGTAAAGTTTTCAAAGTCAACAAAATGACACGAGCCCGTAGGGCAAGTGCAATTTGTAGTCTTTAAAAAATTTGCAAGTGCTTCTTACACCAAATTGCAAGAGAAATCATGTTATTACTTATTGATAAAAAAAAAAAAAAAACACCAAGAAAAACACCACAAAGAAAGTCAAGGCAGACGAAACTTTGAAAGCGAACGCGCGCTATTTGTAATTTGCGCTCGCGTTACAACTTTGCATTCGTGTTACATTAGAATGCACTCGTTTTCAGCGAATCAGAAGCGCGTAATTTTCTGATGTGCATTTTGACGAGCTTCATACTCCTGTAAAACACCGCGACTCACTGGCTTGCGTGGTTGTTTGTTACTCTAGTGAGACAACCTGGTACTATCAATGTAGTATCCAGTCCACCGATCTGTCAAGTGAAGTTCAGTTTGTGCATGCGTATACCGTTTTTGGAAAAAGAACGCCACGTGCTTGTAGTTGTCAGGAAGTCTAGTTATTAAAGAGTGCATTATATAGAAGCGGTTATCACAGTTAGCCTAAAAGCAAGCCACGTATTCAATCCTACATTCGCACATGCGCAGACGTTTGACCAGAAAGTACGATCCAAAACTTCCCTCCTAACAGACAGCGGCCTAGAGGTTTAATTCGTGTGCTATAAATGACCAAAGTCAATGCAGCGCTCAACGATTTACTCCTAACTTTCGATCCATCCGATCTTTTTCACTCCATCCACGTTCAGAATCTCAGTTATCCCTTCTTTTTTACTGTCTATTAAAACTCTCACCATTTTGACTCTGACTACTTGCTTTTACATGAAAGAATAACTCTCAGGAATTTTTCGTTCTCCTTATCGCCTTTCTAATGGAAAATGTACTGATTTTGAAAAAAGAAATACCTTCTTGGTCACTCTAGGAAGTGAATAAGACACATTACTAGTAAATTCGGGATAAGCTATTCTGATCTGAACGTCATTTCATGTGTCATCGGGGAAGATGGAAAAAGCTTCAATTCTCGCCAAAGGTCCCTGATACCAAATCGGTTTTACACAAAAATTAAATTGTTCAATTCTCCACAATGCCTGATTGACATACATATAAAAAAATGAGACCTTTTTTACTATTCCAAAATTACATGAATTTCGTCTCGGTAGGCACTAACAAATTTAAAGATAACTTGATAGACAAACAGTTCGCTACATTTTGTAACTAATCTTAAGTTTGTTGTCATAATTAAGCGGTTTCCGCCTGTTCATTTTTCGTTAAAAGCCTTAGAAGTCGCTTCTTGTCAGCCACTATGCGACTTTCCAAATCTTCAATTTCCCTCTTGATAGCATCGTTACTGTGCGGAGCTGACTCCCTTACTTTGGGTTCAGAGATCACCGTTGATAAAGAAGGACTGCGCGAACGGGAAACGCTATGGTGCGTTCGCGATGACAGAGACGTGCAAGCTCGTGAGAAGTATCTTGATGGTGAATTAGACCGTGAGTTTCCTGAGTCACGTGAATGGGAGTGTGAATTTCGCGATCTTGACTCGCGTGATTGGGATTTGTATGACCGCGCACCTGCCGATCTCGATCGTGATTCTCGTGATCGTGTGTCCCTTGTCCATGATTTATGTGATCGTGATTCCCTTATCCGTGATTCCCTTATCCGTGATATATGTGATCGTGAGTGTCGTGATCTGGAGTTTCGAGAGGAACACCCCGATCCTGAACGAGATCGACCATACTCCTTCGTTCGTCTACAGTCAATTTTCTCGCCGCGCGTTTTACGTTTGCTGTGAGTATGGGATGGACTTAAAGAGGAATTTCTTATCTTTTCTTGACAGTGCTTACCAGATTTTCTTGACGGAGATAAACGTTGACTATCATCTCTCAACCGTCTTTCGCTAGAATTTGATCGCCATCGACGATATTCTTCAATCGCACGCTCTTCAACCGAAAGTGAATGATCCCTTGAGCGCGTTTTAGCATTACCAGAGTGACTTCGCAAACGTTTGTCTTCTTGAATAATTCCCTTTCCTTTAGACAGCGGTCGTAATCCAGATTTTGACCGCGATTCAAACCCTTCCTTCCTTCGTTGAAACTGCGTTGGATCGTTGCACGCAGATCCTGGCCGAACAGTGGAAGATGCCGGAGAGGTAGAGGTATCACTACTGATTACAATAAACTCCTGTGGAGGTGAAAAAAATTCTGAAGAAACAGTAGAAGGATCTGTAGAACAAGACCGGCCAAAACCATTATCAACATGATTAGTATCTCTACAAAGTTTGCCTCTGTCACGTTTCTCGCTAGATCTTTTAGACTTTTTCCTTTTACGTTTGTGTTTGTGTGAGTTACGATGATAATGATGCTTCTTCTCCTTTTCCACTTGTGTCTTCTCTACAATAGTTTCCTTGGAAGATCTCTTTCTGTTACTACGCCCTATAGAGTCGGATGACGCATTGGACGCTTGATAATTTGTCATGGGTTCAATGTCTACTAGAGTTGTTTGCGGACTAACTGATGAGTTCGATGAAGAGATGTTCACAGTCCTTTCCAAACCAGCTCGACCATTTAGTCCGGATGTACCTGGTGATGAGCTTGGAGACCACCTGTTGTTTACAGTTTGCCGCGCTGGAGAATCTCTGTTCCAGTCTGTTTGCCACAGAGTTTCGCCAGAGGGGCCTGGAACAGGTGTATGCCAGCCTGATGTAGAAAGGGGACCACTAGACATTAATATTGTGTTGAATACCTCAAAAATTAATTATTTTTAACCGATTCAAGTTCTTCCTTTTCCCTTCTTGATTTTTTTAAAAATTTTTCCCCAACCAAGTTGAGGATTTGAAGCTGTCATTACCCGCCCGAACTGTTAAGAAAAATTTCGCGTTGTAGGCACTAACAATTTCTAATAATATTATTACATGCCACCATTGAGTATTTTTGAGAATTCTACCTTAATAAGACGCTTTGGAGTGTTACACCACGGAAATTCACATGTAAACGTTGCCCAACTATTTTCCTTATACTACTCTCCTCTTTTCCCATTTAAGCGTGTATAATCCATTTTACAGTTGCCTGCTTGGTTGCCAAGCCTTTGAACAGGAGTGAAGCAAAGACTGATTGACCTTGGTTTGATACAAACGTTACTGCTTTTCAAATGTAAATTACTTTGTTGGTCTTTATTATCATGCTAATTAGATGCTAGTCTCTATCACAGCATAGTCACCTTCAGCCTCGCTTCAAATCAAAGGCTTGGCGACTAAGTACACCACTGTAACATGGCTTTTTATGAAAACACTAGTCATGCGACGCTTCGGAGAGGTTTACCTTGGATTATCCTACGAAAAATCCGTTGTTTTAATATTATACACCACGCCAACGTAAACTCATCGGCCAACACAATCCACAAAGCGAACAAGGGAAGGTTAGGTCTAATAGCGTTGCATATACAACGACTTTAATTCCTTTAATTCCGATTTATAATAAAGTTCGGATATAACGCGCGCTGTCATTGGTTGAAAGAGCGTGCTCTATGAGAGTATAGAGCATAGAACTGAGCTAAAGCTGTCACGCCATCTGCCAAATTGTACTATGTTCGACCTTTTCCGGGACTTCTTTTTAGCTTTTTTCCGATAATTGAAAGTGAAATTTCGGAACAAGCGAGCCGGCAAGTAGTAACAGAAGAACCAAAGAAAGGTTTGTAAACATACCAGGCGCCGTTATTTACGTTATTAAAATGTGGGCAGATACGAAAATCCTCAAAGGAAAAACAAAATAGACATTCCGAGTTTTAAAGATTTTCACGCTCAGTTAGATTGCAAGCTTACGTTCGGTAATGAAAATCAAACACAGCCAACACTCGTATAGTATATAAAGTTCAGAGTTCAAAAACAAAACAGAAAAAACCAGAAATGATGAAAAAATAACCAAACTTGCATAATTGTTAAAATTCATACTAATCATGACGGTGTCTGAGCAAATATGATCATGCTGAAGTCCGTCGCGGCTCACTTATCATGGCGATCTCCGGTCATCACAGTAAAGCAAGCCTCAGAAACTTCATCAGCTGCCCTTCGAGTGAAAAAATAAGAGCTCGCTCTGATATCCTTTCCAATGTGTTGAGTGGAAAGTCACTTCAGTCACTGCAGCCGAGTTTTGCGGCGCTGTCATCCTGAGCGATCTTCATGTTCCGGTGAATTCGGCTGTCGTTCATTTAAAAAACACTCGCCTTGAACAGTTTGTTTTCTACCTTGTCATGTGAAAAAACCCGCGTGTTTTTATGAGCCATAATTCGGCTGAAGTTCACTGAACATTTCACTTCAAGATTCTGAATTAAAAACCTCAGGCAAAAGCGTTAGATTCGACCTGCCGAATTATTTTAGTTTGTAAACTATCGCAGAGTGTGAACTTTGATGGTTTTTGAACTTTGATAGTTTGACACTTTTGACAGCTTTTGTCTTGTACAGCCAATCAGAATATTTGAACCATTCTAACAAGGATTCTGATTGGCTTATTGTAGCGTGCTCTATGAGAGTATAGAGCATGCTGACGACACTGTTGTTCGCTTTGGAAATAAAGTTTGTTTTGAAAATTGAAAGTAATACATGGGGAATTTAACGGAATCTTTATTATAAAACAAATAGAGAAGCCTTGACTGTGCTCTGTTCTGTTATAAAGCACTTAGGAAGCGGCTAGAGCACTCAAGAAGTGGGAAGAAACACTCGACTACGTCTCGTGTTTCTCCCAACACTTCTTTCGTGCTCTAGCCGCTTCCTGCGTGCTTTATAACAGAACAGAGCACAGTCAAGGCTTCTCTATTTGTTAAATAAAATGGTTATAAACGGTTCAGACCTGAAGTTTGACTGTGAAACACAGTCGGCGTATCTCTGGGTTCCTGCTCTGACTCACTTGGCCAGCTGTACTGCGCACGCTCATCATAAGCAGTCATATCAAATGGCGAACGAGCAAAGCCTATAAACTCGTGGATAAAATGGTCTGTTTTGTCAAATAGGAAAGGCTGCAGCTGGCGAGAAAACTCTTCAGAACTAAGCTCAACCCTGAAAATGTAATAGTATAGATTTATAAACTCAGCCTATCTACATGAAACGGTAATTTAGTATTATCAACTGAGTTAATAACGTTTCAAGCGTTAGCCTGTCTACGTTCGCTCTAACGAAGGGCTAACGCTCGAAACGATAGCTTCCACACTCTTTACGTTGGCCAATTTACTTTTTCAACTCAAATGATAATACTAAATTACCTTACACTCTCTGTTACACACACTCCTGTTACACTCTCCCACCGACGCAGCACCACAGTTTCTTTAGAAACTTACCCCCTTTATCCACATAAAAGTTTTGGCTATCTTCTATCTTTTCTCGTTTCAGTGAAAAAAAAGAAGGGTTTAATTCTTAAACTGAGATGTTTAGTTGTTTTGACCAAGGGGGTATAAGTTCTCTGTGCGCCGTAGTAAGCGTTAAAGAACTCTTTTCGAACCAAAGTAAGGACAATGTCCAATCAGAAGAAAGGAAAATACTTCTAAGAGCCAATGAGACCTACTGTATAAGTAAAAACAACCAAACTGACTAAAGCGCGGGAAAACGCAGGCGACCGAGTTAGTTTTACATTTGATTGGTTAATTAAGAGAGTGGCGCGAGTTTTCTGGACCAGTAACAGAGCGAAGTAAAGCAAAACCAATACAATCTCGGATTACACGTTCTTCCGATGTTCAGTCGAAAATTTATCTAAATGGCAAGAAGTAATTCTGATACAGACGGCATTCCTTACAACACAATCATGGAGTGATTCACATCTAAACATGACTTACTTGTTGATCAGAGACAAAATAAGCTGAAGAACAAAACTGGCATGACTCTCCACGTCATTCAACAACGCCCTTAAATCTCTCGTAAGCCATGGAATCAGTCGGTGGGTGCAAGCAGAATTGGAACGGAAAAATTCTGGTGCTACGAGAAAAAAAAACAAGTTTAGTCTCACCCACGTACATGTTACTACGGAAGCTTACATCGAGTCTTGTAGCACGAAGGAACCAATAATATTCTTTTTTCCCCAAAGTGCAATGTTACCCTCTACCCCCTAGAATTCCTTCCCCCATGAACCCTTACCCCCTGCCCACAGAGGTTGTAACTGACATCTGATATTAACAACTATTCACGTGGATATTCACCAAGCAAAAAAGGCAAACTAAATATCCACCACCAGCCACCGACACAGAGGTGTATAATTGTTTTAGTATAGACTAGAACAATGACATAATATACTGAGCACATCAATATGAATTTAACCAATTTATTACTGCAGCGATTACAGCATTTTCAGGCGCAAATTTTGCATGTGTCGTTCGGAGGTCAATAGTGAGGGATATTTGGAGTTTAAGTAGTCAATCAGAGTGTGTCTTCAACACTTTCCCCCTGTTTTAGTATATATGATAAGGCTATGCTCTAGCGGCGCCCGGTCGCCTCAGGCGACTAACATTTGGTCTCGGGCGACTGAAAAAGAAAAGCGGTCGCCCGTCCGGGCGCATAGATTTCGGCTTGTGTGAAAACCCGAAACGAAACCAGCAAACGTATAGAAACGGAACGGAACGAAAAGAAACTCCATCGTACTCCCCGGCTCCCGTTAGCCCGAAAAGCAAAAGCGCTGAAAGCGCAGTGCAATCAATAGCCTGTGTGATCTGTACATTTAGGTTAAATATTAAGTTAGGTCTTGTGTCTTGGGTCTTGTTTCGCTTCGGTGGTTTCTCTTCCGGTTTATTAATATAGTACATGGCCCAGGTTTCTTGTCCATTGAACGACGCGATAAAGCGAACAACTGATTGTAACTAACATTTTATAATTTTACTTGCTAATTTGATGACATTTGCAGAACTAAAAAATATTCGGCAGGACAACAACAAGAATTGTTCACGCTCAAAGTTGTCGCGTGTGTTATGTAATATTGTTTCACATGATTTAGCACTAAAAATTATTTTTTCCTTGCCCGTGAGAAACTGCACGATTTTTGCACAAGCATGTGTTGAAGATCTAATTTTTCTATTGAAGTGGTTGATGCTTATATTTAATTTTTGTGTTTCAACAGTTTCAAGAGGGTGTGAATGGGGTTAACCGACTAGCGACAAAGGGCGTAAAAAATTACTGACTACCGACGAAACGGGGAAAAATTACCGACTAGCGACAAATAAATTCTAACCGACAACCGACATGGTCAGACGTGATAGGGATGTTTGTATTCAGAAAGAACAGCATTTTGATGATTTCTAGCTCAGAAAATCCTTCTTCACTCGACGTAACCACATTAATTCCAAATTTAGCCGAATTATAGAATTTCTTGTCTTCAAATTACTTTAAATCCACGGGATTCTTCTTTTCGGTGAGCAGCGTGGGCTCATTTCTAGAAAAGCGGCTCGTAATCGGGCTGACAAGACGCCCTGCTGTTGTCTTTTTATTGCTCGTTGTTTGTTCATGCGGTCGGGTCATGACTGGGATTGCTAAAGTCATCGTGAGTTTTTTTCGAAAAGGTGAAGAAGTCGCCATCGAACGTCATCGAAGCAGGGTCCCAGTAGACAAAGAAGCTCATAGAGGAGTATCTGAACTAAAAAAACATCTTACGGAGTTTTTAGGACTAAAGGAGCAGGCACATCAAAATGGAATTGGCGGATTTTCGTTAAAGTTATTTCGCCTGGCGAAATCGCCTGCGGGCAAATGCGAAAATTTTGCAATTGTGACGGATGGGCAATGGCAGCTTGAACTTCCAAATTTAATATCGGATGAAGGCGTGAGTGGCCCAGTGGTCAGAGCGCTGGACTCTGGGTCGGACGGCCCGGGTTCGAGTCCTGGATTGGGCACTACGTTGTGGCCTTAAGCAAGTCGCTTCACTCACCTTGCTTCGTCTTCTCGGATAAGACGTTAAGCCGGAGGTCCCGTCTCCTGCAGGGTTTTGGGGTAGGAGACGTTAATTTCCCACGCACAAGATTACTGTGTGATGGATGTCCTCCCCTGGGTTGGGTTGGGTGGATTTTAGTGTTAAGGGTAGTGCCCCGCATGGGACTCCATGTCCCGTTCGCACTGACCCTTTCGGCGTATGTCTATCCATGTAGACGTACCCAATAAAGCTGTTAAATTAAGTAGCACTGAGCTCAACGGTAAGTGTAGAACGCGTGCAGCGGAGTTTGATGAATCACTATAGTTCTGTAGTTAAATATTAAGCTCAAATATTAACGTAGTTAAACTCTGGTTCCACCGTTTTTTGTTTGTTGTTTTGTGGAGCGGAATGGTTTTTTTTTTCTTTTTCACCGTCCATTTGAATGCGAAAATTGAGAAGAAAAATCTCTACAAAGAAGTAGCGAGTAAATCAGTTTATAAGCTTCTTTCTGATTAATTGGTGAATGAACAACAGTGTAGCTTAACATATTAAAGACCCCGTTTATTTATACACGCCCTTAAATTTATTCGTTTCTGAAAACCAGACGTTCAAATAATATTCAATTCTCTCCTCGAGGGAAGCTACGCACGAGAGATTTCGCTCGATGTGCACGTTTTATACATCTTGACGAGCATTTGCTGATAAGAACTGTGTAAGTTTCTCAAAAGCCTACTAAAGAGAAAACTTAAAACACACGGTATTTAATATTTTAGTACACATTATCCAAGAGGTCACAAACTGGACCGGAAAGCCAGTAGTGTTGCTGAAGGCGCCGGCTACATCTGATAAAAGCAAGCAGAAGTCAATGAACGACACTGAGAAGAAAGGTGACGCGTCAAAAGTGAGAAGGAAACGGAAATCACGAGAAGAAGCAAAAGAAGATGAAAATCTGGCAAAGAGGATCATGACTGAAGGAGGTGACATCGAGAGAAACGAAAGGCAACAAGGAGACCTTCAAAATTTTCAGGATGGTAGGGCTGAATTAGCACTTGTAGTTCGTTTACCTGATTTTCAAAAGTCATAAATTTCGCTACTTTGGAAATTCTGCGGTATTCCTTGTTTATAAACACTGCCTTGTTTATACAACGAAAAACGCTCACGTAGTGCGTTCGCTATGTAAAGATAGTTTCTTTTAAATTCCGGCTAAAAACTGTATTATTATCACTTTGATGGGCATTGTGGCGCATTTTGCGTGCTAAAATAAAGAATTTGCCGGGCTAAAATGTATTTTTAAAAATAAACCAAGACAACCAATGTTCGCGCCGTCTTCTTGTAGCGTTGGTAAAAGAAACCGTGGAGCTATTTTTAAAGCCCAAATCATGGCTGAAAACACAAAATTCTCAATCTTCTCAGGTAGGGAAGAAGATCTTAAAAAGTTAGATGCTGATTCCATGGCCGATAGCACAACGCGTTGTCAGCATACAATTTGTGGACGAAGGGGATGTTACTGAGGTGTTTGAGGATCACAGAGAAGTACAAATCGATGAATATGAGACAGATTCGGATGACGAGGAATCAGATTTTGAAGAACATCCAGAGGTTGTCAACAGAGCGTGTGTTACCCGATCCGGCAGGGCTGTTCGTGCATTTGTGCGTCTCGACATGTAAGAGGTACTAACAGTTAAAAAATCCATTTAACGGTGCAGATTGATACGTATGACAACCAAATTTTTGGCAAAAAAAAAAGAGAAAAAAAAGAAAGCTCGCAGAAAAGCCACGAAGTGTAGTGAGTTTTTGTGGACGTCTCGGAAAAAAGACTTCCGTAGCTTACAAATTAAAATTAGGTATCCCGGGGGCTAGAGTGGGTGTTTCATTCTTTGTAGAATTTACCTCTCTTGATTTACTTCGAGCCCCGTAGTCGACAGGAAACAAATTCACATCTATAATAAAAGCTTTGGTGAATTTTATCGGTATACTAGATTTGCAAACAAAAGTGGGGTAGATGAGCACGTTGCTAAATTAAAAAACAGCGTTAACGAGGTTTAAATGAAAACAAATAATGAATTATTACAAGTATTACACTTCGTCTAGAGTTTAAAGTCTTAAAACTGGGCAAATTGCATAATAAATGTGAATAATTAACGTGTATTTTTAATTATTAACTGAGATTTACCGACAACCGACAAAGGTCAAAAATCTTAACCGACAACCGACAAAGTAATGAAATTTTAACCGACAACCGACATTTTGACCCCCCCATTCAGACCCTCTTTCAACAGTGGAGCGCGTGATTAATAAATCGAAACCGTTCTTTATGCAAATTTGTGTTTATTTAATTAGCTTCGTCCGTGGCATGCAAGATGTTTATCAGCACCATATTTGGCGACTTGCTCGCAATTGTAATCATTCGATCAAAGTTTGACGAAAATGAAACTTTAATATAAGAACCCTTTTGTTTCGAAACCTATTATCAATGGATTATTAATTAATTAATTAATCAATTCGGGCGACCAACCTGGAAGGCTGGGCGACCTACTTGTCATGGTTAGGTGCCCAAAGGGCGCCCTGAAAATTTTCCTAGAGCACAGCCTTGTATGACTAAAATATTCAGGCAATAAATACAAGTCAAGAGCTTGATATTGTATTGACTTTATATAGTAATAAATAAATGCACTTGTTTAATATCCTATCCCTTACTCTCTCGTTTGTGAATATTGTATCCAAAACTTGGAAATAAGAATAACATCAAGCCTTTTATTATGTGATAATCTCAAAACTTACAAATTTCTCTCTGCCTCGGACGTCCTGTCTGAGTAACTCTTTGTACCCATAAGTTATTTCTGTAGATGGTCCTGTGTTGAACAAAAGAATAACACTTAATTCATTGTACTGGTGTGTATTTGAGAAAGTTCTAATATACAGCAACGCCCACATGTTCTGCAGGACCCCATGAGCATAAGGTGCATGTAAATTGTGGTTATACAAGCTTCCAGTGCATGCAGTTACGTTCGTGCCGTAAGAAAAAATTACATGTGCAGTGCTTTACACTTAGATGCATGTATTTATTTCATCTTTTGTCATTCCCTACATGCATTTGCATGTACAAATGCACCAAGGCCTGACTATGTAGTGATACTGCTAAGAGAAATTACCATTTGATAACCCCTGAGGGGTGGGGGGGGAAAGGGGGGAAGAGGAGGGAAAAGCCATTATCTTGACTCAAAGCTTAGTCTTCAGTGCATATCAATTTCACATCTACTACAGGCCTGCACATGTAAACAGATACAAGTGAGTACCTTCTCCTTTCATGACCCACTGTCTTTCTATCTCTTTGTGCTGCAACATGAGCTTGCCATCGTCTAGCTGGCTGCCCCCTGATGCCAGTCTCATTCCACTGGTGTTGTTGACTCTGCATCTGCTGTTGCTGCTGTTGTCTGTGTCCTTCAGTTAATGTTGTTCTGTAGCGGAAACGTCTCCCATCACTTTGAAATTGTTGCCGGTTGGTTGGCATATGTGAGTCAGGTTTGGAGAGAAAATGCTGATACCAAAAGAAAGAGTTATTTGAAATGGCTTAAACCTACAGAACACCTTTCTGGGGTTGTTACTTTTCTGTACATGTCATAAGTGTAATCAAAATTCCTGGAAAAGACAGTTAGGAAAATCAAAGATGAACACTGCCTCTTGAAGTTACCAATTGCAGAATGAAATTTAGAGATGCGTCAGTTTGAAATAAAATTTAGGAGTGCAGGCACATCCTTGTAATGATAGCTTTTCCTCAGATACAGTGTTCCATTCTCTTTCAAGTTGCTTTACCATTACTTTTAAAATGAAATAACATTTTCATTGTAAGGCAAAATTGCATTTATGAGATAACATTGCCTCGCTGCATCTCCCTCAAGGCTTTTTCTATATGCATCCCTCTCATTACTCATAATTTGAATCAAATATGCTGATGATCAAACATTCAAAATTTTTGAATTTGTCTTTTTGCTTTTGATTTTCATCAGCTACAATCCACAACAAAATTGATACATTGATCTTGATACATTGATCTTTTCAACCCTTCAAGTGAAACTAATCAGCCCCTTCACTACCCCCCCCAAAAAACAATGTTGTATCTTACTTACATGAACTTTAAGGGGTTAGTTTTGTACATTATTTATAGTGTAGTGCAAACAAAAGTGTTATTCTTCACATAAAAAAAAAAAATCTGTTTAAACACTGTGTCGACTAAGTTTGATGCTGGCTGTAGTCTGAGTACCTGAATTCATTCTTTTAAACCAAACTGATATACAATAAAAGTATAATTATCATCTTCTGATTTTAGGTAATTTATCAATTGAGTTGATAGTTGAGTTGGCTATCAACTGAGTTGATAGCCTAAATTGGCCACCATAATATGTTTCAAAGTTGACATTTCGAGCATTAACCCTTGATCTTTGCTCTGAAAAAGGGCTAGTGATTGAAACTTCAGCAATGAAACTCTTTATGGTGGCCAAATTACGTTATCAACTCAGTTGATAATACTAAATTATCCTGTTATACTCTCCCACCAATTCAGCACTGATACAGTTTGTCTTCTTATCACGTAGTCTGATTGACCAGACGAGGCTATTCACGAATAGGATTGACGTCTTTTACAAAGGTTGCCACAGTGTAAGTCACCATCACTGACACCAGTCCTTCTCAAGATTTCTCTCAACTGAGTGATCAGAAAAAAGCCTGTAGGACAATACTCAGCTGACTGTTGGCCAACTTCTGGCCGACTTTCAGCCTATTTTTGGCCTACAGGGCTTTTTTTAGGGCAGTTCAAAATGGCAGTTACAGGTGTTCATGATTTTATACCTTTCCATTCATGGTCCTTGAGCTATGCACTTTAGCTCTAGACCAAAGTGGGGCAAATTTGGCTTTTAACTTGTTACATCGGGGAACTTAAACTCAGGTAGTATTGGAGGTTCAGGCATTGGGTTATAAGGTTAAATTTCAAAGTGTTCCTCATGATTACCTGCTGGTAATTGTCCATAGATTTGACACTGTGAATAATTGATGTAAAGCTTGATTTGCACAGGGGACAGGTCCTGACTATTTCTGACCATTGTAAAATACAGAAGTAACAAAAAGCATCTACAAGATAGGTTAAGGTTCAACATTGTTTTATAGCATTAACCCATTACACCCTAAAGATCAGTTAGCACATTCTCCATACTGTTCTCTATACAATTCCTGAGGTGCTGACAAGGAGAATTTTTTTAACAATCAAAAGCTTTTTTAGTAAGTGATCATTCCCTTGATCATGGATTCTTGTGACCTTAATGTTTGATTCAGGGGTGATATTGTAAGGCAAAATTAGAAGCTCGTCACTCTTAGGAGTTAAAGGGTTAACTTCGAATAGGTGTCCAACTTGCATAGGTTCTCTGTTAAAGGCAGACGTCGCAAGCATTTGAATTATACCATGAAGGGATGGGACTACATAAGTCTGAATCATGCCTGACCTGGCTTTGAGATGAAAGGGAGAGATTGAGAGAAATGAGAGAGAAATGAGTAAAAAATATAGTAATATAAAAAAAAGGATACACAAAATGAAACACCCTACCCCTCAACCCACGTAAATTCCATGACAGCAATATCATTGCACAGTTTACCCAACACATACAAGGAGGGTAAATGTCTAATTTGCACAAATCACTTTGCTGCTGGATTTCAAAGAAAACAATTTATTTTCATCGAATCTTTACCTCAAGCTCATTCACGCATCTAAACTCATATTTCACTCGTCAAAAGGATACGAAAGCACTTATCAAGGAATGATTTGTTATCATATTCACTGAGACAAACCGAACATGTTGCATCTTTCGGACTAGTCCTTCCAGAAGAACATTGATCATCTGCTTGCAGATTTTTCTCGCATGATTTTCTTTTCACATCGATGATTTGAACTTCATCATCACTGCTGAGCTCCACAAAATCGCAAGAAACATTTTCTGTGTACAGTTCTGATTGCGTAGACTGAAGCCCAGAACTGGTGTTATCATCTTTTTCTATCTGGGGAATCGAAGATTTCCCACTACACATTTCATTTGTGTCGAGTTTGGCATCTTCTTCCGGTGGATTGTCTTTTCGATCCTCCATAAATATTAGGAAGCTATTTCCTAGTAGGTATATAGTAGTTAGATTTCTTTCTTACTCAGCACCTTTAAGAGCCGATTGACTTTTGAGCCTGCGTACTGAATATTATTGGTAAGCGGGTCACTCGTTCCAAAAAAGGACAAAAAGCTGCTCATGTATTTGCACCAATTTATTTTTACTGGCCCCAATCTCGAGCCCAGGGTCATTTTGGCTCCTTGTAAGCGGTATGGTCGCTTAAATAATAATTAAATAAATGACCTTGGGCTCGAGATTGAGACAGACTAGGTGAAGGTTAAACTGTAATGTCTCCTTCTGCGAGTCGAATTCTGGCTGTTTAACGAATAAGGTGTTCATGTTGTCATTTCTCGGGAGTCAACCGGAAGGCATTTCCAAAAATTCAGTCATGCGCAGTTAAAATCGCGATTCCATTCTCCCAAAGGTTATTAATTAGCGCCCATGCTGCCTGGAGATTGTGCGGGTTATTGTCATACTCAACCACTGTTGCATAGGAATTAGTAAACCGCGATCATGAACATCATTCGAAATTTAGTCCGTCCTTCTCCGAAGAATGTTGTTCGGATCGTTCGTCTGGAAGGCACAATCGTTTCTCAGACTCGACGAGGGCCAGGTTCTTTGAATTTACGCAAAGTTGAGAAGCACCTGGACAAAGCGTTCGCCACCAAGAAAGTTAGGCCAAGAGCTGTATGCTTGGAGATAAACAGCGGAGGAGGATCCCCTGTTCAATCAAACTTAATTTTTAATCGAATACGGGCTTTGTCTAAAGCAACCAAAATCCCCGTGCTTTCATTTGCGGAAGACTTGGCTGCCTCCGGGGGGTACATTTTGGCATTGGCGGGTGATGAAATCTTCGTGGAGCCAAACACGATTATTGGCAGCATTGGTGCTCTGTCTCAAGGGTTTGGCTTCCAGGAAACTATAAAGAAACTAGGTTGGTAGATAAATCACAAGTCAAATATTTTCATTCTGCGAGGAATTGAGGAGTTGAAGCGGTTGATTCTTTCTTTGTGATGGGGTATTCAAATAAAGCACCTGAATCACATATCCCCTTTTTAATGGGTCCCCCCGGATTATTTGCTATTCACATACTTACCCCTCCTTATTTCTACAAAATTGCAACCCTCTGTGCTGCATGGGATGCTTTTTTTAGATCGAAGGTTGACAGGGTTGGGGGGAGTTCCTTTCCCTCAGAACTCACCTGTCTTTTTCCCTTATTCAAAATTCATCATAATTCTGCCTTCCTGCTAGTGTCAGTCCCTCCCTTGTGTTTCCTTCACAGAAACCACTACTTAAAATCCTGATAAAACAGTTGATTACATTGTAGAATCTTCCCCAAAAATGCTAAATTTTTTTGTTGTGACCATATGGAGAATTTAACACTAGGCAAATATTTTTACCCTAACACCCTAACATCAATGAAAATTTTCTCTATACTCTTCTCTATACACTTCCTTTGGTGTTCACAAGGGGAATTATTTAAACAGTCAAAGTGACAGTGTGGCAATCATTTTCTTCAATTTATTCTCATGATCATAATGAATAATCTAGTGCTATAACTGTAAGAAGAAATTAGATGCTGGTTACTCTTAACCTTTTCACTCCCATGAGTGACCAAGGCAGAATTTCTCCCCACAATATCAGTACAATATCAAGCAGACAAGTGATGAGAATGAAGAAAAATATCAATTAGGGGATTATACATGGATCCAAAACCAAATTCTCCAAACTAACAGCACAAGAACTGTATGGCAGACAATAAGGTGACTGTTCTCTTTCTTTGTTTCTTCATTATCTAGGTATGGAGTCACGCATTTTCACTTCAGGTGAGCACAAGGTTCGATTGGATCCGTTCAGCCCTCTCAAGCAAGATGATGTTGATTATGTAACAAATGTGCTAAAGCAGATTCATGGGAACTTCATTGAATTGGTGAAGGAAAGGCGACCATCACTTGATGTTAAACATAAAACTGTATTTAGTGGTGATTTTTTCACTGGCAAGGATGCTGTCTCATTTGGTTTAGCTGATAATACCTGTTCTGATTTAAGAGCTGTTTGTCAGGCAAGGTTTGGCAGAAATGTCAAATTTGAGCGCTGTGAGCCTCCAAGTAGTGTTCTGGGTAGACTTAGAAATCTTGTTACTCAGATGAAAGTTGAGGTATCTATTAATGACATGTTGGAAGAGCTGACTTTAAAACAATACAGACCTTAAACTACAATATACTTGTTACAAAAAACTCATTGCAATTCTTTTGTCAATGTATTTTTTTCTAATTATTATCATGTTCTTTTTTAATTTCAAACAATTTTAATGAAGACTTAAGAAAACATACAGCTTTATTAAGTTATCAAATTTGAGCAAAGTAAGCAGCATGTTAGTTTTGATAGTTTCATGTTAGCTCAAACCCTTTCAGTATTTATAGCAGGTATACTTTCCAGCAAGCAGGTGCTAAATATTCTGATATAGTGTTGTAGCCATCATTTTGAATTGGCAAGACCAAGAAGTCTGGGACAAATGAGACAGTTTTCTATTGAGGTTGTTGTAAGAATGAAAACCTTGGGAAAGCAAAAAGGTTCAAAATAAATTTACCCCACCCCCTCTCTACAGCTGTGCTCTGTTCACATCAGGATTTCCTCCATCCTAACAATCCAATATTAATTGGAAACATTAAGTCAAAACATCTATAATTCATTAACAGGATGACATTTAACCATGCAAATGCTAGTCCTTTGTACAGCTGCTCTATCAGGAGTAACTGAACTCTTAGAAAGAAAACCCAAAGAACAGCTGTAAAGGATGCAAAGCAAAGGTATTCTGTAAGCATGTTTGGTTACACAGGAGATGCCACCTGAAACACTGTTGTAACAATACTGATTTTGTGTAAGCTAAATGAAGTATAAGAATATTTTGTGTGTAAATAAATAAATAGTTATATGTGTTTGAGTTATCTTTGATTAAAATCAGTTTAAGTGTGATTGTACACTTACTTTCCTCGTTTAGTTTGGCCTTCTTGTCTTATCAAAGTTACCAAGTTATCAAAGGCGATACAACTGTCAGAGTAAAAATGGGATTTTACAAGCACATGTGCAGTTGTTGATTAATTCAAAGCCTAAAGTGTGTGCATATTTACTAACAGCAAGTGAGTCTCAACTACTTGCTGTCTTCTTTAGGTTTCTATAGCAGAGTAGGGGTAGGAGAGCATCCTTTCTTACTATTCATGGGGACGGCAGTAGGCAAGTGGGCTGGAAGGGGTCCCCCTCTCTTTACCCACTTCTACTGAAATGAATCAATCACTGTGATGTTGCAAAACATCTCCTGTTCTAATGTTACCTAATGCTCTCTGGTGAGACCCTTGCAATTCAGGACTATTAGTGGTATATCACTTTAATGATAAATCTTATGTACAGTATGTTTTTCCTTGCAAAATCCACTGTGAAAAGGAACAGTTTGTTTGCTTTCTCTCCAATGAGCAACTGATTAATGTAATCAAAATGATGGGAAGATCATTTAGTCCAGCTGACTTTTGGTATGTCATAATGTTCTGAGAGACCATCAAGATAATCGTTAAATTTCTGAAAAACAAAACAAAACAATAACATTAAAGGCCTCATGTCCAAAATAATTAATACTCATCAAGGATCAAAGCTCAACATTTTAAGGTACTTCTGGTTTGCCTCCTTATCAAAATCTCTCACAAAGGCTGATTTGTTTATTATCAACTGTGCATGTAAACTTTGAAATGGGTGGGATGACAAATCTATTAAAAAAAAATAAATTATAATAAAAAACACTAATAATGATAAAATAAACACAGCCTTGATCATAGTGGGACTTTTTCTCAAGCAACACAGATTCAATTCAAAAGACTGTGATAAAATATTTCTTAACAGCAGCATTAGAGGGCATTTTGTTGATTTCCAAATGGTGATATCCATAGATTAATTATTGGCCAATTTGAAGACAATAGTTCTGTGGTTAGTTTATTTTTCAGACTCTTGAAACTGCATCAAGTTGGTAGATTTTCATAATCACTATTCTACAGACACATTCCATGTTGCATGAATGCCTGTATAGCAAAAGACTGCAGATGATGTCAAAATCTGGTAAGAACACATTTGGCACACGAGGCACAGCCAAGTACATGTATGTCACTGATGTTTTGATGTCTTCTGTAATCTGTTTCTGTACTGACCCTCAGAAACATAGAGTTTATTTGCTTTATATGAAAAATGCATCTGTCCTCCAATAGATCATAAGTAAAAACAATCAAAATGTGTTTCTGGACATATCCTTAATACATTTTGGAGTATATGTTTGAATGTACATACCTCAACTCTCTGTTTGTGGGTTTTCTCTGCCTTCTTCAAAATCCTCTCTGCTGCCTAAGTGAAGAAAAACAACAACAAAAAAAACAAATTGGTTAATTTTGAAATTATATTGACCTGTGAAAATAATAAAAAGCAAATTAAATTTGAAACGATAACTGATAACTAGAGATTTCTACTCTGTGTTACTCTTACTGATTTGTTCAACCACTCAAACCCGAGAGTGATCAGCGTCTAATTCTCCTAACAGTAAATATCAGCTTTACAATTCAGAACTCTTCACGGGGACCAATTTAAAATGTCGACTCAGTTTACAAAAACCAAACAACCTTGCAACTTCTTGCTTATCTTACTACAGTGCGAGTGAGCATAGATCAAAATGGCAGGATCCCTTCCACACGAGCCTGAAAGAAAGTGATAACACACTCACTCTTTTCTCTTTGATTTTATCATAAGCAAGTTCGGCTGGTGTCCGTGTATCCACCGTTTCCTCTTCGTGATCCTCTTCACTTCGATCAATTTTTCCTTTAGAGGTACTCTGAGATATATCTTCAAGCGCCTTCTTTGCCTTGTTCTTCTTTTTCTTTCTAAATGGAACAAAGGGGAAGCATGGAAACAGCTAAACTTGACGGTTCGAAGAAACTATCAAAGTTGAGAAGCGAAATCTTCCTTTGCAAAAGGAAAATTTCTTGAGGAAATAGAAGAAATCTAAAATTTTATGACTAAAAATGTAAAATAAATGAATTTTTTACTTCTTAACGCCTCCATCTGTAACTCCTTTTAGCTTCAAAGTACCACGACTAACTCCTTCATAAGCGTCTGCCATTTTGAAATTTGTTCGATACCAAGCAAGTGTTGATTTCTGGGAGCGACTAACGGCACAACGTCACGCATATTGGTCACGTAACTCCAACTTACGTCACGCCAAGCAACTTTGAGTTCAAAATGGCACTTCCGTTTACAATACTAGCGACTAAATACAGGAAGGGCTCCGATCTGTGATTGAATGATAAAAATAGTAAAAGTCAATGAGTCATGAGTATTGTTTATCCATGTGTCTCGATAAAATATCAATACGAGTGAAAACATCGACGTGTCAACAAAAAATGGCTACTTACATTACGAAGAAAAGGCAGAGTCTTTCTTGTTCAGCGAAGTGGTTCAGTGATATTCCGGCAATGGAAAAGTCATCCGCTGACAAAACTCATTTAAGCAGTTTAGGCGGAAGACCAGAGACTGGAGCCACTCCTGTATTTCACCGCTGACAGGAATGGCTTCGTTTCATGTGTATATTAATTTTTTTTTCGTTTTGGCTAAATAATTCACACACTGGGATAAAAACTGAAAGAGTGTTCTACTAGGTTCTTTTTATTTTGAACTCTACAATGCTTGCAAATGAAGCCCTCTTTTATTAACACAGGGCATATAGTTTCTAAGTTTTAAAATAATGCAGCAACTGCCTGTCACGTAACAACTCCACTAGACCTAAAAAGGAAAAAACAAAAACAAACGAAAAAAAAATGTCTTACCAGTCAGACCAGTGGCAGTTACTCTCGCACTGAATCATGTGGAAGTACCTTGACTGTTTGCAGTGATGGTGCAACCAATCTTCGGACAGTTTTTCGGCTATAACAAGAAAGAGTAAAATAATTTTATAAAACTTGTTCTAAAATCAATAAAGGCTGTTCATCACGTGATGCTGTTTTGGAACGAGTATATCTCGTTTGCTACCATCATCATCATTATCAGGTCGAGCTTGCCCGGTATTCCATGACACGCACCCTCCACCTTTCTCTGTCTTCCATTGCAATTAATAGTTCTTCAAGTCTGCATCCTGTGTCATCCATCAATTGATCAATGTAGGTCTCTTTTGGGCGTCCTCTCGGCTGATGTCCGTCTGTTGGCTTCCAGAGTAATACATCCCCTGCTTGTTCCTCTTTACTGCGCCAACAATGCTCTGTGAATCTCATCCTTTGTTGCTGTAGCGATTTACTGATTGGCGGGATGTGGCCGTAGAGCTCTTCGTTTGTGAGGTGGTCCTTCCACGATCTGTTTAAGGCAGTGCGTAGCATTCTAGTGCATGCTCCGTATATATGCTATTGTATCACATAACTGTTTTAGAAAATGTATTTATACCACTTAAATTTAAGAAAGAATGAGTAGAACATAAACCACGTTTTCTGTAATTGTTTCTCTAATTTGTAAACTGCTTTCCAGGCATCATCTGTGAAAAAAAGTCTTCAATTTTTCAAATTTTAAATTTTTTTAGCTAAAACCGTGGCTCCCAAAATATATTACTCTCGTAGAAAAGGTTGTGGTTAATCATCGTGGTGAATAACAATAAAAGCTAAGTTTTCCGTTTGTCTCACGATATAGTCACGTGTGATGTAGATCGCGACGTTTCGACTGCATACTGCTAGTCTTCTTCAGGCGATGAGGTCGACTGGTTATGCGGGATCTTATAAAGCATGATGCTCTGCTGTGATTAGTTGTTTTTCAACAGCTCTGATTGGTGCATTTTGATCCTTGCTTATATAGCTGGGGTTTTTCTCCTTTAGCATTTTGGTATTTTTATTTTAAAGCAGAATTTGTGAAAAGAAGAAAAAGATCTCAGTGTAAAAAATGTTCCATAATTCTGCTGTGAAGAAAAGAAAGCATTTTCAGTTGAACTCAGTGAAAGAGGCCCAATGTATTATAGATCTAGGTATGTAGAATAAACAGCTGCTATTGTTGATTATGAAAAAGTGAAATTAACCCTAATTCACCTACCATTTGCATTCCCATTTCAGTCTTTCATATAATTTTTTAAATTATATCCTTAATTGGACTGAACCATTTAAGTCAGGAGCATATGTTTTCCTATCCTTGCCTGCTTGCCTGCTGTGAAGCATTGGTTTTGGGAAAATCACCTATCTCTTACTTTTAGGATGAATGGAGCTCATTAAGAATTGGCCCATGTGCTAATGTGCATTTATCATGTTACAAAGCACACTTAAGAATTTGAGGATCAGCAATTAAACATTTGGCAAGGATTGCTCAGGAAGGCAGTTCTTCTGTGTGCCTGTTTCAACTCCCAGTTCTCAAGTTCTCTCCAAACTTCCAAAGCATTTTATATATCTTAATGAATACTGGTACACTCCTGATGTGTGAAAAAAGTGTTCTGCTAACATTTTAAGTCCAGCAGTTTTAATAGAAATTCACTCTTCTCTGCTTGAGTGCTTACCCATGTGTTATTAGTATGTGCAATAATACAGATATGTATCACACTCGCAACATTGAATTTAACGACACAAATTTGCAAGCTACTGTAACAATAAAATATGTGTAAAGCTAGGCTGAAGCAAATGTGGTCTCCAGTTTCAAAGTGTGAATAGCATCAAGCATGTATGTGCCTTTGGGGTTAGAAATGACAAGTAGATATTTGTAAAGTTTGCATATTGTGTGATTCAGCCGTGAGCAGGAGTGTCAGTAGTTTCTGGGGTTTGATAAGGTTCTGAGTTTATAAATGTTTCCTCACTATTTTCATGTTGTGCCACCCCTCTGGTAGCCCCTGTAAGGATAGCCCTGTATAGCCACAAGTTGGTCTTAACTGTTACTTCTAGCCAATCCCATCTAGGACTATTGGAAGCCCAGTCCCCTGTGAAGTTGTCATTTGGGTTTGTCACACAAAATGATTGGTGAAGGTAGCCTGTTCCACTCTATGTTGGTGGGGACAACCAAAGAGTGGCAGTGGCCAAGAGAAAACAGAAGAGGTTTGGGAGAAGTGTATCAGTTGGAAGGAGTGAAATGAAGTAAGTTTCTCCTTACTATATCTATACCATATCATGTAGACAAGTGATGAGAGTAAAAAAAAATATCAATTGTGGGATTAATGATTGATCCCAAACCAAATTCTCCAAACTAACATAATAAGAATCATTTGGCAGATAGTAAGGAGAATTACCAATGAGATCTTGGAAGTTAAAGGGTTAAAACTCTTATGAGCCCATTTTTCTCTGTCTGATCCCATCATCTTTTTTATGTACCACTTCTTTTACTCATCTTCAATGAGGATGAAACTGGCAGAGGCAAAGTTAAGGAGAAACAAGTTGAATGGGGGCTGTGGAGGACTATATCAATAACTTAAAAAAGCAAACTAAAAAATTACCATCATCGTTTTAATGCTAGTTGAAAGAAAGCTAACAAAACATTTGAACACATTTTGCTACTTTAGAGTCATACAACATTGACTGTTAATAGTCATTATTCAGCAACTAACTCTGAAACCCTATATCACACGCGTGACAGTGCAGTATTTCACTTTTGTAGACCTGTATGCGATATTGAGTTAAAGTTAAAAAAACGAAGAAAAGCACTTACTTAAAGAAGTTCTCAAACTCAAATACTTCCTCACAACAGTTCTAAACTTTGTGCATGCTATGATTAAACTCAGTAAACATTGTAAAGGTAAGAACATCTCTGTATTTGACACTTGCAACGTGGATAACTCATGGACAAAATGTTGATGTTCATTTGTCTAGTTTAACCAACCTCACGCTAAGATCCCACAACTTCTTTGCTGCATCATCATCTTTGGCACCTTTGCAAGGCTCCTTGACTGCACAATCTGCCAGATATTTGCCACTGACACCTTCCATCTCTTCGGAGACTGCACAGTAGATTGTAGTCTGAGCTCCCATCTCAGCACTCTTGAAGGTGTACCAGCGAAGTGGGGCTACAAAAACACTGGACAAAACGGAATGCCGTTGCAGATCTGTACTGACTGCCCCTGGGTGAAGGGCATTAACTGTAACATGGGTACCCTCTAGGCGTTTGCTTAGCTCTCGTGTGAAAAGCACGTTGGATAGCTTGCTGTTAAAATAGGCCGGCCAAGCACTATAGCTCTTCTCGTAGTGGATGTCATCGAAGTTGATCTTCTGAGAGCCCATAGCGTGCGCTGAGGACGACACGTTTATGATGCGACTTGGTGCTGAACGTTTTATCAGATCCAAAAGCAGCATCGTTAGCAGAAAATGACCCAGGTGGTTGACTCCAAACTGCATTTCAAATCCTTCTTTGGTCTTCTGATAATCACAGGCCATTACTCCTGCATTATTGATCAGGATATCCAAGCGTGGCTCGCTGTTCAGGATTTTGTCTGCAAAAGTGCGGACTGACTCCAAGGACGACAAGTCCAGCTTCTCCAGGAAGACAAAAGTACTACCACTTCGCTCTTGTATCTCCTTGAGAGCTTCTTTGGCTTTCTCCATGTTCCTGCAACCGATGATTACTCTTGCACCTCGCGAGGCTAAATCCACCGCTGTCTCTTTTCCGATGCCAGTATTTGCACCGGTGATAACAACGGTTTTGCCCTTTAAGCTTTTAGTGCTGGTGCACCTGGGTCCTTGGAAGAATCTTTTGCCAGCATAAAGCACTGCGAGAGTCCCAACGCCAACTGCTACTGGAACCGCCATGCTTCACTGTGTTAATTTTGGTTTAGTGAGTCAGCAAAGCGAAATAATAAACAAGTTAGTACCCAAGATCCTTTGGGGTAAAAATGTCACGTTATGAGATCCTGTACCACACGACGAAGACGGGTGATCTAACCATGGCTTTGTGTTTTATCGGTGTTTATTTATGTATTTTTTTCTTACATTAGTAACCGCGGCATCTAGATATCTTAACTATAGTCTCAACACTAAATCATAAACAGTGTTTCAAATGATAGTTATCAAGCAAGAAACTTTATTGTGTGACAATCTGCGTTTGTCACGGGGTGGCTGGGCGAAAAAAAAAAGAAAAAATGCAGAACACAAAAACTTTATGATAAAGAAATTTTCCCTCAGCCTTCCAAACTAAAAAGGAAACATAGAGGTAAAAGCAAGAACTTATCACCAAATAAAACAAAGAGCAAATGAGATAATTACTTTTTGCTGAGCTGTGAAACATTCAGCGAAAATAATCCTCACTCCTCTCCCCAACGATAAAAATTTTTCCTCTCTTAGAAGTGATTGCAGTACTCGAGCATCACAAAGAACGTCTGTATTTAAATCAACCGAATGACCCAGTTACAGTGCACAGGGAGTTGATCGGGTCGTTAACGTTCATGATTTCGCCATGAGTTTCATTTCTGACCACTGGATTCTCTTTGCATCCGCGACTGCAACAATCTTCATTTGTAAGCTGATTATCGGCCTGATAAAAAAAATCCGTAAAGTGAGGCGGCTGACCAATTTGTTTCCCTCAGCTCCAAGTCACTGGTTTACAGGACATCTCCATAATGTAAGTTTTAAAAGAACTAGGTTACCAATTATCATGAAAGCGAGTACGGGACGTAGGTAAGTACTAAAACAAGGAACGACCTAAAACCACCTAAAACCACCTACAACCATCTACAACCACCTACAACCATCTACAACCACCTCAAAAATTTTAACAACCACCTACAACCACCTCAAAAACATCTACAACCACTTGCAAACTATCTAAAACCATCTAAAACAAGGCATAAATGTCTAAAATAAGGCGAAACGACATGTCACGTACACGAAATACTAGAATCGAACGAAACCTCTACCTCCCCCTGAAATCTTACTCTCCCTGGTCCATGTATAATTAACCATCTCACGAAATGAAATGCGATAGCATGCTAATTATTTTATATTCCATCAGCAAAAGACTTAAAGAACTTTACAAAATGAACTAACAAGTTACAAAAAATAATAAATAGGGAATAATACATGGGCGCGCGTAGATATGGAGTTAATCTTCGAGTGTTTAACTCGATAGCTCACGAGTGAGCGCAGTGAACGAGTGAGATGTCGAGTTGAACACGAGAAGAGAAATTCCATATCTACAAGCAACCATGTATTATTTTGTTTATCATATAAACACAATAGCCCTTTTCTGGGAAGAAAATCCGACCTCATTTATGAATGTAAATAAATAAATAGACAATCCTCGAATAACAATCGTAGACTGCGTTGACGCTGACTCTTAAGATGGAAAATGCTTTGAATCATGATTACAAAAACTTCCATATATACGCGCGCCTATGTATGATTGATTATATATTGTTTTAGTACTTACCCGAGGACGTAACAGACACTATTGCACCGAGTCTAGAAGCTCTTTCTCTAGGGAAATGAACTCAAGGTATACTAATCTCCCCAGGTAGTCTAGCAGCATAGGCTCACTTCCAGTTCATTAGAGTGTGTATTGGTGTTATTTTTTCTGAGACTTACAAGCGCAAAAGTGAACTCTTTACCTTTAAACACTTCTATGTTTAATGATAATATACTGTAGTATTGGACTGGAAAGACTTGACACTTCTAGTTCAAATTCCCCCGCACAGCAAGGCATTAGGTTCAAATTTCTCGATCTCCCCCAGCATGGACCAAAGCCAAATGTCCATGGGGGTTGCTTTGGGAGGGGGAAGATGTTGAAGCTTTGAATTGATCAGCTGACTACAATTTATAATAGCCTAACCCTTTTATATGAGTTCCGCTGATCCCATTCTTAACCCTTTATACTCTAGAAGCGACTAACATCAAATTTCTCCCTACAATATCAGCCCCAAAGAACACATTGAGGCCATGAGAATAATTGGAAATGATCATCTACGAAAGAAGCTTTTGATTGGTAATCAAATTCTCCTTGTCAGCACCTTAGGAAATGTATGAAGAGCAGTATGGAGAATATGCATACTGATTTTAGGTTGTAAAGGGTTAAGTTTCACTCACAGGAGTGACCAAAGCTAAATGATTCTCTTTTTTTTAAGGTCAAAAATCATGATGGTACAGCTCTTCAATTCCATGTAAGATGTGCAACTGAGTTCAAAACATGCTATGTTATGCGGAGGGGTCCTTTTATGACAGGACTGGTATTGTGTCATCCAGATACAATCAGGGTTATTCAGACTAGCAATGCTCCAAAAGCACATACATACAAGTTTATTAAGCCATTGTTTGGTGAGTATACCACAACTTTTGATAGTAAATAACAAGAACATTAATGTTGGAGTGTTGAGAGAGATCTAAGAATTTACTCTGGTTTTGCTCCATTAAAGCAATGGTGACTATGATTAGTCCAAAAACATGGGGCACTTTCTTGACCAGTTAGATGAAAGCTATCTACTTCTTGTTCTGATTAGCAGTCATTGTGGATACTTTAACTCACCATTGGTTTCACAATACAGTCAACTCTTTGGCAAGTGGAGAATCTAATAGGAATTAGGAAAGTGCCTTTTACTAGGGCAGTGCCTGTCTACAAAAACTATTCCCATAAGTGAATGCCAAAGAAAAATAGGGTGGTCATGTCTGCTTTTGGAAGAATTAATAAATGTGTGTTATGGTGGACTCTCATTAATGTCAAATGAACAAACAGCAAGCTTTCTTGTGGACAAATGGAAAATTGACAAAACCAATCCCTTTTGTATGTTGCCCAGTCAAAGGTCATGTTTTTGTAGATTTGCATATTAAAGACAAACTCTGTTGCCAAGAGTCAATTTTTATGCATGTAGCGTCTGGTGAGGAGAGAGCATAAACTAAAGAAAATCCAATTTTTTACTTTCAAAAGTGTCCACTTCCACTTACTAGAGAGTGTACATCTGATTATGGGAATGTGTAAAATCAGAGTTTGACTGAGAGGTAAAAGAGGGAATTGAAAAAATTGTTGAGAAGTTGAGCTCTCTGTTTACAAGAGTGTTTGAAAACTTGCAGATTTGACTGTATTCAAGTCTAAAATACAGTGTTCTGACTAATAAATGTGGATCAGTTTTCATTTCTTTCTTTCTTTTTTTTTAATCAATGCCTTCCTCTATTCACAGAGCTTTCTCTTTACACAAGTGTGAACTATGTGGTCTAATGGTTTAAGGTTGCTCGCATGTAAATGATATCTTGAGGATGTACAGACCATTGTACAAGTGTAAATCAAAGAAAACTGCTTGCAGTGACTTTATTAGCATGCATATAAATCCAAACTAGGAAAAGTACTCTATTGCTGCCACTGTAAATGTAGCAGCTATGCATTACAATCCTCAAATGATTGAACTACCTTTAACTCCTAACTGATGGGGTGTGAGGACCGCTCTAAGGAATATTGGCCTGAGGTTGTAGCAGAACAGATTGAGCACACAGTTAGTACACACACTACCTAGAGAGCCAATATCCCCCTGTGCGGCTCAAGCAAGTGAAGTTAAACTAAGTAGTTTATCATGTGACACTCAGACCAAACTTGTTTATTTTGAATTTCCCAGCTTTCACAACCAACAATACATAAATTTTGCCTGTTTCCATGGGAATGGTCTTTTAATAAGAAAAAAAGTGACCAAGTAAAAACCAATCAGAATGCTGGGATTTACCTCAGGACCATCTTGCCACATGATTTAAGCACTCATTATTAGTATGCACTAATACTTCCTTGTCTTAATTTGTGGGTCTTCCATTTTGATAGTGCTGTGGTAGCATGAAATGTTACTTTATCTCTTGTAATTTGATCTTTGTCACCTAAGGGGATGGACTGATTGCTGCAAATGGCAACAAGTGGTTTAGAATGAGACGACTCCTCACTCCAGCTTTTCACTTTGAGATACTCCGATCATATGTTCAAATTTTTCAGGATTCTACAAACATTCTTTTGGTAAGTACTTAAGAAAATCTGCAAGTCCATTTGGCAGGCTAGGTAAATTTTTTGCATTTAGTGCATCAAACATGTGGTTATCTTGGGAATACTGGGAATTCAATTACCCCCACCTTCTAAATGAATGTCGTAATTCAATTTACCCCTCATAACACAACAAGTGTATGTTGATTGAACTAACTTATCATCTATTATGATAATCTTAAAATAACTGTACATGTGTCTGCAATTATTTGCAAGCTTTCATACAGTTATGTTCTGATATCTTAAAAATATGTAAGTGAGCAATAATAAGACTCCATGTTGTTCCAGTTAGATTCCATCTGTTCAGTTATAGATCACAGAGGATGTCAGGTGTGATAAGAACACTTTTTTTGTTATCTATTACTGAACAAATCCACCGTTACATGGAATTGATTTACTTTGTATGATTAGATGAAAAAGCAAAATGGTGTTAATGGTTGTGTCATTTATTTTTTCTCTCCTCCAACATAACCATATGTAATTATAAAAGCCACTCTGAAGGCATGTATCATTCAGCTCATTATCTAACAATAGGTTGTATTTTATTTTTATCTGAGGTTTAGATATTGGATACATAGCTTGTGCATTTTACAGACTATTTTATTCACACTGGATGCCCAAAATTGTTAGCATACTGTTTCAACACAAGATCCCTAACACATCAAAACAGTTGTTCCAGGCTGTATCTTGACTTCAGTGTGGACTCTAGTAGTTATCATATCACTGATACTTTTAAGTTAACAGACTTTGTTACAAATAATACCATTATATATACATATCTAGTTACTGCCATGTCACTGAAAGTTGCAATTTCCAGGATGTGCTTAATTGTGCAAAGGCATGGCTGCTGATCTGCCCATGTTGGGCAAAGTTTTTGACAAACAATCACTCCATGTATTGTTGTCCTCTAGGAAAATTGGTTGTCACAGGAGAGTGATGAAGTTGAATTATTTCGCCACTTAAGCCTCATGACTCTGGATTCCATTCTGAAATGCACCCTTAGTTATGAAACTGACTGTCAGACTCAAGAGTAAGTCTTCAAATAAATGAATTGTTTTGTTACCCTTCATCACCAAGTTAAAAGTGTCCTATTTGAGGAATTTAGAAACTAAGAAAAAAGGAAAATTTGAGCTTGGTTGGTGGATTATAGATTAATAAGGAGGCTATTAATGACGATAATCTGAGGTCTTTCATTTCTTCACAGAAAAGCTAATCCCTATATCAGAGCAGTATATGATGCATCTGACGAGGTTCTCAACAGGTTGATGTAAGCAGATGATTACCTTTGCCCAAAATTTGATTGGTCAACTTTGTAGAGTAGTTTGATGTATTAGAGTGCTGAATGTTAATAACAATAAGGGAGGGGGGGAGCATAAGGTAGTTTTATTAAGCAATATTTATGGTGGAGGGGGGTGGGGGAAAGCTCAGGAGATTATAAGACAGGGGAGGGAAGGGTCGAAAGTGAGAACTTTATGAAGGGCTAGAAACATAAGGGAAATTCAAAAGTTAATGGATCTTGCATTGGTAATTATCATAAATCTGAATGCTTTGTTACAAAGGGGTTAAATTAGTGGGAGGCCACAAACTAGCAGGATATTGATAGGGAAAATTCAGTGCAGCAATCAATGCCCAGTGCAGTGACTTTAGCCCTTTGTATCAGTGCCCTCAAAGGCATAATAAATTTAATTTAATTATTAGAAAGTGAAACCAGTTTGGTTGCAAAGTAAATCTGTGTCACAGCCTCAGCACTGGTGGCCTTTAATATTAAGTGGTTCTCCCCCACCAATGCAGTACCACAGTTTCTTTCTGCAAACAGCTGTATATGAATTACTGCTTTCCTATATACCCTTCTTCTTGACCCTGCACTACATTTAGCAGGGAGATGATTTATCATTACTTTTACTTCTGTAGGAATCCTTTATTACATTCAGACATAATTTATAAAATGACAGCTGGTGCAAAACGTTACTCTGAAGTATGCACGGTTACCCAGGCCAAGGCAAAGGAGGTCATTAGAGAAAGAAGAGCTGCTCTTCAAGATAGTGTGAGTATATCATATTTGTTAACCCTTTAACTCCCATAAGTGATCAAGACAGAATTTCTCCTTACAATATCAATGCAATACCAACCAGACAAGTGATGAGAATAAATACAAATATCAATCAGGGGATTATTAGCTGATCCAAGGCCAAAATTCTCTAAACTGACATTATAGGATTTGTGTGGCAGACAGTAAGGAGAATTACCATTGAGATCTTGGAGTAAGGTCTAAGTTTTGGCCGCTGGAATATAAAAAAATAATTCAAACACGTCTTTTGAAAATCATTGGTATGTTACGTTTTCATTTTTTGTCATTTGAATAATACATAATTGTTTAAAGTTGGACAAATCAGGCACAATCTATTTCCTTATCTTTTAAGGTTGAGCAAGAGAAGTTAAAGGAAAAGCGATACTTGGACTTTCTGGATATCCTTTTGGCAGCAAGGGTAATGTTGTACTTAAGTTCTATAAGATCTGAAGCTTAAACTCTTTAAGATCATATAACATACCTCTTTCTGCTCGTTTTGAGAACTTGGCTTTTTGTATGAACAAGGACTGATCTACATGATGTTTACCTAAAGACTCCAATTTGTCTCAAAATTGCAAAGAGAATTTAGTTATGGATCAGGCTAGGAAGTCTGAGTTAATCAAACAATAATAATCCTATAAGACACATGTCTTGATTTTCTCGTTACTACTGTGTGTTGTGCAGCGCGGATATCTAATGTTCCTAATAGACTTGCATGAAGACCAGATGAAACACCTGCATGTCGATTTACTAAACCAACGACTTCGGCACGGCTTATCTAAGCCATATGCAAGAAGCTTGCCAGACATAGTATGTATAAGACTTTGGCTTGAAAAGGGAGTTATCAATCACACCACGCATACTATGCAAAGTATGCTATAAAATAATTTCTCTTCCCTATTTCAGGACGAAAAGGGAAACGCTTTGACTGAGGAAGAAATAACTTCAGAAGTTATGACTTTCATGTTTGCGGGACACGATACCACTGCGAGTGGTAAGTAGTGATATCGAAACAAGTTGTTTATAATCACCAGAAATGTAAGAACCAGTTTTGGAAAAAAAATATTGGACCGAGATAGGATCAGTGGGTAATTGGTCCTTGCTGCTGGGTAGCCGCATTTGAGATCAACAAGGCGAAGCAAAAAGGAATTCTGGCGTCCTTGAAATACAATGGGAATTTTTTTTTCCCCGAAAGAAACTGTATTGTATAGTAAGTCAGTTGTTAACGTAAATTGACCACCGTTCAGAGTTTGAAAGCTTACTTTTCGAGCGTTAGCCTTTGTTCATTCGCTCTGACGAAGGGCCAACGCTCGAAACGTTATGATCAGTTTTGAAACTCTCTACGGTGGCAAATTTACTTTATCAACTCAGTTGATAAAACCAAATTATCTTGTTATACTTCCCCACCGACGCAGCACCCCCTTTATGGTATTGTATAGTAGTCACATCGTCTAGCAAAGTCACAGCTGGCTTCACTTTTGAAATATGATTGATTAACGAAGTGGCGCAAATTATTTGTGAACGAGTCAGGATCAGCCTCTCTATTTGGTATAGTCTTTAATCCTGTACGACTCCTCATTAAAAAAAAAATTAATAAGTAAATGAAGAGGTAACAAGGTAAATTTGTAAATGATATAGCACATTGCTTTCCAATCAGTGACTTGTATAAAAAGGCCGCCTTTAGAGGCCGTCCATTATTTATCGCCTTCAAGGTGGTGAAGGGGGTTGGGAGTTTGGTGGAGGACTTTGGTTGTGTTATTATAAAATTTACCCTTTCCCCCCACAGTAGACTCTGTAATTTTTTTATTATTCCTCCCTCCCCCCTCCCATTATGGGCAATAAAGTAGCAGTAAATTTTTCTATACTTCTTCCTTTATACCCCTGAAAAAACATGTGATCCCCAACATTCTCCATCCCCTTCCCCCACCCGTTATAGGTAATGATTGGTCACGCGTTTCAAACTGTTTGTTAATCATCCTTTCTAGCTATGTCGTGGACATTATACAATTTAGCAAGATTCCCTGAACACCAAGAAAAATGTCGAGAAGAGATAGATGCAGTGCTTGGCAGTAAAGAGGAGTTTGAATGGTGATTATTTTATGTTGCTCGAACGTGCATGTAGAGCGAGGAGAGAGATCCCTGCGCCTCAGAAAGGACGCGCAGTGATAGCTTCCTTCGTCCTTCGTGCTTCGCGCGCAGAATTTCTCGTCAGCGTGTCTCTTTAAATCACTTGCGTGCGGGTGAAACGCGCTCTGTCTTTCCCCACTGATTAGATACGTTCTGATAGGTTGGTAGTGCGGTTAATTCGCTCGTTCGTGGGCTCGGGTATGCATGTTAGCAGACATAGAGATTCATGAAGGATCTTTGATTTGTGGTCGCTTAGTAAGAAAAATTTTCATCAGTGTCGAAAGTAATCTAGGATTGGTTTGTTTTATCTTTACTTCACTCTGATTGGTCCGGAAAAATCGCGGCACTCTCTGAACCAATCAGATAAGAAACTATTAGCAACTACGACTTGGTCACCCGTATTTTCTTGCGCTTTAGCTAGTTTGGTCGTATTGTATTTCAGTTCTCTTTGGCTCTTAAAGGTTTTTCCTTTTCTTTTGATTGGCCAATGTGATTACGACACTCAATCGAAAAGCGCTCTAATTGACAGGGATTTCAAGGTCTGCAGATGTGTTAGCGTTAGTGTTCCGCAGTGGTCTGTCAACAGTACAGATCAGTAGAAACGATACCAGAAACATTTGCGAAGAAGACGAAAGGGAGAAGTTGAGTAGAGCTATCCCAAATTACATGTAATCTGAGGGTTGAGGATATAGCAAAACCACGCCATGTTCGATTTGAATCCTTATTCTTTACTTTAATTTTCATACTTGTGTCTTTTAGGAGCGATCTCAATAAATTAAATTACGTTCACTTGTGTATCAAAGAAAGCAACAGAATCTACCCTCCAGTGCCGAGGATAGGTCGCTTGTTGGACAAACCGTATGAGATTGAAGGAAAACTACTTCCTGAGGGTATGTTGTATTTTCGATTTTAATGAAAATCACCTAAACAGCAACATTTAACCAGGTCGAGTAGGAGGGTCTTTGCATTTTTAACTTTCCTCAACTTTTTCTTATTTTTCATTGCATGAAACAAACTGATTTCATTTAGTCATATTTCTGTCCAGTTCAAGATTGTGCAAGTCGCACGTGATAAGAATATCAATGACACCACTCGCTAAAGGCTCGTTCAACTCGATTGCTCACGAGTGAGTGCAGCGAACAAGTGATATGTCGAGTTGAACACTGAAAGAGAAGTTCCATATTTACGATCAACCATGGCTTTTTTTGTTTATCATATAAACACAATAGTCCTTTACTGACCAGTCGTAACAAGTTTGTCTCGTGGAGCTAACCAGGTTACAAAATAAAATCAATCTCACGTAAGACTGTGATTTTGGTTTGGTAAAGAGATACAAAGTGGAAGGAAAGTTAAAGCTTTTCTTTTGTAGGCAGTTTATCGTAACTGCTCTCCGAGTCCCGCTTTTTGTTTAGTTTGTCTTTCTGCTCGCTTTTTTTTTTGTTTTTGTTTTTGTTTTTTTTTTTTTCAGGAACATGGGTTACTACTCACATATTTGCCTTGCATCGTAATCCGCACGTATGGTCAGATCCCGAGGTAGTTTGAATTATCACGCTTTCTCTCTTAACGAAGCTAAGACAGAACGTTCACTTGAATGATTTGTTTTAGAATGAAACAGAAGTCTCTTTCTCTAGACCTTCGCTTCGCACTTGGGAAGTACCATTCCGTTACTTTTTAATTCCGTTGTAGATCCAGATCCAAGTCACTGTAGAATCGAAATGTGTTCCTGATCTTGATAACAGTCTAGCATTTTCCTATGCACGTATTGCCTATGGTTAACTGAATTTGTTTAGTTAAGAAAATTGTCACACTAAATCAATGTCTGGAAAGGTTTTTTAATTGTATTAATTATTTCTTTTAATTATTTTTTTTTTTCAGAAATTTGACCCTCTTCGTTTCACAACTGAAAACATAGAAAAGATGTCACCCTATGCGCACGTTCCTTTCTCTGCTGGGCCGAGGTAACCATTTGAATTGTTTTATAGTTTGTTCTGATAATAAAGAACAATTGGGTGAAGTTGAGTATGACATCATGAATTATCAAACCGAAATCTAAGTTATTTGCCGAAGCTGAAGGCTAAGGCACAAAACACAGATACGCGGTTTGATAATATAAAATAACGGTTTTGATAATTCATGATGTTACAGTCAACTTAATCCAGTAATTTCTTATAGATTGCATGCTCTCCACCCATCAGATTTTTCCTAGTAAGTCATAATGTATAATGATGGTCATGTTTGGTGGTTAATTCATGAATTTATTTGGGGCAAAATGATTATTTTAGCATCTTGCCTTTAAGCATTTTGGCGTACTTCGCCTTGTAAGAGGAATTCTTCGACAGTATCTGATATTTAGGAAAGTCAAAGTAACTGTTCATGACAAAATTAAAACTAAAATCAGAGTCGATGCAGGAATTAAGAACCAAAATAGGTGGGATAAGGTTAAGCCACAACAAAAATGACAGAGACAAAGAGTAAAAATAAAAGATTGAATCTACCCAAATACTAGGTTGGCTAATCAAGTTGGGTGGAAACAATTGCTTCATAACCCTTTGACCCCTTAAGAGTGACTTGCAGCTAATTTCTCCTGATAGGATCACTAATGAATCAGATATTAATCGCATTAGGTCACGAGAGTAAAATAAATGATTGCCAAGTAAAGGAGCTCTTGTTAGTATTATAAGAAATAAATATAGAATAGCATGCAGAATATGAATACTCATGTTAGGATGTAAAGGGCTAAATAGAAATACTGCTTCACCACAAAGCTCGTAAAAGTTTTTCACTGTGACATGTTCACGTGTGACATGCTTCTGGCATCCATCCGCATTGTTTCTACAGGAACTGCATTGGACAAAGTTTTGCTCTGGCTGAGCTGAAAACTACAGTAGCAATGATCCTACGAAAGTAAGTGAGCTCACATAATACTGACTAATAATGATATGATTTGGATTTAGACTACCATGCTTTGCGATTTGCGAACAGACGCACTCGTGGCGTCCTGGTAGCTAATCAGATGTAATTATAGACCTGCTGGTAATGTGATCATATACTTTTCGTCATGCGTGTGCGAACGACCTGTGTGCCCGTACGTTAGCGCGCCTCGACGTGCATTTGAGTGTATGGGATGCGAACAGTTGCATTCACAAATTGTTGCAATTTTTTTTGGTTCATATTATTATTTTTTTCTTAATACAGGTTTGAACTTAGTGTTACCCCGCAGAACATCATACAAGATTACAAAGATCTTCAGCCTCACTTGATCCTGCGAGCAAAAAATGGCATCGTTGTGAACATTTCACCAAGAAGTAACTCATGATAAAGAAAAAATGTTGACCAAACTTGATAACATTTCTAAATGATTTTAATACACTTCTTTCAAAGCAAAACCAAAAGCATATTTTTGAAAGTTTGTTCAACCTGAAACAAGTCATCCAAATTGTATTTCCTGTAGTTCCTTTACTGTCTCTGTTTATCTAGTTTTCTGTCCGAATTAGAAGGAAGATAACGACGAACCAGGTAAGGAAGAGTGAAATACGTTTTTTTATGGTGAACTTCGTAGAAATATATGACATAAGCGTGATCCTCTTAATAAAAATTTTTTTCTGATTAATTTGAAAACACTTCTGTCAAGGCAAACCAATAGCATAAATTTAATTTTTTATACCTTTCTCTTTTTTTAAGAAAGAGTATGCGTAAGTTTTATTTTCGCTGTTAATGAGAATATATAAAAATTTACTACTTTCTTGGTGAAGAGGTGCACGAAAGAGTTACATCACCTTTAGAAGATTCTTTTCAATTTTTCTAAGAATTCGCCTATTTTGCCGCCATTTCGATTATAACTCAGTAACTTGGTCACTGTGACGTTATATTAAGGCGGAGACCTCCCAGGCTACGTTCGTTGATCTCTCCCTATTTTTCCCTTTCGAATCTCAAAATGCGAGCAAATAAAACCCGCATCTTTAAAAGTTGAAAAGGTCAGGGTGACAGCAACAAAATTGGTTTGGACTTTGGTAGGACATATACATTTTATAAAATATGAAAATATGAATGCTTTCCCCAAACGAAGTTTACTAAATGAATTAGTCTCTGCTGAATGACGTTGGGTAGCCTAGTTCCAGTTGCTGTGGTCGCTCAAGGTATACTTTCAGCAGACACACTATGATGTTGTCGTTTGTATGTTCAGCGTCACAGGCGTTAACCGCTAGGAGCTGATTTTATGTCTCACCATGTGGTTCAAGAAGGGCAAGGAATTCTGTAGAAAGTAATGTAAGTGTTTTCTGATTAACTCTCTCCATTAACCCTTGACATCATTAATCAGTATGCATACTTCCTATAACGTTCCCTATGCGTTTCTTCAATATTGACAAGAGGAATCCGTTTAACAATCAAAGCCTCCTAGGTTGGTGATAATTCAATGTAGCATTGTTTTACAAGCCAATTATTCACAAGGAAAGTACGTCGTACTTGTTATCGGTCACTCAGTAAGTGAATCAGTTCATCGGTTAGTCAGCGAGCTTGTAAAGAAGAGGGCCATTCGAACAGAGAATGAGTAACTTTATCGGTCACCTCGTCAGGCGTCAGGCTGGCAACCAGCCAGCCAGCCAACTGTTAGTTTTTAATCAAGTCGCAAACTATGGACATAAATCCACTCTAAACTCACCTTGGTATGTTACTCTTTTGTCTTCATCCAGTTTGGCACTGACAATCATCTCATGAAGTTCCTCTCTTGGGATTCTTTTGTCCATATTTAATAATATATAGCGTAACTCCGCTGATTCAATGTATCCCTTATTGTCGGCGTCGAAAACTCGAAACGCTATCATCATGTCCGCCTCTCGCTCATCGGGTTTCTTTTGATCTTCCATCAATTTTACAAACTCTGGAAAGTCGATCACACCGTTTCCTTTGTTAGAAGAATACAGAAGTCGTTAATATTTCTGTTCGGTTGAAACATTAATTTTGTCAGCCAACCCTCACACATTCCGTTTGACGAGGTCAGTATTTTCGTGTTTCAATTTTATGCACGTTTCCTTCATTAAAAGAAAATGGTTCACTTTTTCATGTGGTAGTAGCAAGAATTTCCTTACGCATCCATAAATCTATTTTCTACGAAATTTCTGAAATATTCAAGAGTTTTCTCTTTCAATTTATGCTGTGAAAAAATGGATGACACCATTTTGCTCATTTAACTTCATGGAATGGTGACTCCTCGACAAATATGAGGTAGATTAATTTTTTCTACCTATTCTTATTCTACCCTTTTTTCTAGCAACATTTGACGCCTACAAAGTTTTGTTAAAGTAAAGAGATGAAAAAAAAGGTTGCTTCCTTTTCAGTTTTTTTCCTCCTAACTTTTTGAAATGCTGCCGCAACATGCATTAAACATATGTTTCCAATGTCAGAAATGAATGTAACTTACTGTCAATCTTTTGAAATGCCTTCAAACCATGTAAGACCGCTCTGCGGCTTAGATTTACAAGTTTTCTCGTGTTATGGCTAAGTTTGATCAAACCCCACTCGTTTTATGCTCGTAACAGGTTATTTCCCGTAGGCGTTAACACACTTGTACAAATATTGCACGCCCCCAGTCATCCTTTTACGTAAGAATTTCAACAACGCGTCACTTGACTTGTCAATAACTAGTGTCAAGTTCTTAGAAATAGGGACTTTAAGAAAACCAAGTCATTGAAGGCACAGAAGATCTCATGTTTTAAAACTTCTTCATTTTTCTTCGGCGTCCGAAACAAAACAAAAACGTGAAATCATCAACTTTTACGCCCTCTAAGCGAGTAAACCTCGACAGCAATTTTCTCACCTTTTTATTTTAAACTCAACGCTACGCTGACGTGCTATGCCGAAGGGTAGATGTCGCACCGTTGGAAACGGTAGATGTGAGCTACTAGTGAAATTCATAGGGGAAAGGAAACATCGCTTTTTGACAACTTTATCCCACACGGCGCTGTGGTAACATCTTAAACTCTCTATTATATAAAGAAACAGCGCTTTGCAGCGTTCAATTTTCATTGACACTAAAAGTTTTATTTTGCCTGTCTGTCTCCAGTGTAACTCTACGACATGTTTACAAATTTTATGTTCCCCAGAAAATGGCCTCATAACGTAATCAGAGCGCAAGAGGCAATCGTATCGAGTAAGCTTGCTCTTACATAACGAAAAAACAAAAGTAATAAAGATGTATTTAGCAATGAGATAAAATTATATTAAAGATGAAAAATTAAACATAGTTCATGGTTCATGACCATTTAGCAAATGACTTATCTTTAAAAATTTCGTCGAGGCGATTTTGAAATTTTGTATCCCTGGTTTCTTTACTCAACCGAAACGCATCCATACTTAATGAGTCCATTGTTATCTTGCGTTTGTCGTTTATAGAAAAAAGTAAAATTGTTTTTTATTTTCCTCCAATATCATGTAAGATACGTCCTCAATCTCGGAAGTTTGCACCTGAGACCATGCCGTTGTGTTGAGTCGTACTGCATTCGAATAAATTGTAGGATTCACAGTTATTATAATTATGAATCAATTACAGAACGTTAAACGAAAGTATCACATGGATGTAATTAAAGAGGGTATCGTATCGAGATCTCTTCCAAAGATAAGATTAACAGAATAAAATATTTACTTGTTCAAGAACATAACGTGCATTTTTGCTCAAAAGCCTTTTTTGCTCTGAAGATTAAGGGCTAACGCTCGTAACGTCAACTTTAGAAACTCTTTACGGTAGGTTGATGAAATCAAATTTTTTTGTAAACCCCCGCAGCACCACAATTTCGTTAAAGACTTACCTGTCTTTTCCGTCCTGATTTCTATATATCGATTTTTATTTAAAGCTAACAACACAAAGAAGGGGCGAAATATTTTAGCTGAACGGCAATAAAGCAAACCAGTGAAAATTTTTAAGTAGAGTAAATGAAATCCATTTCAGTCAGTTTTATTACCGTTGATCTGTAAAATATTGAACAAACTGTCAGTGCTTTGTGAGGTAAGATCGTGTATTCTCACATAGATTTTCTATTAATACAATTATCCCCGAATTTTTCAATACATGCTTCATTAAAGTTGGAATATTTCCTAGCTTGTAGGATGACACAGTTTCGCATTTGCATATTCTTTTAACCTAGCTGCTCAAATAAGATCGGTGCCAAATTAAAAGCGTTGTATTTGATTTACAATTCAAATCTGAAATCGAAAAACGTGATCTTTCGAACGCCGGCTATTGTCAAGTTTTCAGGGCACATGCGAATGGTGTGGCTTTTCAGTGTTTTCTAAACCCAGTTTTCCGGTATATTTGACAATTATTCACCGACTCTGAGTTGAATTATTATTTTAGTAAATATTGCATAGAAACCGAAAAATAATAGTTTATTTCTGTCGATAAACCAAAAAAGACTGATCGGAAATTGAATTGTTGACGCGTGATTTTTTCTTTTCGGCTGCTTGGAGGTGGACAGGTACTCAGAACCAGCCAATCAGCGCGTGCGAAACGCGCCATTAACCAGCTTGGTATATCATACCTACTTTGATATTTTTGCGCTCGCACAAACAAAAATCGAACACGTTGACAATTATCGTAATTATTGCTGATCTCAAACAAAAGCGGGTAAATATTCAGAGGCGAGTGTTTACCCACCACACTTTTGGCTCAACCATCACAGGTTACCTTTGCCGTCGCAATAAGTTTTATCATGGGAAACAAACGAGGAAAGTGCACGGGCGCTTATTTAAAATTTCGACTAAAAAGGTGGGGGTGTGGGAGAGGGGGCGGTAATTTGAAGGAGAGCGCTTAAGGGAGGGAGGCGCTTATCAATTTTTCCTTTCAGCGAACTGTGACTTTATTTTGGCTACATCCTAAATAGAAAAACAAAAACTACAACATTATCCACGAAGAAGTAAAGTCAATATCAACATGTTTTGTTTGTTTAAACAAAAGAGGAAAGACTTATTTTCTTAATAAGATGACAACGAAGAAGCCAAGAGGTATGACGAAAATGCACGATCGTAGGAATAACTGTTACCCAAAGGATAGAGAATGGTCTGGTTGTGCGTGGGAAGTTAATGGCATTTACCATGCCAAGAGCGCCGCAAAAAGGTCAAAAATTAAAGGAACAGATGACGCACATGGAGGAACTCTGCAAGCGTATGGAGATAGAAATAACTGGAACGGAAAAGAAAATATTCTCCTTAACTGATCCTTAACCTTATGGCAAATTAAGCGGCACATTAATTATCAATTCATTTCTAGAATTATTTGAAGATAAAAAATTTAGCCAAACGTGAGGTTTTTTAACTTCTCGTCAACTTCAAATGGAATCACATAAGAAGTCACTCATCGCTTTAATGACCGTTTTTATGCTAGAGACGTTAATGTTGTCTAAGACGTTAAAGTCGTCTCGAGACGACTTTAACGTCTTAGACAATTTTAACGTCTCTAGCACAAAAACGGCCAATTTCAAGCTGAGAAATAATCCACCTGTACTAATTTCCAATAAATTAGCAATGATGACCATCATCAAATGAGCCTGCGCTTCTTGAAGATAGACCTGAAAGACGTTGACAAGGGAGTCAAATTGTCTAGTCTTCATCAACTCAAGCGTTTATCGATTTTCGATAGAGCAATCTTTGTGTTAGACGACGCATTCATAAGCTCGTTTATGCTTTTAAACGCCTTAAAGGATTTTTAGATCATAATTAACATTTTAACACTGGCTCCTCAATTCATAATTATCAAACTTGCCATGTCAGCAACCTGAGAATTGACAGATCTCGTAGCAGTGAAGGTCAGTTATGCTCTTCCTTTTTGTTTTTTTTGAGGAATGGAATGAAATTCCAGTAGAAGCCAGAAACAATGAAACTGTTAACAGTTTTAAAAACGCTATCTCACAATTTTTACCTTAATTTCAGATACTTTGCAGTTTTTAGCTCTTTTATTAAGTTAGTGCAATTTAAGAAAATCTGCAGTTTCTAACTCTATTTTGTTAAGTTTAGTGTAAATGTTATTCTTTGTTTTTAGTTTTTAGATTTTAGTTTTTAATTTTAAAAACAGGACTCGCCTGAAAAACCACTTGTGGGTGAGGCGACCTCCTGTATAAATACTGTGATAATGATGATAATGATGATGATGATTATTATTATTATTATTACTTTTCAAACTGTTCGTCTTTCGTCGAAGCTCCGATAAAATACCGATCATCCTCTTCACTACCCCTCTCCCTTTCGTTCGCCTTTCGTCGCAGCTCCGACGAAATCCCGATCATTCTCTTAACTACCCCTCTCCCCTAAGAAACACTCACCATCGTAATCAACCGAGTTGATCATGATTTGTAGCTCGTTGTCAGTTGGATTAAAGCCTAAGGATCTCATCACTGAACCAAGTTCTCTTGTGGTGATGTAGCCATTGCTGTCGCGATCAAACAAACAAAAGGCGTCTTTGTATTCTAAAGAAATATGATATAGTATCAGTACTTGTTGAGGTACTCTCAATGGAGACAAACATCCATCATTTATTTTCAGGCCTCCTCAGATAAGATTTATTGCGATTTTCGATTGAGTATCGTAAAACAAAAACTAAAGTAATCGCGACATCCAATCAGAAGAAAGGAAAATACCTTAAATAGCCAATGAGGAATCAAGTTAAAAACAACAAAACTGCCCAAAGTGCTGGGAAATGCGGGTGACCTAATTTTGATTGAGCATGGTTTTTACTTTTGTATCTGGTTGAGTGGGCGGTGCGAGTTTTCTGGGCCAATCACAGAGTGAATGAAAGGAAAACCAGTGAAATTTCGTATTTCTTTCGATACTCCTTTGAAAATAGCTCAAGTGCAGAGAGGCAAAAGCAGGAATTAAAACGATCACGCAGAATTCACCCTATCATACTCTCTTCACACACGAAGACATGTTGTTGTGACGCACAGCTCGTTCGTAGAACCAACATGTGCTGAGTTGTATGTAAGTGGCCAAATCATTTGTTTCAGCATAGTTACACCCTATTCAGAGAAAAGGTCGGCATTGACTGAGCCAAGTCTATGGAGCTACGTTTCCATTGCTAGCACAGTATTATGGAAATCTGCCGTTGAAAAGGAGCCTTTTAGAGGCTTCTTTCTTTCTTAAGAATGACATGTAAATCATACCTTGTACTTGCTCCTCGGATAGTTGCTCCTGTACCATGAAAATATAACAAAAATAATTCTTAACCCTGGCCACCTCTTGTGTCACGTAGATTGGCGTCCAAATAAAAGGAGACGACAATTCGACCACTGATTGGGGGAGGGACAGGGGTTAAGACAAAAAATACGCTGGTGCATCAAGATAGGATGAGGTGGTGAGAAAAATAAAAAGATATTCATATAACCTTCATTTTTACAAAAACGCTGAGGTATAAATAATTCTCCTTTTTCCCTGCTGAAAGAGTAAAGATATCAAACTCTAAAAAAGTCAGCGATATCCCAGTCACTTTTCTTCAGCGAATGATATAGCTTCGCCAATCGAGTTCGTTAAACATTCACACAAAAGTTATCTCAACAGATTCTAAAGGAAAAAATATGAATGAATGAAGAAAGTTGTGAATTTAGAATTACTGAACTAACCATGACAAAAATTGTGAAGATGTACACATGCATATAAAAAAAATACTCAATCCGTGTTAGATATCATTATCGCTAATCATAATTTATTATTCTTTTGGTTTGTCACATGTTTGTTTAAAAATCTCCACTAATTCGGTTCCTTAGGAAACGTGAAGATATCCTCGAATCAATTACGACACAAGACACGCAAGGATCTTTTTATCAGGGGACGTTTTGAAAGCTCATGCGAGCCCAAAATGGGAAAAAAAAAGGCTCACTTTGATAATGACGGGCGAAATCCAAATCCCATCACGTCATCTTTATTATTTAACTTATTTTACAGCTTCTTTTATCATGAGATGTACATATCTCTCTTTGAAAGAACTAACCAGCTGCGAACAAACAAATGAAAAAAAATTCGTGACAATTTGCTATTTTTTTTTATACCGTTATTATCTTCCCACATGAAAAGTTAATTTTCTCGAGAAGCTATTGATTTTAATGTAACCTTCCCAGAGAAAGTCTGAATTATCCATGGGCAATTCGCAAAAACATTAATCTTAACTGAAGAGGGACAACAGCACGCGACGCATAAATTATGATAAAACGGAAATAAATGGCCGAGTAGTTAGTGAAAAGAGTAAAAGACCAGTTTTTATTTCTGATTTACGACGATTTCGCCTTTTTTCAGGGTAATAACGAAATAAAAGAACTTCAAATCAATTCAAAACGCAAAAAGCGGTCAGTTTCGACAGCAAAAGCAAGGAAGTGAATTGAGGTGAAATCAATAGCTTTACGACAATATGGGCTTTTTCCTTGAAACGCTGAAACAGGAGAAAAAAAAAAGGGAAAAAGGAGAAAAGCCGAACACTGAGAACGTATTGACGGTTAAATACGATTTTTATGGGAAAATAAAGCTACAGGATGTAACAATTCGCTCGGGTTCCTTAGTTCATGGGTGGATTATAAAGGTTTTTGCGTTAATAGCAAGGAAAATGAAAAGAAAGGTTTATATGTGGCGTTCGTTAACACATAAATGTTGTTCTCCTTTTTTTTAAAAAACGAGTCAAACTAAATGCTATGGATTCAAGGCAAGCGAAATATTTTTCAGATTTTTGTATTTGAATTGAAAAATACTCACCATTTACTCCAGGTGTTACTCCACAAGAAAAGATGCAATGAAGAAAATAAGTGTAGCAGCAATACTGTGTTAGCAACGATCACACAATCGGTTTCGTGCGTCGCCTAATGGTCTAACTTCCATCAAAAGTCATTTACATAATTGTTACATCCAGCTTTTTGCTACTGATTGGAGATTGACTTCTCTGTCCAGGTCATTATCCTATTTTTTAGAGCTTAAAAGTGTTCCCTCTTACTAACAATAAAACTGTCATCTCATGCTCACAAAAGATCTTCTTTTGCATATTCTAATAGGTTTGCATCGCTGTTTTGAACCAATATTCTCAACGCGGTTATTTCTGATCTTTTTCTGCTCGAGATTGGGGAGCCACAACTGGAAAAAGATTTTTATGGGTAACAACACAATATTATAACTATTATCAGATGATGAACAATTTTTTTTCCTCTCTTTTTTTTATTTATTTATTTTTTTCAAATGCCGTCTTTAGGCTAAAATGTTTTGTTTTTACTCATTTCTTATTGCTGTATTGAATATTACTTTCTTCATCATTTGCTTTTCAAATCTTAAGTATATGGTTCTCACATGAAACATTTTGCGCATGTCCTTTCTCGCTGGACCTTAATGCGTATACGCACGCTTACCACCATCAAAAGAGTGGCTGGGTAGCCTTTTCCTTGGCCGGAGATCGCTCCCTCTCATAAAGCACTACATTCACATAAAGCAAACCACAATTAGCCAATCCGAATCCTTGTTAAAAAAGCTCAAACAATCTGATTGGTTGCACAAGACTAAGGCTCTCAAAACTGTCAAACAGTCAAAGATCACAAACTGAGATAGTTCGGCAGGTCCAATTAACGCTTTTGCCTAAGGTTTTTTAGTCTCAGTACAAAAACTGAGAGTGAAATTTTCAATGAAATCCGGCCGACTTGTGACTCATAAAAACATACAAGTATTTTTACAAAACAAAGTGCCCAAGGCGTGAGTTTTATGAATGAACGACAGCCGAATTCACAGAAACATGAAGATTACTCAGGATGACAGCGCCGTAAACTCGGCCGCTGTGACTGATCCGGCTCTCCACTCATAACATCGGAAAGGATATCAGAGCAACCTCTTTGTTGTTCACTTGAAGGGCGGCCGATGTAATTTCTGAGGCTTACTTCACTGCGATGACCTGAGATCACCATGATGAGCTAGCGGCGATGGACCTCAGCATGATCGCAGTGTCTCTGACACCATCATAGTTTGTATGAAGTCTACAGCTATGCCAGTTTGGTAATATTTTCATCATTCCTGTTTTGTTGGTTTGTTTTTGAAAACTGAAATTTATATACACTAAACGAGTGTTAGCTGTGTTTGATTTTTTATTACCGTACTAAAGCTCACAATCTAACTGAACGTGAAAACCTTCAAGACGCGGACTGTCCATTCCGTTTTCTCTTTGATAATTTCCGTCTCTTTCCACGATAATAACGTCAATTACAGCGCTTAGCATGCTTACAAACCTCTGTTTGGTTTTCTGTTGCTACTTGTTAACTCGCTTGTACTCTGGTAAAGCATGCACTTCCAACCAATGAGAATGCGCGTTATATCCGATTTTTGTTCCAGAACTTCTCTTCTAATTAACGAAAAGTGCCAGAGAGAAGTACGGAAAATTGTCAGACATAGTAGTATAGTACAAATTGGCAGATGGCGAGACAACTTTAGCTCAGCTCCGTGTTTTGTACTCTGATAGAGCACGCACTTTCAACTAAAGAGAGCGAGCATTATATAAAACTGGTTCAGTTTCGTTCAATTTTTAAGCGAACCTTTGCATATAAATATCTGTAAGTTTTTCGTACTGTGAAGAGTTTGGTCAAAGGAAAAAAGCGAGACCTTTATGAGGAATTAACTCAGACTTGCCATTTTCTGACGCCGATGTTCCTCCAGTGCGCTTCAGAATTCTCTGTGGCAAGTTTAGTAATTACCAGATTCCGAAGCGACACGCTAATCATAATTGGAACACATAATTTTGCTATTTTCTATGCTCGAGACCAAGGTCAAAATGTATATTTCCTTCTAAAAATAGCATCATTACTTGCAATGACAAGTTATGGAAAATTTCAATGGATTCGAGGGCGAACACATCTTACTTAAATACAGAAGTACTGAAATCTCAAGATTTAGATGATAAGAAATCTTGATATTTTAGAGATAGTTGTCTGAAGATTTACATTCTTTCTTTATGAAACATGACCTTTAACTTTCTTAAATATAACATATTCTAGGGGTACGTTATTAATTGTTGGTAAACAGACTAACCGTTAAAAAAGTTCCTATAGTTCATGTGCTTTCTTGAGACAAAACATCCTCCTCATTTTCTTATCAGTCACAACGCAAATGTTCTAGATCTGATTTGATAGCTTCGTTATTGAATTTTGGACAAATGAATTTTCCACCTGGTGCTAAAGGTCATGATCTCTTCCTTATCTGCAATATGTCTTATTTCATCAAGTTGTACAATACTCTTCTAAATTTCGTCGTGCCAGGGAAATTATGTGCAAATACTCAAATGAACTTTAGAAAATCATTTCTGACACAAATCCAATGTGGAACTTAGAAGTTATATAGGGACCTTGCTTTTCCTATGCGTAAGAGGTGAACTAAAACACAAAATTAGAATCTTCTAAGGAAATTAAGGAACTTCAAGAGAGAAAGAGAAACGTAATATAGATATGTTCCTTCATAGAGCTGAGCTTGAAATAAGAAGAGGATCTAAACCTCGAGAGGATGACACGGAATTATTGTAAAACTTTCTTGCCTATAAAACAAAAAAAAAAGAACGACTTCCTTCGTGTTATTTTCCTACGCGTGAAGTTGATTTGATAAATACAATTTCTACCGCGAATATTCCATTATTATGAAGCCAAGTTCAAAGTCTGCCTAGTTTCCACACCTCTAGTCCGTGTGGTGTTCTTAAACTTTTGCAAACTCCGAGAGAAGTGCCTTCTTTTGCTTAACAAATAGAGAAGCCTTGACTGTGCTCTGTTCTGTTATAAAGCACGCAGGAAGCGGCTAGAGCACGAAAGAAGTGTAAGAAGAAACACAAGACGTAGTCGAGTGTCTCTCCCCACTTCTTGAGTGCTCTGGCCGCTTCCTAAGTGCTTTATAACGGAACAGAGCACAGTCAAGGCTTCTCTATTTGTTTCATAACAAAGAATCCGTTAAATTCCCCAAGAATTACTTTCAATTTTCAAAACAAACTTTATTTCCAAAGCGAACAACAGTGTCGTCAGCATGCTCTATACTCTCACAAAGCACGCTCTAATAAGCCAATTAGAATCCCTGTTAGAATAGTTCAAATAATCTGATTGGCCGTACAAGACAAAAGCTGTCAAAGGTGTCAAACCATCAAAGTTCACAATCTGCGATAGTTTACAAACTAAAATAGTTCGGCAAGTCGAATTTAACACTTTTGCTTGAAGTTTCTAAGTCTCTAATAGAGAATCTTGAAGAGAAATGTTCAGTGAACTTCAGCCGAATAAAAAACAAAAAAATAAATAAAAACTTCAGCTCATAAAAACACGCGAGTTTTTTCACATGACAAGGTAGAAAACAAACTGTGCAAGGCGAGTGTTTTTTGAATGAACGACAGCCGAATTCACCGGAACATGAAAATCGCTCGGGATGACAGCGGTGCAAAACTTGGCTGTAGTGACTGATGTGACTTTCCACTCAACGCATCGGAAAGGATATCAGAGCAAGCTCTTATTTTTTCACTCGAAGGGCGGCCGATGTAGTTTCTGAGGCTTGCTTTACTGTTATGACCGGAGATCACCATGATGAGCGAGCCGCGATAGACTTCAGCATGATCATATTCGCTCAGACACAATTATGATTAGTATGAATTTTAACAGTTATGCCAGTTTGGTTATATTTTTCATCATTTCTGTTTTGTTTTTTAACACTGAACTTTATATACTATACGAGTGTTAGCTGTGTTTGATTATCATTACCGTACGTAAGCTTGCAATCTAACTGAGCGTGAAAATCTTTAAAACTTGGAATGTCTATTTTGTTTTTCCTTTGAGGATTTTCCTATCTGCTTACGTTTTAATAACGTAAAATACGGCGCCTGGTATGTTTACAAACCTTTGTTTGGTTCTTCTGTTGCTACTTGCCGGCTCGCTTGTTCCGAAATTTCACTTTCAATTATCGAAAAAAAGCTAAAAAGAAGTCTCGCAAAAGGTCGAACAATACAATTTGGCAGATGGCGTGACAGCTTTAGCTCAGCTCTATGCTCTATACTCTCATTGAGCACGCTCTTTCAACCAATGACAGCGCGCGTTATATCCGAACTTTATTTAAAAAAATTTAATTAAGAAATGTCAAGAGATTAGAAATATTGTAATTTCTTGAAAATTTTTGATAAAAAAATTATTATATTCGTTGTTAAGGACACTAGCCAGAAGGCTCATTTTTATTTAATTGATTACTGATTAGTTTAATTATTCCAGAATAAGCTAGATACGAACATAGTTATAATGTTTATCTGTTTGTTTATATTTCAGCGTCACCACGCGCATATATAAGCGAGTTTAGCGTCCCTGTAATCAGTTCTTTGTAAGTTTTTGGGTAGTCTTAATGAACTTTCGTCTTTTCGTTTCTTAAACTTTTGGCACAGGCGGGACCAATATGTAAGGACGTTTGTAACCCTTGTTTTCTCAAGTTTAGTTTCTTGAGTTTAGTTTCCAGCATTAGGCGAAAGTATACAAACAGATATTTTGTTGTTTTGCCGTATTTTCAATTGATTCGAGACCTAAAGGTCAAACTTGTATCAGATGCAAGTGAACGCCCACCATTTAGATAAGAACGATGTTAACCAGCCACCAAATTCTTATAATTTTTGTACCGAAACTTTTGTACTTTAAAGTAGTTTGTATTGGTTTATTTGTATTGTTCATTTTAATTTTAGTCTCGTTATCGCCGTTAAGGCCCAGCTTTCTACACGCGATTATTGATTATGTATTTCGCAACATTTCATTAGATGGATAGAACTTCGTTGTATTATTGTTTCAGTTTGCGATCGATAGATCGATCGAATGATTGACTGCTAGATTGATCCTGATTTTGATCGTTGATTGTGGTTCGTGGTCGATTACTAGCAAGATTTAAGATTCGCGTAAACGGTCAACTTTGGCCTGTTATTCTTCAATCTCGATCTGTAAAATAGCCCCAAACACCTGTTAACCGCGTCTTGGAGCGACACCCCAAGGAATCTTACGAATAAGATTTTTTGGTCGCCGCAAGTGTTACATTCGGGTTGAAGTTTGCCTGATATTTTTCATCCAATAATTGCTTAGTGCGACCGTAAAACTTCTTGTCATATTGTTTCCCACTATTGTCGCGTTTTCGTGTTAATCACAATTGAGTTTTTGTATGTTTTAGTAGTTACATCGTGTGCTACTTGTAATGTGTTAATATCGTTGAGTAATTTTCTTTAAATTATGTCGAGTTATTTTGCCATGTTTTGTTAAAAAATGAGTCCACTGGATCCATGATTATGTTTGCCTTTTAGAAGCCGCTTCGTCGTTTCTTAATTGCCTGTCAAGTTATGCACCGCTAAAGTAAATGTTTTTCTCTATCGAGATTTTGCTTGCCAGATTTTGTTCCCTTGCGTGTATTTTCCCAAGCCATAGTACCGTAGGTATGTGAATATTTTAGACATGAAGATGAGCACAAATTCGCAGGACTTCGGTGATGTACATCTTGCCTGATAAATACAACAGTTCAGGACCTCCTTTACGTGAACTCAATGTTTCAGCCAATTAATGCTCACATAAATGAAAATGGAGCTTAAAATATACTACCAAGCCAATTTTAGAGCTCATACTGTTTATCGAGACATAAAAAAAAATTAGAGGGATTTTATGGAAGGAAAGTACTTTATCTCTTATTTTCGTTTAATTTGAACGCACATTTTGGCAAGCAAAATTATGTAAGTTTTTCGTCTTGTCACGAGTATTGGTCAAAGAAAAAATTTAAGATTTTTGTGAGGAATCTAACGGGAACTTTCTGCTCTCTGGCACCGATGTTCCTCCATGAGCCAAAGATAACTCCGTGGTAAGTTAAGTAATTGCTAGATTTAGAAGAGGCACGTGATGCGTATTTGCTAGGATCACGCTCGAAACCAAAGTCAAAATTTATAACATACTAATACAAGCGTCAATACTTGAAAGAACGATCTATGGAAAATTTCAATGCACTAGATGACGAGCAATTCTCGCGTAGATACGAAAGTATCGAATTCTTAAGATTTTCGATGACAAGAAATTCTGGATCTTTGGACTGGAGTAATTAATTGAAAATATGAATTCTTTCTCAATAAATCATAACCGTTAACTTTCTTGAATTTTCCATTCTCCGGGGGTATGTTTATCAATTATTGGACAAGAGACCAATGTACAGTTTAAAAGTTCCTATTATTCATTTGCTTTTCCCAAATATTTTTATTCACTTATCATTCATTTCGTGGGTGTTTTGATTTCATGATCTCTTAAATTTTGAGTTACGATCCCTTTCTTATGCACAATAAGTCTCATTGGATCAAATTGTACTTTCCATTTCAAAATTAAGTCGTGTTGAGAAATTTATTTACAAAAACCCATTGTGTTCTAGAAAACTGTTTCTGACAGAAAAGTCTAGAAGAAGCTTAGAAGTAATTTACGGCCCTGGCTTTTTGTATGCATGAGAGTTGGACTTAGACATCAGGTGTGAGCCCTCTAAGAAATTAAGAGAATTAACTTCATTTAAGAAACAGAAACTCAATATAGACATATTTCTACATAGATCACTGAGCTTACAAGAGATTTCAACGATGCCTAAAATCTCCTGAGGATTCTAGAAACACCGAGCCTTTTGTTTGCTCAATGGCTCATAGGGAACTTTTGTGTAAGTCTGGGAAAATATTGGCCTCAAACATGGAAAGTAAATGTCTTCTACGCATAAACCCAAATATAGAACTAACCATGGTTCCACTTGCCAAATTCATTATATATCATTTACGCTTTATCTTTAATCTTAATTTCAAAAGTCATTACCAGAGAAGATGGCGAAGACTAATTACCCATAATAATTAAGCTTTCTCTGTCAACACTGATCATGACTACAGTGTCAAGTTGATGAACACAGCTCTTACAAATCAGGCTTGTTCCGTTACTTTTTTTCAGCTTTTATTGAGTCATAATGCAAAGCAGGTTCGACAAAAAAAAAAGTGTTCCTTCCATTCTCAATAGCGTGCAAGGTATTCAAATTTACACTTTAAATTCAATTAACGTTACGCATTATTGACCTTTCGACATATTCATAAAGATTGCGTGCATCTTTTACGCAAGCCGACATCAACAACGGCAGTTTTTGAAGTTCGCAGTGGGTCTCTTATTTTACTTCTGAAAGGGACGAAATATTCACATCTCCGGCCAACCAAATTTTAAACATTGCAAATACATACAATTTGTGAAAATTGTTGAAGCATTTTACTGATTCCATGAAAAAACACTGCTGATCTCAATCTCATGGTTTTTAATCCCAGATCCCGGAGCTGTGTCCTCTGATTCCACCCCCAGTTAGGCCATTAAAAGGTGTCTGATTCCATGCACACGTTGGACCAGCCAAATTTCCGGCATTATATAAACGTATACAATAGATGGAAGTTGTTGACGCGAATATCAGCTATAAGAAGCCAACAATTGTCTGACCTTGCAGCAATCAATGCGTATCGTGTATCGTTCTCTTGATTGGTAAAAGCTAACGGGCATGTTTATCAGATCGTAACATTCATGACAAAACGCGGGAAGAGGTATGCTCACATTTTATTGAAGTATTTCTTATTGTCGTCAAAGGAAAAAAAAAGCACCTTAAGGATGATGGATAGAAATTAATTGTTTCATATTGTCATTGCATTATCTTCTCCAGTTGCTCAGGATAATCATCAACAGAAAATGGATGTTTTAGAAATAAATGGTCTTCGTGTCCGCTCAGAGGTTGGTTTCAGTCCTCACGAAAGAGGGAAGCCACAAGAGTTGACTATTACTATGCATCTTCGAACTTCAATCAAGAAAGCTGGCGAATCAGATTGTGTAGAAGACACCATGAACCTCAAAACTATTACAAAAGACGTTCTATTTCATGTCGAGAACAAGAAGTACAATCTGATCGAAGCGGTTGCCACCGACGTTGCCCGTATTTGCGTTGTGCGACATGGTGTTCGGTCAGTTAAGATAACTGTCTACAAACCAAACTCCCTGCGCTTCTCTGACGGTTCTTCTGTGACGATTGAGCGATGCTTGGAAGACTTTGAGTGGAATGAAGTTCACATATCAATCGGATCGAACATTGAACCTCAGATGAATTTGCCGTTGGCCTTAAGTATGTTAAGAGAGCAAATGGGCATTGTGAAGTTGTCCGGCGCCTTCAGAACAACTCCCGTTGGTTTCACAGATCAGGAGGATTTTATCAATATGGCAGCCATTGTGAAGACCAAACTCGACCCAGCAGGGTGAGTATTGCAATTAAGAAATGGTCGTCACCTAGAGAGTAAGGGGGGTGCTTAGGTTAATTTTTGATGGGTATGTGTCGCAGGGCGGTATGCGCTTGAATAATTTTACTTCAAGTATAAATATCAAGTGAGTGTTTAGTCATTGCCAGTAACGTTACCAAGGCCATCCATTACTTCAGTGGTAGAAATTCTTTTTTCTATATCATCAGTCCGGGATCGTTATCAAATTTGATAACCCAGACCGAAACAAAATAGTTACCAATCGCTGTTCAGATTTACGTTCACGTGGCATGTTACTTGGGCAACAATAATATAATGAACATGGAGTCCGAAGGCCGAGCCACCTTGAGTTTACTAAACCGATTGTTTTCGACTGGAACTTGTGACTGTAGCTCACAAATTGCTGCACAAATGGAGAGGTAAAATTTCGGACCGTTATTAGATTTGAAAGTACGATGGCTTCTTCTTCTTTTCTCTCAGTCTCAATAGTTTTCATTCGTGTTATTTTGCTTTCTTGGCGGACGGTGTTGCCCTCAGGTTTTTCAGCGCTCGTTTTGGTACGTTCCAATTATGTATTTGAGCGAAAGAAAAAAAAGTTCATTTTCACCACTGCTACTCCACTATTGAATCTTTCAAATAAAAAACGGCTCCAGCCCATGGGCGAAACTCCAATTGATAAAAAATGTATGGAGAACAGTAGGAAAGATTTATTTGATAACACCTTTTCAATATTGAAAATCATCTTATTCAGTACATAGGTGTCGTGACTATTTTTTCTGTTTTTTTGGAGTTGCGTGACTGATAACCTCGTTTTGAAATTGTGAGCCTCGGTTCCAGTTACGTACCTCGTAAAAATACGTATCGGGGACGTTTTTTGAGAGAGCAGAGATTTTGAGTTGTGTTTTCCTAGTGATTAGAGTTTTAATTTTGTGAGGATTAAACCTTTAATTCGAAAACGGAAATTTGGTTCCCACATAAGAATAATCGCACAAAACTACTTCAATCAAAGCCATCCAAGATGATACACTTTTTCCGAATGAACAAATAAAGTAAAAGTGGGGAAACAATTATGAAAATGGTCAGATCATTTCTTGCTTTCCCAGCAAGAAACCAAAGTTTAGACCAATTATTTAAATGAATGAAGTGCAATGCTAAAACCCATTCAATGCCATGGTCAGAGCAGTTACGCAGTTTCATGTAACAATAACAATGATGGAAATGATGACCCAAATATGCAAAGGGAAGTGTACAGTGACTGAAAATAAACTTCATGATCATGATATTCCATAATATTCAGTGTCAGTGTCCATATCCTGTTTGAGTTCATTCACACATTTAATTGAAGACAAAAAGAAAAATTTCTTCTTTTATGGAGGACATTTCCTTGAAAATTACTGAGCTTAATTTGAAGCACAGTCTTGACATCTTCATCAGAGAGAAGCTTAATTTTTCTTCTCTACTCTCTGGAAATTCTCTGATTTATTTGCATTCTCGTTGCCTTCCCCTTTAACTCCATCTTCTCCAGTTGTAGACAAAGGTGTCGTTTGAACTTCAGGTCTTGGCTCTTATACTTGCATCAAGTGTTTAAGTGACAAATCTTGTCTGCTTTTCTTCACTTCAAAGGTTTTTTTCCTGAAGTATGCCACTGAGGGAAAGGTGAAATATCTGTAAAGAGGCATTGAAGAATTACTAAAAAAAATGTACAAAATCTAAACAATTACATTTTTATGATATCATATCATTACACATTATATTATCCGCAACGTTTTCATTTAACTTTTAGACGGAAGTACATGTATTTACAACATGATTGCTACAGCCATAGGTTTATGAAATTCCCCGAAAAATGTAAAATTTCCCCGACCGATTTACAATTTCCCAAACTAGCTCTAGTGATGATCCCCAACCACCCCCACAACCATCCTCTCCAGCAAAATATTCATGCTTTCAGTAAGCCGCATGCAAGGCCGGCAGATGAATTAACAGGTCCTTAACGCAACCTGGAAAAATGATTGATTTTGTTGGAAACCTAACAACTGCATCTCATTAATTTTCATAAAACACCACTGAACAATCCAGCACATTTTTTGTCAGCATTCTAAAAAACACAATTCAATCTGGAATTGACTACCACTAAAACCAATGTACATCTTTAGTAACTTAAACTCAATTTAGTTTATTTACAATTCATTTTTATAAAAACCTAATAAAGTACTTTAATTGGTAAAAAAAATCACTTTTCCCTAACCTCTCTGAGAAACATAAATTTTTCCTGACTTAGAGTGAAATTCCTTGACTTTTCCCTGATCTTGGTGAACCTTATTTTCCTGACCAGTTCCTAACGTTTGGATACATGTATAAGGCAAAAAAAAAAATCTGTACTCGAGCCAAGTGGCCCACCCAGCCGGAGCATATCCCGTTTTCCGCAGCATGAAGCGATTAGGAGCAAAACCAAGGTCAAACCTCAAACGGGGCATAACATAACGGGGCATAACATTCGATGACAGCAGGCTATCCTTTGACAAAGAACTAGTTTGGTTTAGTTTAATAAGGTTCTCTTCGGCAATAACAGGACATGGAAATGAACCACCATTGTTTTAAGAGGGTTTCCTTACAAACTAAGAATAGTGTAGTGATAAGAAATCGTAAATTAGACAGCAATGTTCGGATAATAAGCACAAAGATCGAAAACAATCGTCTAAAAAACACAAAATGGCGGTTGGTGACTGAATTACACGTAAATCAAGACCACCCCATGCACTTTTTCCTTGCAGTTTGCGCCGCGATAATTAACAGTTGTATCGAAAGAAAAAAGATTGAAGATCAGCTCCATAATTCTTTTGACTCCGGAAAAAATGATTAACGTAAACTTTAAGGTAAAGTTGAAAAACATACCTCAATCAAACGTGTCATTTCAACTGTCCTGCCATAAGTTTCGACTCTATAACTCCTTGATGAGCACCATCTTGAGTACACACGAAGATCAGTTTCTATTCACTAATTTCCAATAGAATTATTGGTACATACGGCGAGCAATAATAATAAACAGAGAACATTTCGAATCGGGTAAGAAAATCTTTGATTTCCATAATGGTCGCCACGTTGTGACGTCTCGTGGTTATCAAATCTGATAACCATCACGGACTGATCATTCCCGCCCTTTTCATAGAGCAGTTTCCATAAGGCTTTCAACTTTGCAGGTATCACGTTTTCAGATTAAAAAAAAGGAGCCTGACTGTTCAAGGTGATACAATGCAAAAATGTACACCGTTAGTTTGAAAAACTGCTCAGTAATCAGGTCACACCTGCTGGTGTCTCGGTTTACAATCAGCTGATGCTTCATAGTGTGGCACATATAAGACATCAAGGTATCACGAACTTGGATTATGGAGGTTTCGCTCCACTGCCAGTTCGCCCCCTACCTGTTCGCCTCCATGACGACGAGTTCGCCCCATAAAAACAAAGATGTGCGCCTCCCACCTTTAGTAGTTATTACCTGTTTATTTGACTCATTTCCTAACCACTAGCTATGTTACTTTGCTAACGAGATAATCACACCATCCCCAAGAATAGCCGGATATTTGCGCATGTCAGTGAGCAACTGTCTCCGGCATAAATTGACATGCAAATTTCTAACTTTAACTATTCAACGCTTGAATGTACTGAATCGCTTCGAAACTCTGACCTTAATGATGAAATAGCAAGAGTGACAAGTCATACCTATGACTTGGTTGACATTGGAGCTTTTCGTGGTTGTCCATAGTTTTTCAACTGAGAGGGTGGCGCGAGTTTTCTGGGCCAATCACAGAACGAAGTAAAGACAAACCAATGCAATTTCGGATTACTTTCGACACTCAATTGAAAATTTTTGTAAACATTACAGTCCTTGGTGGTGTTTCACTCTCATTTGAATACTCCTCTTGAACTGAAATCAATTCTTTTTCATTCTGTTAAGGTTAAAACAGGTGCTGTTACGGGTTGAAAATAAACTTGGACGGGTTCGAATTTCTGATAATAAGAATGCACCAAGGACTATCGACCTGGACATTTCGTTCTGGGGAAACATGGAATGTGAATACAAACTCAACGATGGTTGTGCTGTAAAAACGTGGTTCATTCCTGAGCCAGACGCTTGCAAGCATTCTCACGTGATTATACCACTTGCTGACGTCACACCGGATTTCGTTCACCCAACTGCGAGAAAACCTTTAAAATCGATTGCGATGGAAGTGAGTGGTAACCAGGACTTCCGTTCCGTCTTTCCTGTCACTCAGATTTTCTCGAGTAATGGAGCTCACACAAGTGGTATGGAAGATGGCTTGATTCTGGCAGATAAAGTGAAGTACATGCAGGACGGAATCTGCAAGAAGCCATCCAATGACGAGCTACATTTGAATGAGTTTGTTCATTGTGCTAAGAGTCCCGTTGCTTTAGTGACAGGCGCGGCGAGGCGGCTTGGTGCATGTATTGCGACACAACTTCACGAAATTGGATATAATGTCTTGGTGCATTACAACACGTCTGTCACAGATGCTACTAAGCTGGTTCAACAACTAAATAGGTAACTATTACTCGTATTTTCATTTACTTAGAGATACTAAAGAAGGCGCAATCGCAAACTATCACAAAATATCGAATTGAAGACCCGCTTATGTTTTGGGAGTATTCCACAGCAGTCAAAGGTCTATTCTATCGAGCAATAGGTATTTTCGAATCACGATAACAGTTTATATAAAACTTTTTTCGAATTTTAAGGTATATTGGTAACTCGTCAGAAAATTAAAATAGGCTATATTGATATTCCAATAAATGAACCATAGGCGAAGAAAACCATAGGTTACGATCAGAGTCCTGAAAATGCCAAAAAAAATTTACTGGGTAATTCAGTTGTCATTATCAATTAAGTTAATAACGTAAATTGGCCACCGTTAAGAGTTTCAAATATGACGTTTTGAGCGTTAACCCTTTGCTAGCTCTGACGTAGCACTCTGGTGGCCGAGGGTTGCCACTCAAAATTTTACAGTTAACAAATAGATTCCAAGTTGCCGTGCGTCTATTCAGTAATAGATCACAGACGACGTCAAAATGTGGTAAGAACAAAAAAGTGGCACACGAGGCGCAGCCGAGTGTGTCACTGATGTTGTCACTGATCTCCACTACTTGACGGAAGGACGTGTCACATCAGCAAAGCATAAACTTTCGATACTAAGTCGGCTCTAATTCCGCCCGTCGATTTTGAATTAGATTTTAAAATCTCCCTGAAATCTTTTGCTTCGAGTTTCTGGATGTCATCTACTGACGAAATTTCCATATTGTTGTATTAAAGAACCATTTTAAAGGGAGAAATCGCATTGAAAACTGCATTAGAACGTGAAATGTCAGCAGATCAGCTGTTTGAAAAAACCGCCGGGTCAACCCCAGCCTCGTTATCGTGTGTGCGCGGTTACTAATCCAACATGGCGCCGGGAACTGTAAAAAGTCTATTTGTGTCATTTGAATTTGACGAGTTGTCACTTGAAAATATTGTTGAATCTTGTCAAACGTACTTTGCAAGACAAATTGAAAAGGTATGGTATGCGATATTTTCGTTGGTGAGCGCGGCCTATCTTGCAAAAAGATAAGCCAAATACCGGACCTGAAAGTCTTCTACGTGAGGTTTATAATGCCTGAAGGTGAAGAGGACGATGATCGCCAATCTAACCAGGTATGTTGCTTTATTAATCCGTCTTCCATTATTGAAATGATAAAGTTTTACGAATATTTTAAGATGATTACTGAATGTATTCCTGCACGCAGATCACGATAATGTTTGGATTTCACGAAGGTGTGAAAACATGACGGTGCCCACGGTCTCTTTAGTAGCGTCTTGTCGTTTACGTAAACAGCTAGAAAATCAAATCAATGATATTGACAGAGTTCGCTTGGCTTTTATAATCCATGGATTTTTGGGTTGAAAAAGATATCACAGAAATTGTGTTAATATAAAATTGGCAAACTATTAACATTATTTTCTTTTTTCCTTTACGATATGATAGCCACCAAAGAAAACAAGGAAAGTGGTCATGTCTCTTCCAAGCCCCAAGAAGCCTGAATCCAAACCAAACCAATCAAGTAAATTTTACCCTAAAAGTTGATCCCTCAAGGATATGCTCTCTCTGGGAAAATTGTGTCTTGAAAGGAAATCCACAATCATATCCATTTATGAATTTGATTTCAACAATATGCTGTGGTCAAATTTCCCTATAAAAGCTGAGTTTATGATTGAAGACTTACCATTTGGTACTGGTGGATTCAGAAAAGCATTTAAGGCAACAAGCATTACAGATGGTTTCAAAAAAAGAACATGGGTAGTAAAGAAGTATTTAGAGGAAGCTTTATATCAATGAACTCCTCAATTGTAACATACTTCCCATCATCCATTTTACCCCTGAATTGGGAAGTATGTTACAATTGAGGAGTTCATTGATGATGACTTTGTGAAATATATTAACAACAATGGTAAACTATGTGAAAATGGAGATATCTGTGACAAGGCACAGGCCTTTGCACAGTTCACTTATAAGTAGTCACAGGGCAAGCTAATAGTTTTGAACATTCGGGGTGCTGGGTATACTCTGTATGATCCAGAAATTGCCTCTCTAGATTTATTAGGTGATGAAGGCAATTACCAGTTTTGTACAGTCAATTTGTTGCACATTGCCATGGAAAACTTTTTTGATGATCATGTGTGCAACAAGTATTGTAATCTATTGAAGTTGACATTAAGACCAACAACATAGGCCATTTATGTAACAAGCTTTACTTTTTACTAAAAATCACATAATAACATGTTGAAGCAGAAACCGAACTATATATTCAATTTATGACGAATAGTTTTTTTCTCAAGTTCATGTTCCTGTTAGAGACTATGACTGCACATTTACAAATCTCATAATTACAAGCTATGGAGTGAAGGCTGATTCACACTTAATTGATCAACAGAAAATCATGTAAGCTATAAATATAATTGACAGAAAAAATTGAGTTACAGTTGCTTTTACACTTGAATGCTTAATTGATCAACAGCAAAACATAATATAACAATATACTTTAATACAGATGAACAATGTTTAATAAAAATACACTATACTAGAGTGTTCATGATGAAGAATAAAAATATCAAATCTACATTTACAAATTTCATCATTACAAGCTATGGAGCAAAGGCTGATTCACACTTAATTGATCAACAGAAAATCATGTAAGGTATAAATATAATTGACAGGAAAAAAAATTTTGAGTTACCGTTGCTCTTACACTTGAATGCCTAATTGATCAACAGCAAAACATAATATAACAACATACTTTAATACAGATGAACAAAAATACACTATACTAGAGTTTTTATGATGAAGAATAAAATTTTCAAATTGAAAGGGTGCACTTGTCCTTCAAGTACAAATATGCAGTTGTCCATTCATCTGATTTAATGGTGTCAGATGCTCGCATTCTCCTCTGAATTCTTCAGTCAGGAAGTCCTCTGGAACTCTCAGAACACCAGATTCTTTTGCTACTTTCTCAAGTTGTTCCTCTGTGACCACAAAATCTGTAGTTGAGGGAATAAATAGATTGAGTGCCAACACTAACCATACAATAACTAAGTAAAATGTTTAATTAGTGCTATTTGTATTTTTCTGTTAGTACTTGTTACCTGGTTTAAGTGTTAGCCCTCAACTGTGGTCACACTATGAAGATATGTTCATGCACTGCTGTAAATTCTAGAATGTGTGAGTCGAATAGCCAGGCCTACAAGGTGGAGAACATTATGTTACTTCTGATAATATATGGGATCTCACTGTCTGGGATGAGTATGAATTTGCTTCAATGTCTTTTGAAGTTACTTGTAATAGATTTCAGGGCCAAGGAGATTATCTTAATATTATCAAAAAAGGGGAAGAATGCAACTTTATGGTTATTTCTCACTAAAGTGTGTTTCATGGGTTTCACTGCACAGTGGCCTTAACCCTTTAACTCCCAGATCAAATTTGTCTTTCTCCTTATTGTCAACCATACAATTCTTATAATGTTAGGTCAGAGAATTTAGTATTGGATCGACTAATTATCCCCAAATTGACATTTTTCTTTATTCTCTTGAAGACATGACAACAATTTTATGGTTTTTCTTCAACAAATAACTAATTTGAAGACATTTGACATGATTAATGTCTGATAGATTTAGACCAACGGGAACGTCTTGTTTATCTAGGTGCATTACTTGCCCCTCTTTTTCTGTCCATTTCCCCTCCACTTCCTTTTAAGGGCCACCCAGTACCACAGTCTTCAAGGTCATATTGCTCTGGAAAGTTATAGATGTTGTCTGGTATTCCGTCCGGAAGTACTGTATCTTTCTGTGCTCGTATTCTGTGTGTGTTCCACACCGTTTCTCTAAAGACATCCAACTCTTTCTGTACAAGTGGGACCATGATAAAAGCCAAAAGCATTCTGTATAAAATGATAAGTATATTTATACATGTATACACAAAATATTTAATAGACTATGGCTAATTATTTCAAAGAGCACTGCATACATGTATTATTCTATTCTATATTATACATATTAGTTATGAATCTGTCATTGTTTTCAGAGCTATGAAAGTCGAGTCCATAAAAAATGCCTTTGTTTTGCAGTCACGTTCCATTTTACTTTCAGTTTTGATTTATTTTTGCTTTTATTTTTAATTCAATCTAAAAAAACTGTAAAATTTTGAGTGGCAACCCTCGGCCACCGTACTACGGTCCCTCCTGGTCACGCTAGTACTCTTGTTAAATTAGCTCAGACGTTAACCCTTAACATGCACCCCTACATCAATATGCATTTCTAAAAATTGCTCGTCAAACATTCCTGTTTAACAAGTAAGAGCTTCTTTAGTTGGTGATCATGTCCTTTATTCTCATGACCTCAATGTTTGATTCAGAGGTAACATTGCAAGGAGAAATGAGATGTTAGTCACATTTTGGTGCTGAAGGGTTAACCGCATAAATAACCGTAAATGGTCTATTGAACAGTCACGTAGCAACACGGCGGCCCAATAGTATGTGTTTTAAGGGGATTTATTGACGCATATAAAAGTCACTTCTAGTCATTTTAGTCATTATTTTGCCATACAAAAGCTGCAGATTCGTAAGTGTGGACAGCACACGAGAAAAGGAAGTAATATGAAAACAAACGAGTATCTGAATTCCTTTTCAGTGTTCGACGGGATTCCGCTCGTAAAATTCAAGCTAACTTGGCGAATGATTCACAGAAAACGTCACAGACGGTTATCGAGGAGTCCTTAAAGGCCTGGGGACGACTGGACATATTAGTGAACAACGCATCTCAATTCTACCCAACAGAAGCTGGGAAAGTAATTCAACAGGCCTGGAGAGAGCTCCTGGAGACAAACTTGACTTCACCATTCTTCCTATCGCAGGTAAAGGGTATAGTACTTAGGTAAAGGGTTAGATTATAATAGATGTATAGGTAATAACATGATTTCTAGTGCAATTTGGTGTAAATAAGCACGGGTAAATTTTTAAGACAACAAAATTGCACGAGCTCGTAGGTTCAAACCATTAATCATTAGAATGATTATAGAAATTATAACAATAATAACAATAATAATGATGATTTTAAAGAAAGCGACAAAACTTTTGAGTCTGTAAAACATGTTTCGACAGAAACTTCTTTCATCTTCAGTAAATCACTGTACTAAGCGTTGGAAGTTGAATTATATAGTAGGTAGAACAATGCTAATTAATAGTAACAACAAGAAAAGAGGTAAAGCATGAAAGTGTGAGAATTAAAAGGATAGTTTTAGATTTACATGGTTTAATTGTTGATTCAAGGGTGGTTGTTCTCTTTGAATATAAATAGCCTCTCTTTTATCTTAAGTTGAAAGCCGGTAGAGGCGTGATCTAAAACATGGAAGTTATCTGCTGAGCACAGAGCGCGACAATGTGGAGAATCTTTCAGATGCTTGAAAATAATAATAATTGAAAATAATGATGATAGTGTAATAACAATGACAACAAATGGCATATTCAAAAATTAGTAATGATTAGATAATAGTACTTAAGATGTCAGTATTAATGATAATGATAATAATAATAGCAATAATGGTAATACTTCCACCAATAGCAAATAGCTCATTTGTGGTCGCGACATTAAAGTCAAATTTGCTGTCATAATTTTTGCAAATAACAGTTATGCAAATTATAGATGATGAACTTAAAAACATTCAAATAACCCCGTGGGCTCAAAATCGAGAAACAATGTCATAAATTACTCAATGATGCATTAAGGAAACAGAAAAATATATACTTTTTTGTTTATGGATATTTCAGGCTGCCTTTCCCAACTTAAAGGCCACAGGCGGATGCATAATTAACCTTTTGGATATCCACGCTGATCGGCCACTTGAAAAGCATTCAGTTTACTGCATTTCAAAGGCTGGTCTGAGCATGTGCACCATGGCCCTTGCCAAGGATTTCGCACCTTTTGTACGAGTCAATGGTATCAGCCCTGGAGCTATCTTATGGCCCGAGCACATAAGCGAAAAATCGTCGGGATCTAAAATGACGGAGATTCTGGAGAAGATTCCACTAAATCGTAAAGGCGAATCTAGCGACATTGCTGAGGCAGTGAAATTCCTTGCCTCCTCAGCAGAGTACATAACTGGACAGATCATCCGAGTGGACGGCGGTAGATCATTGAATCAGTAAAGCTGTGATTGCTATTTTGTTTCAATGATATGCTACCCGTGTTATATTGCAAATTAAATAATAGGCCGAATTATAAGACAAAGTCACCATTAACAGCATTTCCCTTTTTCATCTAATTAACAAAAAAGTGGCACACGAGGCGCAGCCGAGTGTTTCACTGATGTTCTTACCACATTTTGACGTCCTCTGTGATCTATTACTGAACAGACGGACGGCAACTTGGAATCTATTTGTTTTATGTAATAAAAATTGAAAAAAGTTTTAATGATGACGTCACCTATATGTCTGTCTTCCAATAGATCTTAAGTGAGAACCAATCAGAATGCGCGCATAACTGAGCTTATTATATAATAAAAAATAGATTCCATGTTCCAATAGCCTGTACAGGTATAGATCGCTTCAGGCGTCAAAATACGGTGAGAACGTCAGTGACTCAGTTGGCTGCGCCTCCAGTGTCTTGAAGTCATCTGTGATGCTTTACAGATCAGACGAACGGCGACACACGACCTAATTGCTAATCGTGCACGTTCTTGCTAACTTTCTATTAATAGACAAGAAAAAACAGGACAATTTTGGGTTAAAAAAATCGTATAAGTACTCAAAAAATTGATTGCTTTAATTGAGTCATATAACTGTAAGATGTTCAAAATGGTTTTACCCCTAAGGGTGTTAGAGGTAATAAGTTAAATGATTTCATCTTGAAATGTGTTTCCAGACTTTTTCAACTGCAAAACGGATGCTTAGCGTTCATCAGTTTGTTTAAATAGTGTTAAGATAATGAGTATAATCAACTTCTGCAAAGATATACTTTAATTGGAGAACTTGATGCGCAAACGCAATTTCATGAAATGGGGCTGTTCAACGATGGATGTTAATATTCATAATGTATTTAGTGGGACACTTCAGCAGCAAACTCGTACGGCTGTTATAAACACAATCTTTATTTATCCCTGCATAGAATATGTTTGTATCGTTTCCACGTTCTGCACAATAAATCATTTAGTCTCATCAAGTCTGTTCTGGTGACTGACTGCTGCTTTGAATTTTCTGGACTAGTTCCATGTTAGGGAGCACTTATCACTAGGGGGGTGGGGGTGGAGTATTTTTGGGGGCGTTACATTGTTTCCAGGGGAATAGCGGGGGTATCGGTTGTCACCAATAGAATAGAAAGGAAGGACTAAAGAAAATTCACTGCCTGTTAACTGTCAAGGGACGGCAACGCCAAGGAAAACTTCTATTTTAAAATAAATATATATCTGTAGTTAGAATTTCGCGAATGATTGGGTGTGTTTACCATCTCTTACGGCGCCGCAAGTTAACCACAGCATAAAGTATGAGGGCGGCGTCGAGTTCCAAATGGAAACTTAAATAATTTGCGGTTGGGGTTTCTTTTCTCGGACCACGCAAATTTTGATGATCTCACGTTGTCATTTTGCAGAGGACGGCTAAGAAATGCACACAGTTTTAAAACGCACGTGCTGAGCTATTGTTCTGCTCATTAGATATTTTATTTTACCGCGTCTCCGTGGCCGTCGCCGCCGTGGTTTGCTAAAGATTCCTACTGAGGGGAAGGGGGGGGTTTGATCATAACAGCCTTGCAGGGCTTTTTGGGTAGATCAGATAAATTTTATTTTGACCCAGCCAAAATCCTCTACCACCTCCCTCCCCCTCCCTGACGACAAACAATGACTAGTCCCTAGACGTTGTTAGCAACCTACGTTTTATCCTATGGCTGGTATAGAGTATGTCTTGAAGATCAAGAAAAGCTTTTTTCATATTTCATACACAACTGTTTCGGTTTAGACATTTCTATCGCGCGATAAATTTAACAAGGGCGAAGCTTGAATCAGATATTACGCACAGATATCGAGAAAGAATAATCTAATTGGATTAATACAAATCCAGCAGTAGTTCAAAGCCTAACAACAACATAGGCTCATGTTTTTATCTCATTTTGTTTATAGCTGCACACTATTAAGGCTTCTTAATCTACTCAGTATCTATAACATAATATATGGTGATTCGCATAGCCATACAGATTGTTGCATTTGTGAGGAAACGCCAACAGATTCATACGAAACATCAGTAAACTCTGTCAAAGCCTTAATCCAAATTTGTCTCGGGCCGGAAAATCTGCATAATTCTCTTTCTTTAGTTGTCCGTTCTCTCCCATCAAAGATTTTCTCGAGAAAGTCTCTTACATTGATACGCTTCGAAACCGGGTCACCCATTTTTGCAGAGCGGTCATCCTACTCTTCGGCCGTTTCTGTTTCTTTGGCTTTGCAATTTCCTTGTGTTTCAGATAAAAGAAGTTGAAATTTGTGACAATGACTGTAGATGGTATCGCCAGGACACAACAAACTCCGAATACTGCACATAGCGCACTGAAAACTTTTCCCGCCACTGTGACTGGCGTTATGTCACCGTATCCCACCGTAGTCATGGTAACGATGGTGAACCAAAATGTGGCGGGGATACTTGTGAAATTAGTAGCTGGGACAGTACTTTCACAGTAATATATCACCGATGAAAACAGTACCAGGCTGATTGCCACGCAAACTAACAACAGCATCAGTTCTTTAAGGCTTGTCTGAATTGTTTTCAAGAACACTTGTAAGCCTAACGAGTAGCGAGTCAGCTTGAAAAGTGAAAAGAACGTGAGGAACAGAAGCACGCGTTGCAAAGGAATTGTTGAGGTTTCTGACGCTAAAGCTTGGATTATGAGCATCATTAGGTGAGGGAAGAAAGATAACATATCAAAAATACCTTGAGCTGAAATTAAGTAAGCCACCCTACTTGTTGCACTGAATGCTCGAAGAGCGTACTCCAGCGTAAACCACGAAATGCAAAATTTTTCGCTGAACGACCAGAAAAGTTTGATTTCACGTCGCCGGAATAAAGTGTCTGTTTTGTTCTGGTCACAACATTGGTCCAAAACAAAAGCTTCCCTGAGAGAGTATTCTGTTTTGCCACAAAGTAAAGTGATGAAAAAGATTGTTATGAATATGGTCCAAATGTCTACAACTTTACGCAAAGGGGATGCTTTGTTCGTCTTGCTTGAATTGAAGAGCTGTCTTATCTTTGAAGAACACTCTCTACTGGGCAATGATTCCATTGAAATGTCTCTACTTTTCACGTTGTATCCCAGTTTTCTTTCGGCGTCCTCTCCCAATTTAAAAAACTTGACCTCCTCGAGAAATTTTCCGTCTGGTATCCCATCCGGTTTCACAAGAATCCCACCGGTATTTCCGCCAGATTGGTAGTAGAATAAGATACTGTCAAATACATCACGGTCCGTGCTGAAGTAAAATTCGTTCTTTGTCGAGTCATAATACGGCGCTCTTTTTGATGGCGTTCCCAACAATGAATCAGGAACTCTTGCGAGCGTGCTTTCGAAGGTTTCAAACCTTGATCCGGAGATATTTATAGTAATTCGAGTATTGCCAAAAACACCTCGGGATATTTTCTTGAGCTTTCTCTGTGGTCCACTAGTGGGGACATTGTCTTCAAAATTGTTGTTAGCTGCACGTCTTGCTTGGTTCTTTGCTAAAATTGGTTCATAATCTGTCAGAGCTGTGGCTGATGAAATGGATGTATCATCACTTAAGCTTGAACTTTGACGATTTCCTTTTTCGGTAATTAATTCATCGGCGTTCCCAGACACAGGCTCATACTTAACTCGCATTTTCCAAACAGGACTCGATGACATGCTTGTCAGGAACCGTCAATTCCACTTAAAGTCTTGCACGTACTGTAAAATTTCGAGGTCGCTTTACTAGCTACAGGCAAACAATAGGTACTCCAAACAGAATGAACTCACATATCCTAATGTTTTCGCAAGTCAAAGCTGCGCGACAAAAAAAAATAGATGATCAAACAATCTATTTATATCGTAAGAATATTTTCTTGATTCACCACTGGATCTTTCAGTTTGAGCAAAACTGTTTCTTGGTGTTTAAATGTTTCAATCGCCGTACCCTATCTACAAATTCACAAGAATACGCCAGCATGACAACATCCTTGCATCGAACGAGCATTCAACTCGATCCACATGTGGTGACTAATCTTTCTCACTCTTTGAGTAATTAAAATCTGCTTTCTTAATACCCAAGATATGTTCTTCTGTCCTACACATCTAAGAGGTGCTCACCGAAACCAGTTGCTATTCCAAAGTAACCAAACCGCACGTGATAATATGGGTTAATAAACGACAGACGAAAGAAAATGTTCAGTGTGAAATAAGAAGACAGATGATACGTTGTTTACGTATTTAGCCGTGTTGGTGAATAACCTTGCTGCCCTTTGATAAAATCAGGGCATTGATGCATATAGTAATAGTCACGCAAAGAAAAAAAAATGATAAAAAAAATCAGTGGTCATCATGTCATCATGTCGGGGGAGGGAAAGGAGGACTCTAAGTAGTGAAGAATTTGCGGAAGTCGCTGGGCACCTTAAATTTACGAGACAAACCGAAAGCAAACAAACTACATAAAAGAGCCACTTAATATGTCATAGCTTTACAATGGTTATAAAAAGTGTGAGAGACTATTTCCGGGCATGAGTTTATAAATATCTCGATTCTCCGCCTCTCGAGGATATCAATGACAAACTCGAATCACATAGAGAAGTATGCGTGACACATTAGGAACACCGAACTAAAAGAAGGAAAGAAAAAAATTCACCCCTTCGAGTTAACTGATCTTTTTAGGATACCCATCAAAGTGATTTGTTAAATAATGATTTTATTTTGAATCCCCGAGTCGATACAATTCAGCATGGCCCGCAGCTGAAATGATTATACCTGATTAAATGATAGAGAGGTCGTCACAAGAAATTGTTCAGCTGTATTTTGGCCAAATCGGTTTATATGCAAATGACTTTTCTGCTGTCTGATTGTGAATATTATTTTCACAAAGCCTGCTTCAATTCAAGTACGCTTTTTCTTTCTAGTCCTCTAGGGACCGGAAACGCGCAAGTTGTTTAATTTTTTCGAGGGAGAATGCTCAGAACGTTCTCCTGAAATGTGTAGCAACCACCTTGAGTTCTTTAAAAGGAACAAGGCTTGAGCGACACAATTCAAACTCTCTACAAAATCAGACATGGAGTCTTAAACAGTGTTCTTTAATATCATTAACCATGATGCACTTTCAAATTTCGATTCGATCTGAAAGTATTTCACGTTTATAAAGTATATCAAACTATTAACTAATTAACAATCCGTGTTGAATCGAAAAAAAGAAAACAGAAGGACAGAAGATTGTTAATCAAAAAAAAAAAAGATCTTATCCACTATTTGGGTTTCGTGAACAGAATATAATATTTTTCTTCTCTGATGAAGATATGCATAATCAAAACTTTGTAAGGGAGTGAAGTGTTGGAGTCGTAATGACGCCATGTATAAGTGCAAAAGAATAGTGATTATCAGTAATACCTTTATAAACTGTTGGTACCTTACTGCGGATGAACTACATCATGAAATAAAGTCACGCAAGAGATGTTATCAATTTCCTACCTAGAAACATCTCGTGCACTGACCTTCTAGACCCCAAAGTCAATATACATGTTCTCCATACTGTTCTTTATACATTTTCCATGGCACTGGCAATTAAGGAGAATCCATAGGCAATCATTTCCTTCATTAACATAACCGTGATGTTTGGATTACCAGTTACACTGTGAGGAGAAAATAGGAGCTGAGTTCCAGGGGTACGTAACACTACGCGAAAGAAATTTATTTCGAATGGGTACCATGACCATGTTCACTGAAATGACGATTATTGCGAGACTGTTAAGGATCATGATAATAGTGGTGACGATGACGATGACGATTTCAATGATGATAATTATGGTTTTCAACAAAGATGACGACGAGAGAAACGGTGACGGTCGAGATGACGCTAGAAGGTAGGTGAGGCAGATTTCTATCCCATTGTGCGGCAAGTTAGTCAATCGTCATGTGTTTCATTGTCTTCTTTGTCTTCTATAACTGGCATTCCCTCAGGTTCCACAAGCCAAGCGAACTCTGTAAAACGGTCATGAATTTGTGTTAGAGGAAAAAAATTGAATCGAGTGAGTGATTATGAAAAAAAACATTATCCTCCCTTACCCAGGTGAATTTTTTTCACGGTCGGAAATTCGGAGATCCTTCATAAGTCCTCCGAGCAACACGCCATTAACATTGCAAATTATGGTTAAGAAAAAGGAACCCTCTTCTCCTTAGTGATACGAACGAAAGTAAGACGGGATTCCCATGGGTTTCCTTCACTTTGCATTTTTATTGGTTAAAAGAACTCCTCCAACTCTCTCCACTTTAAATGCACGAGATAAAAGACTTTGTAACTACAACAAAATGCATATCGGCAACCCAAGCTCTGATGAACTTGAGGCCGTTCACGTGTATTAACTCAGTCTAGCTTCTTGTTGGCTCCTCGTTTAATTGGCCGCTAAAGGCAATCATTTCGGTTTTAGTTTCACGAATTTAATCATTATGCTCTCTAAACCTAAATTATACGTGCGGGGCTCCTACCATCCAGACTGATCTTTCTGTCCTGATGTAGGTTAGCGCTTGTTATCAAATCTTTTAGGTCGTCTGCGGAGACTTTCCAATCCATATTTTCCAGAAGTTCCCTCAGCTCAGATGAGTCAATGTATCCCTTGTTTTCTGAGTCAAAAACTCTAAAAGCTTGAATGATGTCTTCTTCCTTCTCCTCGGGTTTTTTCTGCTGTTCCATGAGTTGAATGTATTCCTCCATATTCAATCTACCATCACCTGGTTCGAAGAACACAAATGGTTCTAATTCAACATTCATATTTAGTTTATGGTGGCTGATTGTCGTGATAAAAAGCAAGTCACTCGATATCTTGCAAAAGAGCCCCCTCGTTTTGTTTGCGAAGAAGATCCGGAGAAGAAAGCTTTCAGTTTCAAGACAACTAGTTTATGTCATATGGCTAAAATCATGCACACGGTTACACATAAGATCCTCTCTATTAGACCCCCGTAGGTGTGCGCCCCACGTCGATCTAGTCACGCCTTTAATTACAGATATAGATAATCATTTCCTATCGTAACCTCCCTATACTTATTAGCAGTTTTCTTGACCTCATTCGTTTGTTTAACAAATCGAATTCATGTTGACGTGCGTCTGTTCATTACTAGATCAAAAATGACGTCAAAATGTGGTAAGGAAAAAAAAGGTGGCAAACGAGGCGCAGCCGAGTTTGTCCTGGATATTCTTTCCACATTTAGTGCGATACATTACAAAACTGACCCACAAGAACATAGAACCTCTTTATTTCATTCATGGTGATGTCATCTATGCAATTGTCCTCCAACAGATCATAAGTTTAAAAAAAACTGTCAACCCATGTTATTAATTTTTCATTTACCGTCGTAATCCACTGTGAAAATCATCTGTTGTAAGTCCTCTTCGGTTGGATTGAATCCCAAAGTTCTCATTATTGAATTCAGTTCACTAGTAGTAATGTAACCATTATTATCCCGGTCGAACATGTAAAAAGCATCTTTATATTCTAAGAAAAAAAATGGAGAAATGCTAAGCGCTATGTATGAAACACTTCGTCCGTTCAACTGGAATCTGCTCAATTCTTGACGTAAAGTGTAAATAAAGTTAAGACCGGAATAGGTCCCGGAAGAGTGCATGGCAGTATGAGTGCTTGTATCTAGCAAATTAACCAATAATGAGCAAAACAGGAAAAGTTGAAGTTATCTAATGTTTCGTAATTAAAGTTATTCGAATTACCCATAGCGTTAATCGCCGAGCGAGTGTCTCACCATCAAAAGCGAAGTGATCACCGAAGTCAATCAGAGCGAAGAAAAACATTTCAGAGGGCCAATAAGAGCTCCAAGTAAGAACGATCCAGCTGATTGAAGCGTGGGAAAACACAAGTAACCAAGTCTTAATTAGTCTTAGCTTGGGACCTGATTGGTAGAGGGGGTCGCGTAAGTTTTATGGGCCAATCACGGGCGGAGTAAAACGAAACCCAGGCAATCTTTGGTTACTTACGACAATTAATTGAAAATTGCTCTTATTCGTGAGGAAACATAATCCATCGTGAAAGAAAAGATCGAGGATCGCTTTGTAAATATAAGATAAATACAGGATTCGTGAAGAAAGCTATGAATTTACTCATACCTTGGATTTGCTCTTCAGACAGCCCCTCCTGTGAATGATAAGAAAATTATCACGTTTCAAATGTTAATAATCCATTATGTTTGAACTTATCAATAGTTGAACAGTTCGGAATGGGATTTAATGTAATAAAAAACTGATCTAGCTAATTAATAATAATTGTATATGATAGGTTTTCGCTGTAATGACGGAGGCCTTCTGTCAAATAAACGGTAGAATGGTGTTGGTACAGTGGCCCACAACTGTCGCGTCAAAAGAAATGACCTCGCTGCAAAAGAAAGAGACTCACGACAAAAGAAAGAACCTCACGGCAGAAGAAAAAACCTCACGGCAAAAAGAATAACCTCGCGGCAAAAGAAAAAGAATATAAATACAGGCGTTCAGTTTTAACTTGTAAAACTCCCTAAAGAAGTCTACGACAGCTGGATGAAACGGGTCGGAGAATATAGAAGTTTTACAACCACTGTTCGCAGAGCGCTGCTCACTAGTTCAGTGACCAACACTCTGTCGTGAGGTTGTTCCTTTTGGCGTGTGTCTTTTCTTTTGCTGCGAGGTTATTTCTCATGCCACGAGGTTATTTCTTTTGCCTGACAGTTGTGGGCCACCGTATGTTGGGGAATAAATAACAGATTCATTGTTATTACCTACTTGTAATCATTTAGAAAGCTAATTAACGAATATGTTAATCAACTCTGTCTTTAAAATATTCTGGTTATGCGGATGAAATGCAAATAGAGCTAGAGCAAACCGAAGTACAATTGAAAGACACAAATATCATTTTCTACTATCGATTCATGAGTGGACGGTACTATACAAATCCTACGATCTGATTGGTATCAAGAGCGGGAATTTTTTTCCCATCAATGTTTCGGTGAAGCCTGTCGATTTAATTTGCCTTACCTCTGTTTTCTATACCATCTATTCGCTCAAAAAATTATTCCGTTTATGAAGGATCTTCCCGTAAATACACTCAAAAACCTGAGCTCTAAATCATCAGGGCTCTTTTGGAAAGCATTTCGTAAAGTTTGAAAATAAAATAGAAATGTTATCCACTAGGCAAGCTTGATCCGTATCGGGAAGAAATGTGTCCTCTGTCTTGAGTACCGCATGGTATCCAAGACCTCGGGCACAATTTTCCCCACACGGACCTCCCGCCTGGTGAATAACATATAATTATTCTTCAGTAAAATTATCAAATCTAACATCTTTAAATTATGTGTTAGAGCGATTAAAATTCTTGAAAGGTGAAATAAGAACATTCTTTTGCTCCATAACAATTTCCCAAATTCCGCCGGCCTTTTTGAAATAGATAATAGAACAGCACTAAGATGCTTATCTCATTGTTGTATCTCAAAGCTCAGTTAGTTACTATTCCCCACAGAAAGCAACCATTTTGCCAGCATAAAGGAATAGATATAGCGTCTCTGACGTTCCGTTTTACTGGATAAGATCGCTCACAATAAAGAAAGGGAAAATATTGTTGTGTAAAAACGTAGTGTAATTACTTGCCGTCGAATTGGACGTTTGTTTATAATAGGGAGGGTAAGGCTATCTGGTCGTCAAGATAAATTCAGTTTAATTTAAATAAATCACAAAGACCTATGTTTTTGATAAATTTGATCGATGTTAGATCGCCTTTACCGATGTGCCTTTTCTAAAAGTATTTCTTTTATTAAAGCGCGCATAAAAACGTTTGAAGAATTCATAACGTGTCATTATGACTACTTACAAGCTAAAATGCGAGTAGCCAATGTCAAATTTTCAACACTGAATAGAATAGCAACCTGCTGAACGAAATTAAATATTAACAACTGCCTCGTTTGAAAATAAATAAGGCCTTTAAATGCCAAGCACGCAATTACACACTCCTGTTTAGGTTTTAAAACATTAATAACAAATTTTCGTTGAAGGGAAAATTTAAACGCCAAGAATGGAACGATGTATTTCCAATATCCTAAAACTACAAGTACAGAATGTTTTTCTATCTTAGATAGTAGGCTGATAGTAAAATTAATAACTTCTGAATCAGTCGAGTCCAAGCTCATTTTACTGCTTCTACAGCTAACGAATCTATAAACACCACAAATCTGGCGTCTTATTGCTTCGTCAAGCAGGTGGTCAGTGTTGTCTACTAGAACCAAGGAGATTTTTAAAATGGAAATTTAAAATCGTTTTTAATGACGGCTAAAATGTGACTGCAGTATTTATATGCCATTTGGCCTAATTTTTACTTATTTGCAAATTTCCTTCTTAGAAACTAATAATTACAAAAGAACAGGAAATGTTCTTAAAACCGATCTACTGTTTTGCTTTAGAATATCTCTATTTCCACATTGTTCAAGGTTTCAGGTCAAACATTTAGCTCGTTTCGTTTCTTCTTCGATTAATTTGCCAGCGTTATATAATAACGGCTGAATAACAAAATTACGAACGAATGAAGCATAGTTAAAAAACAAGCATAATTCTTTCATTAACTGCCAACTTTCATGACTCTGTACGCAATACTTAGAGGGCTACAGAGTAGCGTGGCGCTTTCTTGCAAGCCAACGACGCCTTTTAGCTATACAATCTTAAAGACATTATGCCCATCTATTTGCAATAGAACCTACCATTTTGTAGAGGCGTTCACTAATTTATACCCAAAGGACTTCGCAGTACCAGGTGAAGTACTTCAAATTCGTAAACGTTTTACAAGAAATTTCAGCTTGAATATGATATTGCGCAACTTAGACTCTAGGAGGAGTTTATGTTTTCGTTGTGATTGGTCAAAAAGTAAACCCTAGCGTACCATATCAGACATGCGCAAGTGCAGGGAATAAAATATCGTGTTAGCATTTTGCAAATTACCAACTTGATCATTATTCCTATTGTAAGGTATGAATTAACTATTATACTTATGGTAACGATACTTGAACCAATTCTGTTAACTCCACATCAAAGCCCGAGTGCTTTAAATCTAAAATGTAGTTAGGAGAAGGTCTTATTTTAAGACTATAAGTGCGATAACCTTCAGGATATTCACGGGGCTAAATGCTAGACAACTAGTCGCACATTCAAGCATTTATCTCAATAGCCTGTAATGCTTCCCTTTGTCATTGTGCTGTTACACATTCTTAATCCTTTTTGCCAGTTATATTTCAAGTGTAATTAATCAAGCTTTTTAATTTTTCCTCATTATTTTTATAATCCGTTAAACCTTTAAAAAATATCTTGGAATCGAAAATTTGCGACATTACAATAAAATAAGAATGCGTAATGCGAAAGTTTAGCTGTTGTTTAACAAAGCCGCGGTCTTAAACAATTCTTAATTTAGCTGAACCTTTTGTCTGATCATTGACATTTTGTGATTAGTGTTAAGAAGGCCAGGAGCTAACAGGGTAAGGACATTCGTCTAATTAAATCAACTTTCTTATATAGAAAGCCTGGCTCCCACTGATTGCGTAAAACTAAGTAAGATCCTGAGTAAATAAGCGGCCCAAAGAGTTTCAACGATAACTGTGCATAGAAATAAATTGATGACTAAAAGACGGATAAAAGAACAAAAAATAGAAGAATGAATGAACAATTTTATGAATCGATGAAATTGAATATAAATAAGGTTCATTGGACTGTATGACTGCGAAGAAAAGAAAAGAAGAAAAGGTAAGGATCGTTCACTTGCAGCCAATATAGTATTTTCCTCTTAGGAGTTTTTCTTTTTGCAAAGTAACGAGTCGCCTCTTTGGATGAGGACGAGACTTGATGATTAGTATATGCCAAAACAGAGAGTAAGTGAAGGTGGCTCTGATTGGTTACTTAATCTCCGAATATCCTTTGTTTGTGTAATTGCCCTGGTGATTATAGAGATACTGTGCTCTGATTGGTCGAGGATTGCATCTCGCAATCATCATCTCGCTCAAAGTGATTATTGCAGTGGCGCTAAATTTAAAGAATCAGGTAGAGTGTAAGACTTCCTCCCACGTCATGTTTTCATTCAATGTTTTCCATGACGAGAACTTTCTATTTAATGCTTTAAAACTGAAACACGTAATGCAAAATCGTGTGCTCAGCAATTGAAAGCACTATACAATTTTCAGATGAGGCTATTTTTTCAATATTCAATTTCGCTCAGCAGGTTACCGTTCTATTCAACGCTGATAAATGACATTGGATAATTGTCTTAACCTTGTTAGTAGACATAATAGCACATCAAGAATTCGTCAAAGATTTGTACGAGGACTCTAAATCGTCATTGACAAGTCATAGAGTAGGAAGCAAAATCTGCAAAATGCAGGGCAATCAATCCGAGCACGAAATTTCCTGTTTCTATCTTGGCGACTCATCCTTCCATAAAGCTCATGAACGGTTTAAAGTCAACCTTGTTACAGCCACTATTAACATTGTTACAGTTCCAGTCGGCGTTGTTGCAAATTTACTGATTGTCACCGCCATCTTTAGCTGTCTTCGTCTACGAACTCCCTCTAATCTGTTGAAAGCTTTTCTGGCGCTTTCTGATTTGTTCGTATCCCTAACAGTCCAGCCCGGGTATATCACATACAGGCTTTTGGAAACCAGCTTCGTTTAGTTCCTTGTTTTGTGAGGATTATGTATCATCTGGCTTTTTTCAGTTGCTTTGGAGTGTCTTCTATGACTTGAGTGCTGTCGGCTATGAGCGCTTCGTAGCTGTTCGACTGCAAGTCAGACACAATGCTTTCTTCTCTTCGACACGAGTTGTGAAATATGTTCTGATCATATGGACCCTGAATATTTTGTTAACTGCTCTAAAATGGACTGCTATTGAATCCGCAGTCGAAAACATCCGTCTCATGGCATGGTCAGTTTGCCTTCTCGTTTCTGTAGCCACGCTAGGCCACGCTCGCAAAAAACATATCTATCCTCGTCGGAGTGTACTTGATTTTAAACTTCCCTGTGTTGTTCACTTTAATATATGATCAAATATTGAGACTTAACTTACAAACTAACAACCACTAAAGCTTGACCGAGACGCTTGCTTTTTTTTGATTCTTATACAAATCCATTAATATGCTATTGGAAAAATGTAGAGGTATGTCAAAAAGTTAAAGGATATCTTGAAGAAGCTGGTATGTCAATAAATACCACGTTTACCGGAAGGTGCTAAGAGTTTTTATCTGGCTTTTCAATTTATATTTATTTCTTGTGTTTTCTAATTAGTTAAAAAGTATTGTTACATCATCTGCCACTGCTAACTTTCAATTTAGAAGTGACCTTTCTATAGTTTCTAAACTTAACATGTTTGAGTTTGTCGAGAGTGTTGTCATTGTCGTTGTCGTCATTTCTGTTGTTTGTTGTTCTTGTTATTTTAATTAAAAATTTGTTAAGGACGAATCACTTTGCGTAGGAAGTCATTTTTTAATACTGTTGTATTTTACACGGATCCAAAGTGCTCGAGAGGTATACCAGTAGACCACAAATGGAACTAACAAACCTTTTTATCCCAAAGGACTTAAAACCCCAACCGGGAAATAAATAATACATTGAGAAAATGCTGTCTTCCAAAATAATGTACTTTAAGTGCAATTGATAAATCATGAGAAAAAAGTTCATAGGATTCATTTTTTTCCAGAGCTTATCATCCAATCCCTTGTTGCCGCAGGTATTTTAGAAAGGATATTTATAGCAAGTTACAGCATTTCCTATACATCTTTAGACACAAAGGTATCAGTGTTCAGAGTAACCTTACCTGTGCATATACTATCAGAAGAGAGTTTGCTGGTAATGTGTTTTTAAAGAATAAGATCAAATGGTAAGTCTTATCTAAATTTATCTCTGAACCTCAACAAGTGTTCATAACAAGAAAATATGACTTATTAAAAATTCGTTATCCTTTGTGGCCGCTGTCTGGGAAGAAACACAATACTTAGATTACTTAGAAAATAATATAGCTTGCAAGTAAGCGCACCTTTCCCCTCGTAAGAAAATTAAAGTATTTTACTACTTCAGAGAAAAACCCGATTTACTTGCTATCATAAAAATATTAGAGTAGTATGCTTGTCTGAATCTAAATTTTGTGAAAAAAAATCGAATTTTCAGAAATGTTACCAAACATGTTCCGTATCTGTTGCAATAAGCAAATTTTGGGGTTTCTCGTGACTCAGTTATGAGATGATGTCCGAATAGACTATTCGTATATCATCTTTAATAATTGTCCAAGGTTTCGAAAAACACGATATTCGACACGCTACAAAACATTGCATGGTCAAAACTTACACGTTTCATTTTCTTAATATGTCATCGCTCTGAAGACTAATTTGTACTTAAAATATTAATTTTCCTGCACCACTTAAGTCTAAACCTAGTAATATTCTAGGTGCGGAAGAACATTTTTATTTTTTTAACGATACAAGTCATTTTTCTCAAATTATTTAACTCTGAGTTAACTACTCCAGGAGCCAAAGACCACTCCGCTGTTAATAAATTAGAAAGATATTAAAGAAAAAACCTTTAAGTGGAAACTTCTAGTTTAATTGTTTGGGTGTTATATCCCATTCAGTGGGGAATGGATTATTCATAGGCTAGGTCGGCATTTTTCGTTAATGCTTGATGTCTGCCTTCGTTGATTTCTCACGCAGGAGAAGCTTTCAAAAGAAGAAATACTTGGTAAGGTTTTTTCGTATATGTAGCTCTTCTGGAATAACGCCGACAAAAATGCACAGACTCAGAGTGCAAATTGCAATCATGCTGCGCGGATAAAAATTTGAGGGCTTGCTTTCGATCCCAATTAGTCTCCAGGTATTTTCTTTTTGATGATTAATTAAACGATGATTGAGTTACTAAGATTTTTTTAGTTCGTCGTCGCCAATAATCAATTGTTTTTTACTACTCCTTCATCGTTTCATGCAATATATGTCTTTATCATATTAAGATACCAATCAGCCAGAGATTTTTAATCTTCCAAGCATAAAAGCTAGTACGTCGAATCTTTCATTCCATATTCCGGTATTTTTCATAGATATTTGACTATAACAGATTTACTAGGAAAAAAGGCAAAAAATTAATAACAACAGTGATTAAAAATATTGCACGACAGCTCTTCTTATGTTTATTATAATTTTGTTTATTCATTTTTTATTGGCAGAGTATCTTGAGGTGTTTCAGTACTTTGGCCAGGATCGGGAGGGACGTATTTCAACAAAGCAACTAAGACGAGCAATGCAGATGGTGGGACTGAACCCAACTGATTTTCAAATACAAACTCTTATCAATGAAGTGGAATACGATGGTCAGTAAATTACCCTCTCAGCCATTCATGGTCTCCTTGTGATACCTTTGTGCATATTTATCCAAATAGCTTAAGAGCGCCAATGCCGTTTTCCTTTTTCATTTGAGAGCATCATAACAGTCCATCAGATAAAATAAAAACATCACACGAAGCCAAAAAGAGCTCAAGGTAAAAACGAGGAAACTGCCTAACGCGCGGGAAAACTCTGATGGCCAAGTCCAGAATGGCCTTAGTTTTGAATCTGGATTGGTTGCGAGAATGGCGCTTGTTTCTTGGACCAATCGCGGGCACCTCTCTTACTGAAGTAACATAAGTCAGTAGGCCATGTTATTGCTTTGTCCTCTCGCGATGTACTCCTTAAAAAATTACTCATTTGGTTTGGATGGTGCTGTTGCTCTCGGGATAACGTAAAGAAAACAAAAATTGGGCATTCCAAGACAGACTATAGTGATAAACTGGCATCTTTATTGCTGAAAGAGTGCGTCCTATTAATCAGCAACTGCATATCCTTTTTTTTCCCTTTTTTTTCCCCAGGTGACGGTTACATGACGTTTTCTGATTTCATTAAAACCATGGAAGAATATAAGAAACCCGACGATAAAGTAGACCTTATGATGGCATTCAAGGTGTTTGACTGTAATAACAAAGGCTACATTGAGACGAAAGAGTTGAGAAGAGCTTTCATGAGACTTAAAGGAATTACTAAACAAGAACTTGAGGAAATTCTGGCGACTGCAAATCTTGAAAAAGATAGGCACATATACTTTGAAGGTACGATGTGCCAGCTTAGCTTTTGATTGTTGAAACGTAAAGTCAGATAAATCTCGTAACATGACATATATGATACTAGACGTCTAACAATCAAAAACAGCAACGACTTTAAAATCTTAAGTATACTTGTTTCCTAAAAACTTTAAAAATTCATTGGAATGCTTTATGTCTCAGGAAGTTTTGATCATTCATTTTCAAACAATCATTTCTCTTTCCATCACGTCTTTAAAAGTCTTCCGAATTCTCCGAATATTCCGGTAATATTTTGACATTCACGGGAACACTCTCAACAATACTACTGGAAGTCATTCAGACGTTTTAGAGATTTGAAAATTTTGAGAGAGAAATCTAATTAAATGACTTTGAAAAGGTTTGAAGTTTTGAAGAATATCATCATACCAAAACGTCGTATCAACAACACGCGAGGTGTTTGAAAAATGATTTCTGGTAGTCCACAAACAAAGTCTTAAAAAACATTGAAGGGATCGCCTTTATATTAAGGCATATGTGGACAAAATGATATATCATCTTGATCGTAAGTCATAATGAAGCATAAAAAAAATTATTAAACACAAAAATTTACCCTCTCCTTTCTGGTCCCCGAGAACTGCCCAATTCCATTATCCTTTCACCCGATTGTCTTTCTTTTCCTTTTCAGAATTTTCAAGGCTGTTAGTACCACTAATCAACAGAGACCTGGACATAATTTGCTTGTAATAATGCTCTTCTGTTAAAGGAAGTAATATAAGATTCTCGAATCACAGAAGGGCTGGACCATCTGTGAATCGTTTTGTTTGGCAAAGATCAGTTTTTTCATCTATACCGTACTAAAACTCAATCAAATGCCGCGGCGCCGGCAGTTTTGGAATCTTTAGCGTTTCCGTCGATATCAAAAGAATTACTGGTCATCGCTCATAATGCACATAATGATATTTGGTGAGCCTGTACAAGCAGATTATGAGCTGAAAATTTATATAGTTTGTTATTTGATTAGGATGAAGCCCAAATAGATTATCATGCAATGAAATCGAGAGCGAATAATGTAATTGCTGTCGTAAAAATGTATTGGATGCTTAGAATTTAAAAGCAAGACAAGATTGAAAATTTCATCAAGTATCATAAAATGTGCAGAGAAAGGCGCGTGTCGTGATTGGTCAAAACGAGTTCATTATATTTCCATAAAGCACGCGCCCTACGTCGCACGAGTGCACTGTTAAGATATGATGCACGCAGCCTATTGCTAAATGCTGTGGTAGTAGAGCTAAGTATACATAAGTTAAAGAATTAAAGGGGACGCATCGATTCTTTGTGACTCTGAGTTTCGCGCCTAAGCGCTCGTCAGATAAAACACGTGGAAAACAGACATAGTTTGATGCTACTCTGGTTTGCAGATTTAATGAATAAAACCGAAGAAGTTACAATTCATAGACCCAACGTTTCGACACTCCTGTCTAGTGCCTTCATCAGGGGTGATCTAAACGCTGCAACAAGAGGTCCTATTATATGATCACTAGTTAGGGGCCTTTTTTCTGACGAGGTGTAAATAGGCGTCAGGAAGCAAACCGCCATCGTCACGATTTAAAGGAGCGTGGGCGGAGTTAATATGCCAAGCCTCCAAACAAAGGCGCAGGTGGTAACGCCGACTAGTGGTGATAATTTTAGAATCATCCCACCCAATTGTATGGTTAGTTAGGCATGTGTGCTCCAATAAAGCTGAATTTTCCTTTTTGCAAAGGAAAACCGCTTTTGGGTGCTCTTTTAACCGTATACCAAACTGACGTTTGGTCTGTCCGATGTATTCGTTGTCACAGTTATTGCAAGGAATAGAATAAATGACGTCCGTTCGTTGTTCTTTCGTGACATCCCGTGTGAACTTTAATATATTACACGTAAAAAAATATCGTATTTTTTCACGTGTGTTGATATAACCAATCAGCTGCTGACACGTCACTCGCCTTTTGCGCCACCCGGTCAGGTTGATGAATAACAAAGTCCTCACGATTCTCAATACAAGTTGTTTCTCAAATAACACTAAAACACTAAAAGATCCGTATCGCTGACAGACAGTGAGGCTCAAACTTTCCTAGAAGGGGAAGAAAACCAATATACTAAAAGAAAAACCGAAAGTTACGTATTCAGTGGCTTTGGTGTTAGCATTTCTCTCGGCTGAGAATTAAGACAACTGGAGGATTTACCACTGGCCGATTTTGGCTGTTTACCTGAAAGACTTCTTCTTTCGGTAAGGACAAAGCCAATAAAAGAGAATTTTGTAAATTTAAAATTACGACCGTTGTTGATATTGTAGTCATGATTCAACATATTTTTGCATCTCAAGAGTTAGCGCCAACGCACTCTACGATTGTTATTCGGGGATTGTCGATTCATTTATTTTCAGTCATTAATGAAGCCGGCTTTTTTTCTCAGTAAAGGGCTATTATGTTTATGTGATAAACAAACTAATACATGGTTGCATGTAGATATGGAATTTCTCTGCGCGTGTTAAACTCGACATGTCACTCGTTCGCTGCGCTCCATATCAACGCGCGCCCATGTATTATATTCTATATATTTCATGTAATGTGAAAATGTACATGAAATATATATACCTTTTGATTTTTGTATATGTATATATATATATATATATAAAATTATGTGTGGTTTTTTTTTTAGTCAATCGCGCTCAAGCGAGAATGCCTGAAATTAAAAGAAAAAAAATTTATAGTGGTATATTTGAAATCTCCTTCCACCAATATGAGCCTATGAGAAACTATAAAAAAAAACAATAAAAATTTGTAGACTTTATCAATTTCCCTCATTTTAGTTCAGAAGCAATTGAAGAGTAAAATTATTGTAGACCTTAATTCAGAAAAAAAATATTCAAAGATTTAAAAAAAGTAATTAATTTTTTAGCCATGTGAAGTTTCAGCTGCCTCGAGACTTTAAACAAAGTAAACTTTAAAAAAGAGATTGATAAGTGCAGATGAACAGTATGAATCTCGCTTTCTATTATGTACAAATACTTCTGTCCTTATTATATTTTGCATCCAAATATAAAACTATTTTTCTTTTGGTTTGAACACATCAAGCTGTTATTTTTTAAATTAAAAGCTATCTCAACCTGTGTGAAGACGCTTCCTTCAGGGAAAATTAAAAGAAAACCATGCTTTTTCATTTCGAAGCCTTAATAAGCCCTGAGAAGCGATTTAGAACCCTTTCCACGCAGTCGAAAGTCTTAAAAGATTAATTAAAAGAACTTTTTTATCAACGAGAGTATTGTTTGAATAAAATATGTTTTTATGTCCACTACGATCGAAATTAATGACCTAGAAGCGAGTTTTATTAGATTTCATTGGAAAAACAAACAACTTCTGAGTCTTTGGTTGTCCACCTTATCGTGCTTCTTATTGCAAGGAGTTTGATTTACACACAATCACATCAAAAAACTTGTATCTGGTATCTGGTCTTGTTGTCTAAATATTGAAATTGTTTTTCAATCAAATTTTTGTAACATATGGGATTCAAAGCTTTAGAGGACAAATTGTCATATTGTTAGATGTAGCTGTGGAAAGCATCCAAGAAGTCATGGCTGAGAACAGTTTATCTTGTTACCAACTTCCCGATCCTACTTTTCACAAAGTAGCTGAGCGCTATACAATGAACCTTGTAACAGCTATAATCAATATGTTAACAGCCCCTCTCGCTGTTATCAGCAACCTTTTAATTTTCGCTGCAATCGTTTCTCGACTTAGAGCACCATCAAAAATTTTGATCGCTAGCTTGGCCCTCTCGGATGTCTTTGTTGGGCTTGCAGTTCAGCCGGGTTACGTTATGTACCGACTCATGGAAAATCAGCATCGTTCCGTTCCCTGCTTTGTCAGAATTGTATATGCAAATGCTTTTTACATTTGTTGTGGTGTGGCTTTCATGACACTAGCTGTTGTTAGTTATGAGCGATTGATTGCAGTTCGACTTCAGGTGAGGTACAATGCTGTGTTCTCCTCAAGTCGTATTCTGAGGTATATGGCATTTATCTGGATACTCAACATTCTTTTTACAAGTTTGCAGTGGGTTGTGGTAAAGCAGGTTTCAAGAGGTATACATTTGATAGCTTGGTTCATTTGTCTTCTCGTAGCTGTAGTATCAAACATTGGAATCATTTTGAGTTTACGACAGCATTCTCGACGCGTGCAACCCGCCAGTCGTCATCCATCTAAAAGAAACCAGAGCAAGCGAAGAATATCTAGAGAAGTAAACGTAACAAGAAGCATATCATTCATCGTTGCAGTTTACTTGATGTTTAATATACCAGTTTTGTTTGTGACAATTTATCATCAGATATTGGGTAGAGATATCAAGACTTATAACCACTACAGCTGGTCAGAAACTCTTGCTTTTCTCAACTCGTGCACAAATCCATTGGTGTGTTGTTGGAAAAGTCGCGAAATCCGTCAGGCGGTGAAAGCAGTATTAGACAGAATTTTCTGCAAATAGAATACTTTAAGATTGGAGCTCGAAAGAGATGTCAAGAGTTAAAACCACCACAGCTGGATGGCTCTTTCTATTCTCAGCTTGCAGCTGATGTGTAGTTGGAATTACAAATTCCGTCGAGTGGCCAAAGAATACGTAACTAAGTATCTCGAATCCCGTCCATTTGAGAGAAACGAAAATACAGTTTGAAACAGGATTCAGCTTGGTCAGTGGTCTTCGTAGTAATTTTTGCAATTACTGAGTTGATGTTATTTTTCGTTACTGCGCAACTAGACACTTGATAACCATCCATCTCCCAAAAAATGTTTGTTTTGATACGTCCTATGAGGCTTTTCTACATATGTATAAACGATGCAGTTAATTCAATACACTCTCCCTTTTGGAATGTAGCGCTTCAGACCACAATCCGATAAAAAAAGGGAAAACATAGGTACACACGAAACTTTTTCCAAACTAGCCGACATAACAAAGCCCATAATACAAAAGTACAATGTAGTTGCTCCCTTACACCTTTTCAATTGCTAAGCTAGAGAAATAATTTAGACAAACCTGTAAATACGTAGTTCCTCAGTGATTTATACAATATGCCTGTGTAGGCGAAAGAGCACGTGCAACGTTTGTTTAACTGACAGAACTTTGTCTCGGAATTTAAAGAGATATCTGCAAAATGTGTAAAATCTGGCATAAATTACTTCCTTCGCGAGAGGGACTCCTTGACAGACATTGGATAATAACATTAATTTAATAATTTTAATAATTTAATTTTTAATTTTAGGGCACTCCATTAGAATGCTTGACTCCGACTGGTCCCCAAAAGCCTGTCCCTTTGCTGGAGTTGATTTCTTACACAAGGCCAAACTTTCTGTTTTTACCCGTTACCTTAAATTAAGGTTACTTCCCACCTTCGCGAGTGTCCTTCGGGAAAAATTCGCACGCGCGCTAGTTTCACTAAAATGCTAGCAAACTATTTATCAGAAGAAAGCTTAAAAACTGCAGTTTACGATGAAAATATAATTGAAGCGATTTTTTTCTTTAAGGAAATGTCAGGGGCCGGTAAGCCGTGAAACGACCGAAGGTTCTTCTATCTAATTTATCGGGTATCAGACGCCACAGCACAAGCAGGCTGCACAGTCTCATTCACAAGGCATCAATCAACAAAAGTGTGTCACGCATTTTCGATATTCTGATTGTTTATCGAGATATCGGCATCTAAAGTTGGAGTAGCAAAAAATATGCTAGTCGTGTTGTGCAAATGGATGCCACGCGACAAATATTTAAAATATCAAAATTCCCCGACACACTTTCGTTTGCCATTATTCCTGGGATATTCTGGCGAAATTTGACGAAAATCAGTTAAATCTATATACCATATAAATTCGCTCAAAGTGGTTGTATTCCCCCAAAATCAAATACGAGATTTTAGTTCATAAAGGTTTGCAAACAACTCACGCCACGCCAGGAGACTATCTCGCCTCCTGAAACCGCAAACCAACAGTACAATGGGATCTCCTGGCGTCAATGACGATGGATCAAGATTTCCCGGGAAAAGTAACATGTATTGCAGACACATTTTTTTTTTTTTTGATCTTGATCGCTCAGTGGAGCGTTGAGTAGGACGACACAGTAAAGAGCAAAGTTACCAGAGGCAAAAGAAATACCCGCACCAAATTGGAAAAACCGGAAGATGTGCTGGGGAGCAAGACAACGAATCGACAAACAGCTTTCAAAATTACGATTCGAGGCGATTGTTAATGCTTTTGTATCAAGGCTGGTACTTGCATAAAGAAAAGGAAACCTCGTTTTTAACATCATGTTGGGCAAATTTTTGTTTGACGGCGACTTCTGTGTTCGAAATCTGGACGCCGGCGTGGAACTCCGCCACTACAAGTCTTCTTCCGCTTTTGATTTTTCCATGAACAAAAATTTTTCCATATTCCATATTCCGTATATTTTGAACAAAGAGCTCCCACGTGTGAATTCTGTAAAGTGTGCGATGTGAGCAAAGTATGGAAATAACATGAAAATCGAGCCCCAACATGAGCGGTTGCCGCGAAAATTACCCCAGGGGATTCGCCCAGGTCCGAGATTATGACACCTTTCTGATTTATAAACTTTTATTTGAAAATACGGTTTTCTAAATAACTTGGATGCTTTTTAAGATTTCAGAAATTTTTTTATGAAAACGTTAGGTTGAATGTTCGAATTCAGCTTTGTCAAATAAAATAAAAATCGATTTTTTCGGTCCCTGAAGGTGGGGAGTAACCATAAAGCTGCTATAAATATAGTAAAAGTCAAATCAGACGGGTGAAAACCCAATTATTTGAGTTGTAGTTACCAGTGCTAACCAGTCAGACTTAAGAAAATATCCTGGGAGAGCAAGTGCATTAACTGTAGTATTGAATTAAACCTACAGTTTGCAACACTAAAGTTGCTGAAGTTCTACAGTTCATCAGGAGATTTTAGAATCTGGCGATTTTTTTAAATGCTTCATTACCAAATTTTAACACAAGTGAAAAACCTTTGTTTCACACTGTTTTAGAATAATAAGTAAGTAATCGTGCTCCTTATTTTAAATTTGCCACGCGCTGAGCACTCGACCGATTGCAAGTCTCACTCCCGTTTATTTCTTATAATTTTGCACAAATCAGTCTTGTCACCATTTCTTATTATATGATAAGCTGAATTGTTTCTTGATTGTTTTTTACCTATGATATATTGGAGGAGGTCACCATTAATAGGGATTTGCAATTGCTTTTCATCATAAAAACACACTGAACAACATTTTTTAAATCATAGTAATGTATATTAAATAATTTTATTTCACGTTGCCGTGGTTCTGTACAATAATCGATCACATAGAACGTCGAAATGCATGTGGTAAGTATATCGATCACACACACGGCTGCGCCTCGTGTTCTTATCACATAATGACGTAAACAGTGATATGTTACTGAGCAGACACCAAGCAACACAAAATCAAATTGTTAAATATAAATATTACGATAAAAAAAATGTTGTCAAGTGTTTTTTTTGTTTGTTTGTCTATTTTTCAGTTTAAAGGTTCAAGGTTTTCAAGGTTCTACTCATGCACTCTTGGCATCAGCTGGTGGGAAAAAGGGGCCAACGCTCAGGTTTTTGCCCGTACTGGCCTCCCCACAATGTACACGCTGCTCAGACAACCAAGACTAAACTAGCTTTGCCATGTGTGCCGTGTGAAAAACGGTCGGATCCTCAAGGACATCTTCTATGGTCAACCTGCTTTGGGCAAAAGACCCTAAGGTTGCCCCCAGCTGATATACAGCTATTTCAATTTACGTTGTCGGATCAAAGCTTCAAGGGTACATAACGTTCGATAGTTCTTGGTGACATCCATAAAGCAGCTGCAACCTCATCCACTTGAAACCCCAACATTTCTTTCATCCAAATGGCTCGCCATCAGAGATCTTCGCTGTATGGACGAGGCATTGTTAATGTTGCTGATAATTATTCATTAAGATCCCATATTCCCCTTCGGTCTTGTCTTGTAGGCTTGAGGCTTTGATCCGACAACGTAAATTGAAATAGCTGTATAAAGATGTCTGCCAGCGCAACATAAAAGCTCTGGATATCAATATAGAGATCTGGGAAGACACTGCAGCAAACCGCCGCAGCTGGCGCTGCTTGCTCAAGAAATTCGACATCGACCAAAGGAGGCCTACTATTAGTACTCCACAACTACTCATGCTGAATGACCAGGTTATTCAATGTCAACATGTACAGTTCAAGAATAATTAGAGGACAGTTTGTCCAGCTGTAGTGGTTGTATGTCTTGATATCTCTCTCCAGTATCTTATTATAAAGCGTCACGAATAGGACAGGCAGGTTAAACATTAAGTAGACCCCAACGATGAAGGACACACTTTTTGTCAACCTCGTTTCTCTTTGCCTCTGCCTTTGACTCCGTTCGGGCAGGTTAGAATTGGCAGGTTACATTCAGTTTCGATTTTGGCGCAAATTAAAAAATGATTCCCATATTTGCCACTGCAGCGATAAGAGGTGAACCAAGCCACCAAATGGATCCCTTTTGAAATCTTGTTTACACCGGCCCACTGCAGACTTGTGAAAATAATATTGAAAACCTAGATAAAAGCCTTATACTTCGTTATTCGTATGGGGGAAAACACAGCATTGTACCTTGCCCGAAGAGGAACTGCTACGAACTGCTCGTAATTGACAGTAGCTAGCGTCATAAGGGCCACTCCATAACAAATGTAGAAAGCATTTGCATACAAAATTCTGACAAAGCAGGGAACGGAACGATGCTGATTTTCCATGAGTCGGTACATGATGTAACCCGGCTGAACAGCATTACCAACAAAGACATCCGAGAGGGCCAAACTTGCGATCAAAAGGTTCGATGGTGTTCGAAGCCGAATTATGATAGCAGCGCAAATTAAAAGGTTGCAAATGACAGCGAGAGAGGCTGTTACTATATTGATTATGGCTGTTATAAGGTTCATCGTGTAACGCTCAGATACGTGGTCAAAAGATGGATCGGGCAGGTGGAAACAAGAAAGCGGTGGACCTTCCATCGAAGAGTTGTTGGCCACGAGTTCCGCAAAATGTCCGTTAAGAATCGCCGATGTTATTGTATTCTGATAAAGCTAGATGCAAAGTAAATCCATTAGACAAAACTGTCGAATTTACATTTGGAACCTTTCTAAAATAGGTCACAGTATATAAGTGTAATTTTCTAGGCTAAAAAGGTCATTTCGCTCATGGAATGTTCTCCCGCACTTTGTGATACCCGTCGCACTTCGTAATACCCATCAATTTGTAATAACACCTGTCGCACTGTTTTATACAAAAGCCGTCTCACCTTGTAATAAAATACTATACCAAGTTTTAAGACCGGTAAGATAGGTAGTTACACTTTGTGATGACACTTGTCGTGCATTTTGTTATTAAAAGAGCAAAAAACACAAAACCTTTTAATAACGTAGCTTATGCAATTTAGATATCTTGATTAGATCTAAGTGCTGGTTACGTAATCAAACATGGTAAATTTGCATTACGGGTAAGGAAAAGAAAGGGCCGCACTTCTGCTGTAACGATAGGATTTTTAGTCATCAAGTTTGTATGATAGCGCTAAAAAATATATAAAATTCAACGTAGAAACTGCGAGATTTTGCTAAGTTCAGCATGCGTCAACGATACCGGTCTCAATACAGTTAGCTGCAAACAGTTTTTATTAGATCAAATCTGTAATTGATGTTAAACTGTAACCGTCACTGTCATGATCCTTTGTGTAGTTGTTATCCACCTGAGCTTTTTGAAAGTAATTAATCATGTAAAAAGGGGAAATTCCTATTTAAACAATCGTCGTATCAGATTACGTTTTCCTTAAGCTTTAGATAATTCATAGCATTGCCTAATCTTTTGTACCTCAGGCTTTGGGAGTATCGGGGGTCGAAAAATAGTGAAAAAGGAAACCAGTCAGCTTAGTGGTGCTTACACAATAAATCCACGTTGGAGCCAATTTTGTTGTAGTTAGTCATTGTCTCGAGGATAGTCAACAGCCGTAATAGATCCCGATCTTCCCGCAGCCAGCCAGTGCCCCAGGAAACCCTTTCCCAAAAGAAGTTTATCGAGTTGTTCCCCGCCTGTCAGTTATTTGTGAAGGCAAAAAAACCTGTTTTCACACTGCTCCTAAATCGGTGAAACACCCCTTCGAATACCGATCTTTTAGGTTCTCTGTGCCCATCTTTGAGAAAAATGTTTAAAGCCCTGACATAGCGAGTTTTCTGTTACATTCAGCTCTTTCTTGAAAGCATGACTAAAGCAGCATATTCGATGATCTTACCACAACCTCTACATCCCTTTTTTTTTTGCAGTGACGACGTAAGGCAATTGAATGCTGAGTGTCGCTGTGCTTTAAAGGAGATGAAAGTGTGTGGGAGAATATTCCGTGGATATCATGTCATACAATAGGCATTCGGGAAGGTCACACATGTTTCTAGGCAAATGTTCGCTACAGACCTATTTGACACTACGAAATCATTTTCAAGACAATGAAGAAGTTTTGATCCTTCCACTGGAGTTTTGTTTTCTATGAGTCTCCATGTAATATCTGAAAATGCTTTCGCTGCAATGAATGCTCAGCAGGGATTACAGCCGCGGTAATCAAGCAACAGAAAGAGGCAGGAAAATAAAAAAAACACCTGCCTTAGGAGGACAGAACCTCCAACTACAGCATAAACCAAACCATAAGAATTCTTCGGGATATAGAACATCATTTTAATTTTTAAATTGGAAACGTTTAGCGATATCACCTCAAGTCATAACGGAAGTCCCACATCTCGTGGTGATAGGTCTTGCCCAAGGATATATTCGCACTTCCTCCTTTTACCATCAAAAAAGGTAACTGTTGTGTATTCATTTGGAGGAGACACTTAATCCTTAATTGCTTTCTATATTTATTGTCTTTATTCATGGATTAGCTCTTTAATAAGCGAGTACAATTATGTTATTTGATTAAAGTACTTTCACATCACTCAGTAATCCTTGATATTACCAGTATTGGTAAAAGTACTCTTTCTATGTTCTCAACACACTATAATTACTACCACAGTGCCTGACTTGGCTCTCGCAATAAAGTTTAGCAATAAAATTGAAACTAGTATCTCCCTTAGGAAGTAATGGGGAAGCACTCGACTATTTTGCCCATTGTTCGCTTCCCGCGTGCTCTACGACAAAACAGTGCACTACAGGGGCTTCTTTAATTTATAATTGTCTGTTTCAAGTTACGTAGTGTCAAAAAACCGAGTGTGTGCATGGGATTAAATTGAGTTAGATTGGTGCCCAATAGAAACCCTGCACGTTATCATCGTGTGTAGAAAATTGTTTAAATTTAACATTCAAAATGCCAGGGGCCTGAACTGGAAGAACCACACTTTTTAAATGATAAATGATAACAACTTTTTTTTGTAACTTGATGAGTTTAAGTCGGTTGACAGCACGTCGTTGCTTTTATGGTGCTAGTAGTAATATGTAAAGAAGTTTTGCCTGTTTCAAGTTACGTAATGTCAAAAAACTAGCGTGTGCATGGGATTAAATTGAGTTTGATTGGATGTTTTCTACGAGAAGGGCTCTACAATATGCTTTGGGGATATGGACGGTAAACATTTTTTTGACTGCTATGGAATGGGCTAAAATAGATAAGGCTATGAGAGGTATTCATCTAACTCTTTGGTATCTTTGCCTTCTTGCCTCAACTGCGACCCAAATTGGCGTTTTAATGGCAAACATACAACCACTACAGCTGGACAGAGATGCTGGCTTTTCTGAACTCCTGCTCAAAACCATTTATATGTTTCTGGAAAAATAAAGAGATTCTTCAAAGAGTTAAAGATCTCCTGAAAAAAATTGTTTCCTAAAACACATTTTGTAGGCAAATTTGTATAATATTTTGTTCTTTCTTTCATTTCGCCCAATGTTTGGTTAATATCTTGACTACTGATTTTAAGTGTCATAGTAATTTTCAAAACTGGCGGTAAACGTCAATTTCAAGTTTTACACCTGCTATTTTCAGAACTTCTTCAATTAATGCAAGGTTTTTCATCAAAGCCTCAGGTTGTTAAATTGCGCCTCATGACAAGTACTAATTCAGGTGATGGATCTTTGTGAGAGTACACTATTTATAAAAAGGCCGTTTCCCTTTATAATAAAAGACTATCCCAAATTTTAAGACTGGCAAGGTAAGCAGTCGCACTTTGTAATGACACTTGTCATGCATTTTATTACTAAAAGAATAAAAAACACAAAACTCTCTCAATAACGTAGCTTAGGCAATCCAGATATCTTGATTAGATCTAAGCATTGGTTACGCACACATCGCGTGGTGATAGGTCTTGCACAAGGATATATTCGCACTGTCTCCTTGGACCATTATTTTCAAGGAAGGTTATTGTTGAGTATTTATTTGAAGGAGATACTCACTCCTTAATTGCTTTCTATATATATTGTGTTTATTCATCGATCAGTTTTCTAATAGGCTGGTACATTGTTGCTCGATAAAAGTAATTTCAAATCATTAAGTAATCCTTGATATTATTAGCATTGGTATAAGTACCCTTATTATGTTCTCAATACACTAAGTTATCACTACAATGCCTAGCTTGACTCTCGCAATAAAGTTTAGCGATTAAATTGAATCTAGTATCTCCCTTAAGAAGTAGTGGGGAAGCATTTGACTATTTCGCCCACTATTCGCTTCCTACATTCTCTACGACAAAACAGAGCACTGCAGGGGCTTCTTTATTTTATAGTTGTATGTTTCAAGTAATATAATATATATTTACATAATATCAAAAACCGAGCGTGAGCATGGAATATGATTCGATTGAGTTAGATTGGTGCCCAATAGGAACCCGGCACGTTATCATGATGTGTCGGAAAATGTTTACATTTAAAATTCAAATGTCAGGGGCTTCAACAGAAAGAACCGCATTTTACAAATGATAAATTAGAAAACCTTTTTTTAAGAACGTGACGATTTTAAGTTGAGTGACAACACGTCTTTGCTTTTATGGTGCTAATAATAATGCATAAACACGTTCTTCCCTTAACCAGTGAGAAGCAATAAAAGTGATTCATTATGACACAGGGAAATAAAACAAAGTTTTCGGTTTACAGTCTGGCAGCAGTTAGTTGTCATGGATTTGAATATTTCCTCTCAGGATTCTTCTTGTTTTCATCTTCCTCATCCGTTATTCGATTTAGCCTCTGAGCGATTCATTACAAACTTAATAACAGCCATCATCAACATCGTTACCGCTCCATTCTCTTTTATTGCCAACATGCTGATCATCATCGCCATTTTTGACTGTCCCCGTCTACAAACTCCTTCCAATCTATTGCTTGCGACTTTAGCATTGTCAGATGCATTTGTCGGCCTGACAGTCCAACCAGGTTATATCACCTACCGGCTTATGGAAAATCAGCATCGTTTAGTTCCTTGTTTTGCAAGACATATCTACAATTCTGCATTCTACGTATGTTTTGGTGTTTCTTTCATGACTCTAACCGCTGTGAGCTATGAGCGCTTTGTGGCTGTTCGTCTACGTGTCAGGTACAACGCGATGTTTTCTACGAGACGGGCTCTAAAATATGCTTTGGGGATATGGACGGTCAATATATTCTTGACTGCTCTGGAATGGGCTAAAATAGATAAAGCCATGAGAGGTATTCATCTAACTCTTTGGTATCTTTGCCTTCTCGTCTCAACTGTGACCCAAATTGGCGTTTTTGTGGCCATACGAAGACACAATCGACGAGTTAATAACCAACTTCAAGTGGATGAAAAGCTACAGAGACAAAGAGAAGTGAAGCTGGCGAAAAAGATATCGACTATGGTTGTAATTTACTTTATTTTGAACTTTCCCGTTCTATTTGTGACATTTTATCATCAGATATTAGGGCAAAACATTCAAACATACAACCACTACAGCTGGACAGAGACGTTGGCTTTTCTAAACTCCTGCTCAAATCCAATTATATGTTATTGGAAAAAGAGAGAGATTTTTCGAAGAGTCAAATATCTCCTGAAGAAATTAATTTGCTAAAACACATTTTTATTCTCATTTTTTGAACATTTTGTTTTTTGTTTTTTGTTATTTTTTCATTTCGCCAAATGTTTTATTAATATCTTGACTACTACTATTTAAGTGTGATAGTAATATTCAAAACTGGCAGCAAACTTCCGTTGAACGTTTGACATCTGCTATTTCATAACTTCCTAAATTATTGCAAGCCTTTTCATTATCAGGTTGTTAATTTGCGCTTCATGACAAGTACTAATTCAGGTGATGGATCTTTGAGAGAGTACACAACGCCTTCCAAATAATTTCAATTCAATGAAAGCTCGAATTTTCTTTCTTTTACCGCCGCATTAGCATCGCAGATGATCAAACTTTACGGATGAGTTTCAAAAGGAATATTGACAACGTCAGATGGTTTAAACGGGAGGAACTTTCGGGTCGTAACTGTTTGCAAATAACAGCCGACTTTTTGCGTAATATCAATGATTAGCATTTTGAAAGGTAGAGGAGAAGATGGAAACGAGGAAAAATGTTTGACACTACCAACCATAAAAAAAATTTATATATCGTAAGAAGTCTGTTTTTCGGTTTTGCCGTAGTACTCTATACATAGAACGAGAGCGCGATTTTTCTATTGAGGCAGGAAAAACAAAGAGACTACGCTTTCATCTCGACTAGCCTGTTTCGTGGTTAACTCACTCTTCCGGGTATTTTAATTGCAATAATATTCGTGACCATCGTTGATATACTACAAAATTTGCATAATTGATGTGGCGATAAATTTAGATGTTCAACTGTTACGTGCGTAGCAACGCGTTGTTTCTGTGACGGCGCGAAAACACAATTTCATTAGAACTGTTTCCCTTCAAAAGAACGTATGTACACATATATTCCAGAATAAAAGAATTAAATGCAAAAGTCTCTGCATGTTTGGAAAAAGAAGTTAATAATTTTGATCTCACAATCACTCAATCTTGCGGGTAAAGGCCATCTAAAAAGCTCTTTAAGGGGAGAAACTTGGGATATTGAGCATAAAACAAACCCTATACAGCTACCAAGGTATAAGGTATATGGAGAAAAAACATGACGATGATATTGCATCCACGAAAGTCAATTTTACGCATATTGCAAAAATTTTCGAATTAGTCTAGAAGAGTCTTTATCATTGGAAATTTTCAAGGAATATCTTAATAACCGAATATGACCGTTACAACAAGATCAGGTCCCTCATGAAATATCACAAGGATTCTGTTTCGTGCAGGTGACAAGAGAAAATTTTTAATTCATTAAATCCATCATATCCAGGCAGCGAATCAACAAAGCTTGATTGTAATTACTTTGTGCAAATAGTTACTTTGTGCAAGTAATTACTTTGTGCAAGTAATTATTCCACAAAGTTAAAGATGATGAAAAAAAGAAATCTCGTAACTTATACACTGATGCAGGTTTTTAGCTTCTGAAGAAAATGTTTAACAGCGTTATCCGTGAGTGGCAAATGAAGATTCTGACAGCAATGCTCGGCGAGTTATGAAGAGTTGACATTTTGCGCATTTGCCCTTCGCAAAGAGAAAGAGAGAAAAATGGAGAAAAGTTCTTATTTTCTAAATAAAGTATAACACTGCTTAACGGGTAGGTTTAAAACTTGATTTATTATCGACTAAGAGTTGGTAAAGAAGATGTGTGGCTTCTACAACGAAAAAAAAGTTACGTCTACACTTTAACACCAATACGATTATGTGCGTGGATTTATTTTCCTATTTCAGTTTTTTAATGTTTCCGGCATAAGATCTTGCAAGCATTACCTGCTTGTAATCATTTGGAAAGCTAATTTATGAATGTGTTAATTAACTCTATTTTTAAAATATTCTGGTTATGCAGACGTAATGCAAAAAGGGCTTAAGCAAACCGAAGAACAATTGATAGACATAAACGTCATTTTCTACTCTTGATACACGAGCGGGCGGTACTATACAAATCCTCCGATCTGATTGGTTTCAAGAGCGGGAAGTATTCTCCCATCAATGTTTCGGTGAAGCCTCTCTATTTAATTTGCCTTACCTCTGTTTTCTTCGTTAAGTTTAAAAATAAAGTAAAGATGTTATCCACCAGCTTAGGTTGATCCTTATCGGGAAGAACTGTGTCCTTTGTCTTGAGTGCCGCATGGTATCCAAGACGTCGGGCACAGTTTTCCCGACACGGACTTCCCGCCTGGTGAATAACATATAATTGTTCTTCAGTAAAACTACCAAATCTCGCATCTTTAAATTATGTGTTAGAGCGATTAAAATTCTTGAAAGGTGAAAAAAAAACATTATTTTGCTCCAGAACAAATTTCCCAAATTCCGCCGGCCTTATTGAAATAGATAATAGAACAGCACTTAGATGCGTATCTCATTGTTGTATCTCAAAGTTCAGTTAGTTACTATTCCCCACAGAAAGCAACCATTTTTCCAGCATAGAGGAATAGATATAGCGTCTCTGACTTTCCGTTTTACTGGATAAGATCGCTCACAATAAAGAAAGGGAAATATTGTTGTGTAAAAACGTAGTATAATTACTTGGAAGTTTGTTTACAATAGGGGAGGGTAAGGCTATCTGGTCGTCAAGGTAAATCCAGTTTAATTTAAATAAATCACAAAGAGCTGTGTTTTTGATAAATTTGATCGATGGGCAGATCGCCTTTTCCGATGTGCCTTTTCTGAAAGTATTTCTTTTATTAAAGCGCGCGTAGAAACGTTTGAATAATTCATAAAGTGTCATTATGACTACTTATAAGCTAAAATACGAGTAGCCAATGTCAAATTTTCAACACTGAATAGAATAGCAACCTACTGAACGAAATTAAATATTAACAATTGCATCATTCGGAAATAAATAAGGCCTTTAAATGCTAAGCACGCAATTACACACTCCTGTTTAGGTTTTAAAACATTAATAACAAATTGAAACGCCAAGAATGGAATGATGTATTTCCAATGTCCTAAAACTACAAGTACAGAATATTTTTCTATCTTAGGTAATAGGCTGATAGTAAAATTAATAACTTATGAATCAGTCGAGTCCAAGCTCCTTTTACTGCTTCTAAAGAATCTATAAACACCGCAAATCTCGTTGCTTCGTCGATATGCCCTTTATGTATGGTATGGTTACGACCACAGCCACTATACCATACATAAAGGGCATATCTGAGAACATCTCACGCATCCTACAACCATTCAATATTTGCGTCGCTCACAAACCTATTACCACACTACGTCAGTTACTGATTGACATCAAAGACAGAGAAGAACCGAGGAACAGACAAGGAGCAGTATATAAGATCAATTGCTCCGATTGCCACGCCTCATGCATTGGTGAGACTGGCAGAAACCTCGCAACTAGACTGACTGAACACAAACGAGCGACGAGGAAAGGCGATGTCAACAATCACATTGCTGAACATTAATGACTTACGAACCATACTGTTGACTGGGACTCTGCGCAATGCCTAACCTACAGCACCAACTACTTTCGACAACTGACCCAGGAAAGCTGGTTTACTAACTTGGAACAGACTCCCCTCAACAGGTGTCAACCAGTACCGGCACCATACAAACGACTCATTCACGACATTGACATTACAAACGAACCGAACAGAACGACCTAACTTCACTAACGGATCGAAACCGACCAATCGCGACTGACCTACGCCACTTGAGTCTTACAGCCAATAACATCCCGGCAAAACTGACCAATCAGTGTACACAAACCGGACTAAGTACATTCGACTTACAACAACCTTTCACTTGACTCTGATGATGACTTCCGCTCAGGTTGTCCAAACGTCAGCCACCACTACCGACAACAGTCCTTCTCAGGACTACACTCACCCGGACGATCAAACTACACCGTTAGAAGTTTTTATAGTTATTTATTCATTGATAAAGTTTTAAATAGAACATTTCAAGTAATAATTAGTTATATGTTACATATCTTATTTAGTATGAATCACATTTAATTGTTATTTTGTATTCCAATTATCATTATTTTTATTTTATCTTTAGTTTATTGTCATTATTATGTTACGGCGCATTTGAATATATATACATAGAATCTGCGCCTTAGAAGTCAATAAATTATTACTACTATTATTATTATATTTGTCTGATCGTCCAGGTGAGAGTAATCCTAGAAAAACGTTTCTCGGCTATAGTCAGGTACGTTTTTACAAGCTGAGAGTAGTCACGAGAGCGGTCATCGTACGCGTCGGTGTAAAGTGAGTCCAGAGAAAGTTATCAAGTAATAAAGATAACCTTTAACTGGAAAAATAAGGGCTTTTAAAATCATACTTAAATTGAAAAAATAAAGAGGATTAAAATCAAATTTGTTCATCCACAATCGTGAGACTGTGATGTTGAGTGGAGTCCTATAGCGCATAGCTGTGTTCATTAGTCAATGGAGTAGGTTGGAAAGTGCGAAAAGGACTTGTGCCGTTTTCCGCACAATCCTCTCCTCAGACCAAGAGTCTGGACAAAACCGACAGAAAATAGTCGGTTGCAGCAACTCGAATCGACAACATGAGCAGAAGTCACCATCAGAACTCATCAAGAGAGGAGTTAATGGTCAATCCAATTTGGTGGCTAGATACCGTGCTTGCAAGCTATCAGAACTAGATTGTCTTACAGAAGTTAAAAAACACACAAACTACAGAGTCAATGTGTGCAAAAATGCATGCTTTTTATTTAGTGGGTGGGGGGGATTGGGGTAAAAGTGACACTAGTTGTTTTATAAGTTTTCGTTTAAAATTTTTTGAGAAGGAATTGCCATAGGGCTGGCCAAAATTGATCCAATAGCGCATGCCCAGCCAACGTTTTACCGCTACGTTGTTTCCCCCTCCTCACGCACGTCTACATAACCTACGCCCATCGTGGTGTGGGCTCAGATTTAGAGCTCCGCACCAAGCCACCATTGCGTGGTGGAAAAAGAATTTTCAGTGCACTTGTGTTTAGGATTGATAATGTCATAGAATCCAAAGTTATCTTCGTGCTCCAGGGCACCTGTACTTGGATCCCAAGAGCAACCGTTTTTTCCGCTCCAGTACGAATCAGTATGCATATGTTGGGTATCTCGCTGCACAAGCATCCCCGAACAATTAGTGCAACTTCTTCCTCGAACTGAGATGTACTCGTACCTCTGACAGCTGTCTTGATTGACAAATGTCAGGATGTCCGTGTCTTGGAGAGTAGCGCGTGCGTAGTCGGTGAAATTAAGGCCTGACGGGAAATTGCACGTCACTCGCCAGTGCGTCGAGTTGTGTCGGATGTTGACCATTGCTTGGTAGGATACTCGATAATCATTCCAGTTGAATCTTGTCTCGTTTCTGGGAAAGTTGTAATATAAAGGCTTTTGGTTGTAAAAATCCTTATTTCCTAAAGAGAATGACTCGATGAGAGTCCAGACTTTTCTGGGTTTCGAGTCAAAATCACAATAACTCTGAGCCGTATCATTAAGCTTATACACGCCTGACTTAGACTCTGGTTTCAGCTTTAATAAGATAGGCATGAATTGACTCTTGGATGGAATATCTCACATCTCTTTCCCTGGTAATGCTGTGGACATGTGCAGTTGTATTGTTTCCTAATGTCATCGCAATTTTCTGCGCATGTGCCTCCATTAAGGCAAGGTTTCGATTGACAGCAGCCATTCAGGCATCTGTCATTTTCCTGAAAACAAACACGAACAGCAATAAAATTAAAATTAAAATTTCCCTGAATAGAATTAGGGGTCGTTGTTCTTTTTTTGTCTTTTAAAAAATGAGTATTGCGACGAAAAAAATTTTCAAAGAAACTCTTCATTTCATACAAGGCGAATATTTCGAAGCGACTCATCCCCGCCATGAATCATGATAAATGGCTTTCCAATCAATTTTGGCTTGATCATCTATATTTTCCGGCTTTGAAGAAGTCTTCGAAATTTTATTCACTCTACAAGAACACAAACTTACCCTCACGCCGTTTTGCTGTACATGATACAAAACAGTTCCTGGTCTTTTCACTCGCTTTCCGATGGCTCCATCAATGTCCGTGTCCAGAAGCTCACATATTTTTCCACCGAGTTGAAACGCAATGCAGTCGCAGTGTTTAGCACAGTGACGAAAACACTCCCAGGGGTCCCGCACGCTTTCAGTCTGAATTGTATGATTTTCTATGCTGAAGTTCTCCACGAATATGTTGTTGATGTAGATCAGCGGTGTTTTCATTTGGTTGCTCGCCGTAGTAATTGGAGGGATTAGCAGAAAAACTGTCCCAAAATTGAGCCTTAGAAACGTGAAATATAAATCCATCTTACTCTAGAAGAAATTTAAATGAAAAGGTTGTCGTTCTTTCGAATAAATGTAGAATGAAAACTCCTTGACAGCCTGCTTTTAATGAAACTGGAAGCAAATAAACAATGAATAGCATCTATTAGTGAAAAATAAATAATCGGGTATTTGTTCACGGACATTATCTTTTTCGAGAAGGGAGAATTTTTTAGCACGAAGCAAAAATAAAAACTACGGAGCCCTTGAGCACGAATTTCCACCTCAAATGAAAGCAAATTCTTTGTGTATCGGAGGTCATATGTTTCATTTAACACGTAAAAAAAGTTGTTTAAAAAAGTTTACTGAAAAAAACCACATGTATTTGTTGAGAAAATATAGAAGCATGTTAGCAAGCCTTTGTTAAAAGTTTACTTTTTAAGTGCGATTTCTTTCTAGAATTTCTGTATCTTCCGAGAATAATACACACATACAACAAAAAAATTCAAGTGACAAACAAAACCGCTTTCTCTAAAAAACTCTATTACCATCAAACTTCTTGTAAAATATGCATTATTTCTGTCCCCAAACTGACATTCGATATCTTTTATCTCCTTGAGGCAGGTGTATTTGAAATGGAGAATAATTTGTGGATAATAATTTCAAGTGAAAGGAAATGGATTTTAAAACATGATGAAAGAATTTTTCTTTTTTCAGCAATGATGCTTCCATCAGCCTCAGTATGCTGTGAGTTAGCAGGAGAAAGCTCTATAATCATGCTAGAAAACAAATTGAAAACAAATATTTGGCTTCAGTTGTCACGTCACCTTTAACTTTGCCAAAGGAATATATTTTTTTAAAATTAAATCGAGATTCATGTTTACAATTTAGCCTATTTCATCGGAACAACTGCCATATACTGCTAATTCAGGGCGTAAGAACAAACTGGTATCACGACAGAGGAGTATCACGTGTCCTACGGAGATTTTGGAAGATCAACTTTTACTACGATAGGGAGTTAATACAGGCGTTCAATAAGAATTTTAAGAACATTTTGACTGTACTCATATTCAGATACAAATCCTGGTGATTTCTGTGCTATAAACGATTCCTCATCCCTCATCGACTTAACAAGCGCAAGAATTTGTCAAGGATGTAAACCATGAAGTCAAGAAATGAAAAAAAACTAGTCCCGTTTATCATATGCGAAGTTGAAAAACAAAAGTTTCCAGTAAGTAATAAAAAGCCTTATAATTTTTTTCTTGTTTTTTCTTGTTTTTTTGTTTTTGTTTTTGTTTTTTTTTTTGAGGATATAGCCCTAAGTTCATTTTGAGCGATTTGTTAACTTGTCGTAGGCTAATAAATGATAAAGTAAACAAAGCCCTCGTTGTGCAGGGCTCATTTATATAACATTTGTGCAAATTAATTCAAATTTAGACGCACGCAAGAGTTCAGGGAAATTTAATTTTTTTTATTTTGACTCGTGCATTATAGATGAAAGAATTCTTCTTAGGAAGCTTTAATGAAATTTTTTCAATACAATTGCTTGTTGTAATAACTGCGAACTAGAGAAGTACTTTTCGTAAACGGCTGCATGTATGTCGGCCTCATGCCACTCAAAATAACGAAAATGTCTTAATTGAGAAGGCGCATCATTCTTCCAATAGCTCGTAATTTTGTTGTCTCCGCCGCTTTCATATGACGCCAGTAAGTTAATCGAAGAAAAAGTGAGACGGGCATAATGTTTGACCACAAACCTAAAAGGAATTTCCCGATACAATGAACATATTCTCTGCGGCAAAGACTAGAACTGCTTCTAGATCGAGAACTTTTTTTACTTTTCTTTCTTATCTTCAAGAGAAGGAAATTTGCAAATAAACAATAATTAGGGTTAGTAGTATATAAAGAAGAGGATTTCAATTTTTTTTTCCGTTTTAAATATTCGCGTGGGTTTTACCAAACGACACAAGCCACTTTCATGCTACACGAAAGTGCGAGAGTCAAATGAATTTGCACTTGACTGTTTCATAGGTCACTCATTTTACTACTTTCTTATGATATCATAGCCTAAGATAGAAAAACTTTATAGTTGTAATTTTGGAATATTCTAAATACATTATTCAGTTCCACGTATTTAACAACTGGTTCATGCTTAACGTGCGTATACTGATTGAGATGCGCGGGTTATTAAGCCAGTAAACCGATAAAAAGTGCAGTCTGTTGCTTTTATGAAATAAATTTTCATTTTTTGTTGGTTTACTTGCGCATTAATTTTTGCAATATCTCGGCTACTATGTAAAGAGATACACCGTGGTGGCTTAATACGAATCAAGTACAGTGTAACACTTCCTCCCAAGTCACGTTTTAATTCAATGTTTTCCGTGACGAGAACTTTTTATTTAATGCTTAAAAACTCAAACACCATTACACAATCGCGTGCTTGGCAATTGAAGGCATTATACAATTTCCGATGAGGCCATTTTTTAACTCGTGAATTGCGCGCATGCGCAAGAGCGAGTTATAGATACGATGTGGTGAATAGCATCCGCTCGCTCGCTCGCTCGCTCGATTGGTCGATTCCTGTAAACTTTTTTTCCATTTTAGGCTTTTGAGTGCATTTGATAGTTTTTGGCGAGCAATAAACAAACGAAATGGCGACCTTTGTTGCTAAGAATAGTGGTGGGGTGAAAAAGAAGCCAATAATAATCTTAAAAGAGTGGTTTTTTTTCGTTTTAGTTTCAACAAGCGGCGCCAGCGACTGGCAGGCATGCTAGGATATACACTGAAATAACAGAACAGCCTTCGTTTTTCATAAAATTGCAATTCACAATCCTTGAACTTGAAAACAATCCGAAGATTCATTGAAAATATCACTTACTGCGAAGCGCACGGAGTTTACAGATGTTCAAAAGCTTTTTCTGTTATGGCGTGAGATTGAGGACAAAATCGATTATTACGTTTTGTATCGTGTGTTTTTCCTGTGTGAAGCAACAAAAGATACCGGCGACTGACGAAATTACAAGTAAACACGAAAATCAAATAACGCCTAAACAAACAATTTTAGCTACCGATTTTCAGTGAATTTTTAACGAACAATTTTCTTTTAAGGTTCAAGACAACTTGAAGATTCAAAATACGTATTACGTACTAAAATGCGAAAGTTATACAACACAAAATTGATAAATAGGCCTGAAATGAAATTCTATCTTGTTATTGATTATACGTTGCCTAGTACGTGACTAAAATCTACCCAGGCGGAGATCCAAAATGACGGTGGCAGTCTTGGCTTAGTTATATCACTCAAAACTCGTTCCCGTTTGTCTCATTTGATAAAGAGGGAATCGTTAATGTTTTCATTAAGACAGTATTGCCTTGATTTTCTAATTTTTGCAATGATAGACAATAAATTTCACTTTTCACCCACATTTATTTCCAACCTTTTCTTTTGAACCAGAAACAAAAATGATATACGTTTAAAACACATGACATCATCCACCCTTGTCAAATGTAATAGCATGATCATTTCAATTTCAATTACTTTGTTTCTTTGCTACATTAGCGAACACTGAACTACTGCTTGTACTCTAGATACGACAATCAACCACAAAATTCCCTAAACCAGATAACATTAAACATAATCCAAAAAATCATGTGTCAATTGACGAGTTTGTTCATAGAGCACTCTGATTAAAATTCAATTTTGTTCAGCGGGTTGCCATTCTATTCAACACCGATAAATGACATGGGTTGATTGCTTTGCACCTTGTTGGTTGACATAATAGCACATTTGAATTCTTCAAAGAATTGTAGGAGGACTCTAAATCGTCTTTGAACAAGTCATAGTGTAGGAAGTATATTCTGCAAAATGGAGGGCAATCACTCCGAGCACGAAAATTCCTGTTTCTATCTTGGTGATCCATCCTTCCATAAAGCTCATGAACGGTTTACAATCAACCTTGTTACAGCTATCATTAACATTGTGACAGTTCCAGTCGGTGTTATTGCAAATTTACTGATTGTCACCGCCATCTTTGGCTGTCCTCGTCTACGAACTCCTTCTAATCTGTTGATAGCTTCTCTGGCGCTTTCTGATTTGTTCGTATCCCTAACAGTCCAGCTCGGATATATCACATACAGGCTTTTGGAAAACCAGCTTCGTCTAGTTCCTTGTTTTGTGAGGATTATGTATCATCTGGCTTTTTTCAGTTGCTTTGGAGTGTCTTTTATGACTTTGGGTGCTGTCAGCTATGAGCGCTTCGTGGCTGTTCGACTGCAAGTCAGATACAATGATTTCTTCTCTTCGACACGAGTTGTGAAATATGTTCTGATCATATGGACCCTAAATATTTTGTTAACTGCTCTAAAATGGACTTCTATTGAATCCGCAGTCGAAAACATCCATCTCATGGTATGGTCAGTTTGCTTTCTCGTTTCTGTAGCTACGCAGATTGGCGTTCTGTACGTCGTGCGAATACAGCGTGAACAAGTCCAGCCGCAACTCCAAGGCGCTGAAAATCGCCAGAGACAACGAGAGGCCAAGCTCGCGAAAAACATATCTATCCTCGTCGGAGTGTACTTGATTTTGAACTTTCCTGTGTTGTTAACTTTAATATATGATCAATTATTGAGACTAAACTTACAAACTAACAACCACTACAGCTGGACGGAGACGCTTGCCTTTTTAAATTCTTGTACCAATTCATTAATATGCTATTGGAAAAATGTAGAGGTGCGTCAAAAAGTTAAAAATATCTTGAAGAAGCTGGTTTGTCAATAAATACCACGTTTACCGGAAGGTGCTAAGTTTTGTATCTGGCTTTTCAATTTATATTTATTTCTTGTGTTTTCTAATTAGCTAAAAAGTATTGTTACATCATCTGCCACTGCTAACTTTCAATTGAGAAGTGACCTTTCTATAGTTTTCTATAGTTCCTAAACCTAACATGTTTGGGTTTACCGAAAGTGTTGTCGTTATTGTCGTTTCTGTTGTTTGTTATTCTTGTTATTTTAATTAAGAATTTGTCAGGGACGAATCACTCACTTGGCGTGGGAAGTCATTTTTTAATGCTGCTGTATTTTACGCAGATCCAAAGTGCTCGAGAGTATGCCAGTAGACCAGAAATGGAAGTAACAAATCTTTTTTATCCCAAAGGACTTAAAACCCCAACCGGGAAATGAATAATACATGTAGAAAATGCTGTCTTCCAAAAAGAAAAATACTAATTAATTGATAAATCATGAAAAAAGTTCACAGAATCCATTTTTTGCCGGAACTTAGTATCCAATCCCTTGTTGCCGAACGTATTTTAGAAAGGATATTTATAGTAAGTTATACCGTGTCTTATACATCTTTAGACACGAAGGTATCAGTGTTCAGAGTAGCCTTACCTATGAATATACTATCAGAAGAGAGTTTGTTGGTCATGTGTTTTTAAAGCATAAGATCATATGGTAAGTCTTATCTAAACTTATCCCTGAACCTTAACAAGTGTTGACAACTTGAAAAGTTTGTTCTAGAAAATATGACTTATTAAAAATTCGTTACCCTTTGTGGCCGCTGTCAGGGAAAAAACACAAGAATACTTAGATTACTTACAAAATAATATAGCTTTCAAGCAAAGGCACCTTCCCCTCGTAATAAAATTATAGTGTTTTACTACTTAAGAGCAAAATCCGATTTATTTGTTATCATGAAAATAATAGGATAGCATACTTGTCTGAAACTAAATTTAGAGAAAAAAAAATCGCATTTCCAGAAATGTTACCTGACATGTTCCGTTTCTGTTGCAATGAGCAAATTTTGGGGTTTCTCGTGACTCAGTTACGAGATGATGTACGAACAGGCTTTTCATACATCATCTTTAATAATTGTCCTAGGTTTCGAAAACACGATATTCGACGCGCTACAAAACATATGCATGGTCAAAACTTACATGTTCTATTTTCTTAATATGTCCTCGCTCTTAAGACTAATTACTGTTTAAAAATATTATTTTTCCTGCACTTCATAAGTGTAAACCTAGTAATATTCTAGGTGCGGAAGAACATTTTTATTTTTTAACGATACAAGTCATTTTTCTCAAATTATTTAACGCTGAGTTAACTACTCCAGGCGCCAAAGACCACTCCGCTGTTAATAAATTAGAAAGATATTAAAGAAAAAACCTTTAAGTGGAAACTTCTAGTTTAATTGTTTGGGTGTTATATCCCATTCACTGGGGAATGGATTATTCATAGGCTAGGTCGGCATTTTTCGTTTATGCTTGATGTCTGCCTTCGTTGATTTCTCACGCAGGAGAAGCTTTCAAAAGAAGAAATTCTTGGTAAGGTTTTTTCGTATATGTAGCTCATCTGGAATAACGCTGACAAAAATGCACAAACTCAGAGTGCAAATTGCAATCATGCTGCGCGGATAAAAATTTGAGGGCTTGCTTTCAATCCTAATTAGTCTCCTGCTATTTTCTTTTTGATGATTAATTAAACGATGATTGAGTTACTAAGATTTTTTTAGTTCTTCGTCGCCTATAATCAATTGTTTTTTGCTACTCTTTCATCGTTTCATGCAATATATGTCTTTATCATATTAAGATACCAACCAGCCAGAGATATTTGATCCTCCAAGCATAAAAGCTGGTACGTCGAATCTTTCATTCCATATTTCGATATTTTTCATAGATATTTGACTATAACAGATTTACTAGTAAAAAAAAAAAAAAGGAAAAAATTAATAACAACAGCGATAAAAATACTGCCCGACAGCTCTTCTTATGTTTATTATAATTTTATTTATTCATTTTTTATTGGCAGAGTATCTTGAGGTGTTTCAGTACTGTGGCCAGGGTCGGGAGGGACGTATTTCAACAAAGCAACTAAGAGGAGCCATGCAGATGGTGGGACTGAACCCAACTGATTTTCAAATACAAACTCTTATCAATGAAGTGGAATACAAGGGTCAGTAAATTACCCTCTCAGCCATTCATGGTCTCCCTGTGATACCTTTGTACATACTTATCCAAATAGCTCAAGAGCGCCAATGCCGTTTTCCTTTTTCATTGGAGAGCATCACAACAGTCAATCAAATAAAAAGAAAACATTACAAGAAGCCAAAAAAACGAGGAAACTGCTTAAAGCGCGAAAAAACTTTGGTGGCTAAGTCCAGATTAGCCTTAGTTTTGAATCTGGATTGGTTTTGAGAATGGCGCTTGTTTCTTAGACCAATCGCGGGCATCTCTCTTACTGGAGTGACATAAGTCAGTAGGCCATGCTATTGCTTTGCCCTCTCGCGATATACTCATAAAAAAATTACTAATTTGGTTTGGATGGTGCTGTTGCTCTCGGGATAACGTAAAGTAAACAAAAATTGGGCATCCCAAGACCGACAATAGTGATAAACTGGCATCTTTATTACTGAAAGAGTGCGTCCTATTAATCAGCAACTGCATATGCTTTTTTTTTTTTTTTTTTTTTTTTTTTTTTTTTACCAGGTGACGGTTACATAACTTTTTCTGATTTCATTAAAACCATCGAAGAATATAACCCGACGATAAAGTAGACCTTATGATGGCATTCAAGGTGTTTGACTGTAATAACAAAGGCTACATTGAGACGAAAGAGTTGAGAAGAGCTTTCATGAGACTAAAAGGAATTACTAAACAAGAACTTGAGGAACTTCTGGCGACTGCAAATCTTGAAAAAGATAGGCACATATACTTTGAAGGTACGATGTGCCAGCTTAGCTTTTGATTGTTTTTGATTGTTGAAACGTAAAGTCAGATAAATACTCGTAACATGATATATATGATACTAGACGTCTAACAATCAAAAACAGCGACGACTTTAAAATCTTAAGTATACTTGTTTCAAAAACAGCGACGACTTTAAAAAAATTTTAAAAATTCATTGGAATGCTCTATGTCTCAGGAAGTTTTGATCATTCATTTTCAAACAATCATTTCTCTTTCCATCACGTCTTTAAAAGCCTTCCGAATTCTCCGAATATTCCGGTATTATTTTTACATTCATGGGAACACCCTCAACAATACTTTTGGAAGTCATTCAGACGTTTTAGAGCTTTGGAAATTTTGAGAGGGAAATCTAATTAAATGACTTTGAAAAGGCTTGAAGTTTTGAAGAATATCATCATACCTAAACGTCCTATCAACAACACGCGAGGTGTTTGAAAAATTACTTCTGGTAGTCTACATACAGAGTCTTAAAAAACATTGAAGGGATCGCCTTTATACTAAGGCATATGTGGACAAAATGATCTCTCATCTTGATCGTAAGTCATAATGAAGCATAAAAAATTATTAAACACAAAAATTTATCCTCTCCTTTCTAGTCCCCGAGAACTGCCCAATTCCATTATCCTTTCACCCGATTGCCTTTCTTTTCCTTTTCAGAATTTTCAAGGCTGTTAGTACCACTAATCAACAGAGACCTGGACACAATTTGCTTGTATTAATGCCCTTCTGTTAAAGGAAGTAATATAAGATTCTCGAATCACAGAACGGCTGGACCATCTGTGAATCGTTTTGTTTGGCAAAGATCAGTTTTTTTCATCTATACCGTACTCAAACTCAATCAAATGCCGCGGCGCCGGCAGTTTTGATATCTTTAGCGTTTCTGTCGATATCAAAAGAAGCAGTATCAAACATTGGAATCATTTTGAGTTTACGACAACATTCCCGACGCGTGCAACCCGCCAGTCGTCATCCATCTAAAAGAAACCAGAGCAAGCGAAGAATATCTAGAGAAGCAAACGTAACAAGAAGCATATCATTTATCGTTGCGGTTTACTTGATGTTTAATATACCAGTTTTGTTTGTGACAATTTATCATCAGATATTGGGTAGAGATATCAAGACTTATAACCACTACAGCTGGTCAGAAACTCTTGCTTTTTTCAACTCGTGCACAAATCCATTGGTGTGTTGTTGGAAAAGTCGCGAAATCCGTCAAGCGGTGAAAGCAGTAGTAGAAAGAATTTTCTGCAAATAGAATACTTTTAGATTGGAGCTCGAAAGAGATGTCAAGAGTTAAGACCACTACAGCTGGATGGCTCTTTCTATACTCAGCTTATGCTTGATGTATAGTTGGAATTACAAAATCCGTAAAACGCCATAGAATACTAACATGCAGAAGATGTTTGCATCATCCATTTGAGAGAAACTAAAACACAGATCTTCTCAAAACGTAGAGGACGCCAATCTGGGTGGCTACAGAAAACAAGAAAAATAGGTTGACTAAACCATCATATGGATTTTTTTCAACCACAGATACAATAGCAGCCCATTTAAGAGCTGTTAACAAAACATTCACGTTCCAAATGATTAGAACATATTTCACAACTCGCGTCGAAGAAAAGAGGGCGTTGTACCTAACTCGCAGTCGAACAGCTACGAAGCGCTCATAACTGACAGCGCTTAAAGTCATGAAAGATACTCCAAAGCAAATAAAAAAAGCCAAATTATACATTATCCTCACAAAACAAGGAACCAAACGACGCTGGCTTTCCATGAACCTGTATGCAATATATCCAGGCTTGACTGTTACAGCTACAATCACATCAGAAAGAGCTAAGGAAGCAACAAATAGATTAGAGGGAGTTGGGAGACGAGGACAACCAAAGATGGCGGTGACAATCAGTAAATTTGCAATAACGCCGACTGGAGCTGTAACACTGTTAATGATGGCTGTAAGAAGGTTGGCTGTAAACCGTTCTTGAGCTTTATGGAAAAATGGATTGGCAAGATCGAAACATAAATTTTCTTGCTTGGAGTTATTACCCTCCATCTCGCAGAGGCCGGTTCCTTGGTTATGACTTCTTCAATGAAGATCAGAGCTGTAATGGCCCTGATATAATTGAAACGTTTTAATGCATTAGTGCCCTGTTCCAAAGTAAATAACTTTAATGGCCATTGCATGGCAAATCCATTTAGTACACTTCCATTTTGAAGTATAGTTTCGTTGTAGCTGAGAAAAATAAGTTAAATCAAACAACAGTTATTGCTACTTAACAAAAAGGCGGATATCTATTTAAAAGGCTTTTAGGAATTCGCCAACCGGGACAGGCTTAATCATGTCGCAGCTGAAAAAGCTATAGCTAGTTTTATATCAGCAGCATTAAACAAAACTGCATTGCCAGTGTAAAGAAAACTATACAGTACTGACCAGCACAGCATTGCCAGTGTAAAAAAAGCTATGCAATATGTAAGGAAATTAAAATAGTACCTTAGAAACGTTTTTTTTGTATTTTTCTAAATAAAAACTTCAGTGCTATTTTAACTTTAAAACATACTGGATGATCTCAATTAGGAACATGTTCAATAAAGATCAAATTTGTAATGACACCGACTGAACCTGTAACAGTTTTAAAGATGACTGTAACAAGGTTGATTGTAAACTGTTCATGAGCTTTATGGAAGAATGGATCAGCAAGACAAAAACTGGAATTTTCTCGCTCGGAGTTATTACCCTCCATTTAGCAGATGCAATATACAAGGAAATGAAAGCATAGCCTTGGAAACGTTTTGCTTATACTGTCAGTGAATATTAAAGCCTTCTTCGGTTAATACATTTGGGTCCACTTTCCAGTTATTTAATTATCAAATAAAAAATGAAAAATGCCTTTAATTTCGACTTGTATGACACGCTAGAAATGTAAAGAGATGGTAGATTTGAATCATAGGGAGGTGAAAACGCAGCTGTCGAAAGTCGTTTGACAGTTTTTCAGTAAGAGAACTGGCATCTGGTAATTTATATTCGCGGGAATAACTGTATTCTAACCTAAGACGATTGAAAAAGTTTTCTTTGGGGAAATATCAACGGCCTCAAGCTAGAATGGTTGCAGTTGAGTCGGATGATCCCATATGATTATGCTTTTTTTCATATATAAATTTAATAACTGACCTTCTGGTTCCTTGGATTTCAAACTTGAATTCAAACAGTATACTAAGGGGGCTAACCAGGTTTCGGTTTACTTTGAGGCACACTGACATGGTTAGAGAACTGTTCAGAATAAATTTGCTTTTCTGGAATGACATCTCATGAAGTGAAGAAACCTTTGTAGAGTGTTACTTGCAGAGACGCAATGCAAAAACGCTAGGGTAACGTAAGAGAACGGAAAAAAGAGGAAAACCTTGTATTAGAGTTGAAACATTTAGGTTTCAGTGAATTTAAAGATCCTTCAGGCAGTTGACTCTTAGATAACTATCTATGTTTCATATGGGAACACTAGAACACAGAAGTCCGCCTAACAGTCTTAAAAAGCTCTTGTATTGGAAAGTATTGAATAATTCAACTCGTATTATTTCCATTGGTAAATATGTTCATATACACACAAGGACAAAATTGAAAAAGGCCTGCTGGATGCCTCGCTGGAAGAAGCTGTGTTTAGTGTTATGCGGAGTTTGCAGCCAATGATTGATACGAACTTTTCATGGAGGGAACAAAGCGAGAGTTTAAGATTACCAAAGATCGCTCACATGACAGAGGAAAAAGGGAAGCTAAAAACGATCCATACCATTAGAAGCTAAGATTATTAAAGCATACGTATTTGCCTGTACGTTTCCTTCTGTTTTCTCTTTTAAATGAAGACGTTTCTTATTTGCAAAATATTTTGTTCAGGACTTCTTTGAAAGCGTGACGGATTTCCTGACTTTTCCGACAACACACCATTGGATTCGTGCAAGAATTGACATCTCTTTCGAGCTCCAATCTCAAAGTATTCTATTTGCGGATAATTCTGTCTACTATTGCTTTCACCGCATGACGGATTTCGCGACTTTTCCAACAACACACCAATGGATTTGTGCACGAATTGAGAAAAGCAAGAGTTTCTGTCCAGCTGTAGTGGTTGTATGTCTTGATATCTCTCCCCAGTATCTGATTATAAAGCGTCACAAATAGGACAGGCAAGTTAAACATTAAGTAGACCCCAACGATGAAGGACACACTTTTTGTCAACCTCAGTTCTCTTTGCCTTTGACTCCGTTCAAGCAGGTTAGAATTGGCAGGTTGCATTCGGTTTCGATTTTGGCGCAAATTAAAAATGATTCCCATATTTGCCACTGCAGCGATAACGAGAGACGTGAACCAAGCCACCAAATGCATCCCTTTTGAAATCTTGTTAACACCGGCCCACTGCAGACTTGTGAAAATAATATTGAAAACCCAGATAAACGCCGTATACTTCATTATTCGCCTGGGGGAGAACACAGCATTGTACCTTGCCCGAAGACGAACTGCTACGAACCGCTGGTAACTGACAGTAGCTAGCGTCATAAGGGCCACTCCATAGCAAATGTAGAAAGCATTTGCATATATAATTCTGACAAAGCAGGGAACGGAACGATGCTGATTTTCCATGAGTCGGTACATGATGTAACCCGGCTGAACTGCAAGACCAACAAAGACATCCGAGAGGGCCAAACTTGCGATCAAAAGGTTCGATGGTGTTCGAAGCCGAATTATGATAGCAGCGCAAATTAAAAGGTTGCAAATGACAGCGAGAGAGGCTGTTACTATATTGATTATGGCTGTTATAAGGCTCATCGTGTAACGCTGAGATACGTGGTCAAAAGACGGATCGGGCAGGTGGAAAGAAGAAAACGGTGGACCTTCCATCGAAGAGTTGTTAGCCACGAGTTCCGCAAAATGTCCGTTAAGAATCGCTGATGTTATTGTATTCTGATAAAGCTAGATGCAAAGTAAATCCATTAGACAAAACTGTCGAATTTACATTTGGAACCTTTCTAAAATAGGTCACAGTATACAAGTGTAATTTTCTAGGCTAAAAAAGGTCATTTCGCTCATGGAATGTTCTCCCGCACTTTGTGATACCCGTCGCACTTCGTAATACCCATCAATTTGTAATAACACCTGTCTCACTGTTTTATACAAAAGCCGTCTCACCTTGTAATAAAATACTATCCCAAGTTTTAAGACCGGTAAGATAGGTAGTTACACTTTGTGATGACACTTGTCGTGCATTTTGTTATTAAAAGAGTAAAAAACACAAAACCTTTTAATAACGTAGCTTAAGCAATTTAGATATCTTGATTAGATCTAAGTGCTGGTTACGTAATCAAACATGGTAAATTTGCATTACGGGTAAGGAAAAGAAAGGGTCGCACTTCTGCTGTAACGATAGGATTTTTAGTCATAAAGTTTGTATGATAGCGCTAAAAAATATATAAAATTCAACGTAGAAACTGCGAGATTTTGCTAAGTTCAGCATGCGTAAACGACGCCGGTCTCAATACAGTTAGCCGCAAACAGTTGTTATTAGATCAAATCTGTAATTGATGTTAAACTGTAACCGTCACTGTCATGATCCTTTGTGTAGTTGTTATCCACCTGAGCTTTTTGAAAGTAATTAATCATGTAAAAAGGGGAAATTCCTATTTAACCAATCGTCGTATTAGATTACGTTTTCCTTAAGCTTTAGATTATTCATAGCATTGCCTAATCTTTTGTACCTCAGGCTTAGATGGAGCTTTCTTTGGGAGTATGGGGGGTCGGAAAATAGTGAAAAAGGAAACCAGTCAGCTTAGTGGTGCTTACACGATAAATCCACGTTGGAGCCAATTTTGTTGTAGTTAGTCATTGTCTCGAGGAAAGTCAACAGCCGTAATAGATCCCGATCTTCCTGCAGCCAGCCAGTGCCCCAGGAAACCCTTTCCCAAAAGAAGTTTATCGAGTTGTTCCCCGCCTGTCAGTTATTTGTGAAGGCAAAAAAACCTGTTTTCACACTGCTCCTAAATCGGTGAAACACCCCTTCGAATACCGATCTTTTAGGTTCTCTGTGCCCATCTTTGAGAAAAATGTTTAAAGCCCTGACATAGCGAGTTTTCTGTTACATTCAGCTCTTTCTTGAAAGCATGACTAAAGCAGTATATCCGATGATCTTACCACAACCTCTACATCCCTTTTTTTTGCAGTGACCACGTAAGGCAATTGAATGCTGAGTGTCGCTGTGCTTTAAAGGAGATGAAAGTGTGTGGGAGAATATTCCGTGGATATCATGTCATACAATAGGCATTCGGGAAGGTCACACATGTTTCTAGGCAAATGTTCGCTACAGACCTATTTGACACTACGAAATCATTTTCAAGACAATGAAGAAGTTTTGATCCTTTCGCTGGAGTTTTGTTTTCTATGAGTCTCCGTGTAATATCTGAAAATGCTTTCGCTGCAATGAATGCTCAGCAGGGATTACAGCCGCGGTAATCAAGCAACAGAAAGAGGCAGGAAAATAAAAAAAACACCTGCCTTAGGAGGACAGAACCTCCAACTACAGCATAAACCAAACCATAAGAATTCTTCGGGATATAGAACATCATTTTAATTTTTAAATTGGAAACGTTTAGTGATATCACCTCAAGTCATAACGGAAGTCCCACATCGCGTGGTGAAAGGTCTTGCCCAAGGATATATTCGCACTTCCTCCTTTTACAATCAAAGAAGGTAACTGTTGTGTATTCATTTGGAGGAGACACTCAATCCTTAATTGCTTTCTATATTTCTTTCACATCACTCAGTAATCCTTGATATTACCAGTATTGGTAAAAGTACTCTTTCTATGTTCTCAACACACTATAATTACTACCACAGTGCCTGACTTGGCTCTCGCAATAAAGTTTAGCAATAAAATTGAAACTAGTATCTCCCTTAGGAAGTAACGGGGAAGCACTCGACTATTTTGCCCATTGTTCGCTTCCCGCGTGCTCTACGACAAAACAGTGCACTACAGGGGCTTCTTTAATTTATAATTGTCTGTTTCAAGTTACGTAATGTCAAAAAACCGAGTGTGTGCATGGGATTAAATTGAGTTAGACTGGTGCCCAATAGAAACCCTGCACGTTATCATCGTGTGTAGAAAATTGTTTAAATTTACTATTCAAAATGCCAGGTGCCTGAACTGGAAGAACCACACTTTTAAATGATAAATTAGAACAACTTTTTTTTGTAACTTGATGAGTTTAAGTCGGGTGACAGCACGTCATTGCTTTTATGGTGCTAGTAGTAATATGAAAAGAAGTTTTGCCTGTTTCAAGTTACGTAATGTCAAAAAACTGAGCGTGTGCATGGGATTAAATTGAGTTAGATTGGATGTTTTCTACGAGACGGGCTCTAAAATATGCTTTGGGGATATGGACGGTAAACATTTTTTGACTGCTATGGAATGGGCTAATAAAGATAAGGCTATGAGAGGTATTCATCTAACTCTTTGGTATCTTTGCCTTCTTGCCTCAACTGCGACCCAAATTGGCGCTTTAATGGCAAACATACAACCACTACAGCTGGACAGAGATGCTGGCTTTTCTAAACTCCTGCTCAAATCCATTTATATGTTTCTGGAAAAATAAAGAGATTCTTCGAAGAGTTAAAGATCTCCTAAAAAAAATTGTTTCCTAAAACACATTCTGTAGGCAAATTTGTATAATATTTTGTTCTTTCTTTCATTTCGCCCAATGTTTGGTTAATATCTTGACTACTGATTTTAAGTGTCATAGTAATTTTCAAAACTGGCGGCAAACGTCAATTTCAAGTTTTACACCTGCTTTTTTCAGAACTTCTTCAATTAATGCAAGCTTTTTCATCAAAGCCTCAGGTTGTTAAATTGCGCCTCATGACAAGTACTAATTCAGGTGATGGATCTTTGAGAGTACACTATTTATAAAAAGGCCGTTTCCCTTTATAATAAAAAACTATCCCAAATTTTAAGACTGGTAAGGTAAGCAGTCGCACTTTGTAATGACACTTGTCATGCATTTTATTACTAAAAGAATAAAAAACACAAAACTCTCTCAATAACGTAGCTTAGGCAATCCAGATATACTCGATTAGATCTAAGCATTGGTTACGCACACATCGCATGGTGATAGGTCTTGCACAAGGATACATTCGCACTGTCTCCTTGGACCATTATTTTCAAAGAAGGTTATTGTTGAGTATTTATTTGAAGGAGATACTCACTCCTTAATTGCTTTCTATATATATTGTCTTTATTCATCGATCAGTTTTCTAATAAGCTGGTACATTGTTGCTCGATAAAAGTAATTTCAAATCACTAAGTAATCCTTGATATTATTAGCATTGGTATAAGTACCCTTATTATGTTCTCAATACACTAAGTTACCACTACAATGCCTAGCTTGACTCTCGCAATAAAGTTTGGCGATTAAATTGAATCTAGTATCTCCCTTAAGAAGTAGTGGGGAAGCATTTGACTATTTCGCCCACTATTCGCTTCCTACATTCTCTACGACAAAACAGAGCACTGCAGGGGCTTCTTTATTTTATAGTTGTATGTTTCAAGTAATATAATATATATTTACATAATATCAAAAACAGAGCGGGAGCATGGAGTATGATTCGATTGAGTTCGATTGGTGCCCAATAGGAACCCGGCACGTTATCATGATGTGTCGGAAAATGTTTAGATTTAAAATTCAAATGTCAGGGGCTTCAACAGAAAGAACCACATTTTACAAATGATAAATTAGAAAACCTTTTTTTTTAGAACGTGACGATTTTAAGTTGAGTGACAACACGTCTTTGCTTTTATGGTGCTAATAATAATGCATAAACACGTTCTTCCCTTAACCAGTGAGAAGCAATAAAAGTGATGCATCATGACACAGGGAAATAAAACAAAGTTTTCGGTTTACGGTCTGGCAGCAGTTAGTTGTCATGGATTTGAATATTTCCTCTCAGGATTCTTCTTGTTTTCATCTTCCTCATCCGTTATTCGATTTAGCCTCTGAGCGATTCATTACAAATTTAATAACAGCCATCATCAACATCGTTACCGCTCCATTCTCTTTTATTGCCAACATGCTGATCATCATCGCCATTTTTGACTGTCCCCGTCTACAAACTCCTTCCAATCTATTGCTTGCGACTTTAGCATTGTCAGATGCATTTGTCGGCCTAACAGTCCAACCAGGTTATATCACCTACCGGCTTATGGAAAATCAGCATCGTTCAGTTCCTTGTTTTGCAAGACATATCTACAGTTCTGCATTCTACGTATGTTTTGGTGTTTCTTTCATGACTCTAACCGCTGTGAGCTATGAGCGCTTTGTGGCTGTTCGTCTACGTGTCAGGTACAACGCGATGTTTTCTACGAGACGGGCTCTAAAATATGCTTTGGGGATATGGACGGTCAATATATTCTTGACTGCTCTGGAATGGGCTAAAATAGATAAAGCCATGAGAGGTATTCATCTAACTCTTTGGTATCTTTGCCTTCTCGTCTCAACTGTGACCCAAATTGGCGTTTTTGTGGCCATACGAAGACACAATCGACGAGTTAGTAACCAACTTCAAGTGGATGAAAAGCTACAGAGACAAAGAGAAGTGAAGCTGGCGAAAAAGATATTGACTGTGGTTGTAATTTACTTTATTTTGAACTTTCCCGTTCTATTTGTGACATTTTATCATCAGATATTAGGGCAAAACATTCAAACATACAACCACTACAGCTGGACAGAGACGCTGGCTTTTCTAAACTCCTGCTCAAATCCAATTATATGTTACTGGAAAAAGAGAGAGATTTTTCGAAGAGTCAAATATCTCCTGAAGAAATTAATTTGCTAAAACACATTTTTATTCTCATTTTTTGAACATTTTGTTTTTTGTTTTTGTTATTTTTTCATTTCGCCAAATGTTTTGTTAATATCTTGACTACTAGTATTTAAGTGTCATAGTAATATTCAAAACTGGCAGCTGAATATTGAACGTTTGACATCTGCTATTTCATAACTTCCTAAATTACTGCAAGGCTTTTCATTAAAGCCTCAGGTTGTTAATTTGCGCTTCATGACAAGTACTAATTCAAGTGATGGATCTTTGAGAGAGTACACAACGCCTTCCAAATAACTTCAATTCAATGAAAGCTCGAATTTTCTTTCTTTTACCGCCGCATTAGCATCGCAGATGATCAAACTTTACGGATGAGTTTCAAAAGGAATATTGACAACGTCAGATGGTTTAAACGGGAGGAACTTTCGGGTCGTAACTGTTTGCAAATAACAGCCGACTTTTTGCGTAATATCAATGATTAGTATTTTGAAAGGTAGAGGAGAAGATGGAAACGAGGAAAAATGTTTGACACCACCAACCACAAAAAAAAATTTATATATCGTAAGAAGTCTGTTTTTCGGTTTTGCCGTAGTACTCTATACATAGAACGAGAGCGCGATTTTTCTTTCGAGGCAGGAAAAACAAAGAGACTACACTTTCATCCCGACTAGCCTGTTTCGTGGTTAACTCACTCTTCCGGGTATTTTAATTGCAATAATATTCGTGACCATTGTTGATATACTACAACATTTGCATAATTGATGTGGCGATAAATTTAGATGTTCAACTGTTACGTGCGTAGCAACGCATTGTTTCTGTCACGGCGCGAGAACACAATTTCATTAGAGCTGTTTCCCTTCAAAAGAACGTATGTACATATATATTCCAGAATAAAAGAATTAAATGCAAAAGTTTCTGCATGTTTGGAAAAAGAAGTTAATAATTTTGATCTCACAATCACTCAATCTTGCGGGTAAAGGCCATCTAAAAAGCTCTTTAAGGGGAGAAACTTGGGATATTGAGCATAAAACAAACCCTATACAGCTACCAAGTCAATTTTACGCATATTGCGAAAATTTTCGAATCAGTCTAGAAGAGTCTTTATCACTGGACATTTTCAAGGAATATCTTAATAACCGAATATGACCGTTACAGCAAGATCAGGTCCCTCATGAAATATCACAAGGATTCTGTTTCGTGCAGATGACAAGAGAAAGTTTTTAATTCATTAAAATTTTGATTACGATATACTGGTCATGATGTCATATAATTATCGTTTCACGAAAGAGGAAGAAGCTTTAATTCAACAGAAAGTAGAAAAAGACCAATTTCGATTAAGTTACAGACCCTATAAATTAAGTCTATAAAGTAATAACTTTTAATTTTCTAACATGTTTTTACTTAAAAGAAAAGCGGTCTTTTTCGTTCACTTAAACATGACTATGAGATATAGACCTGATTACATTCACACTTTTTATTCACCCTTTAACAGGGAATTTTATTTCACGTCATTTTCCATGTTCAACATGAATATATTACGTTGACTGTCAATCACGTAGGAAAAATCAACCTACGCTCTTGGTCCCTAATATTTTGATCAAACTATTTTTTTTACTTTTTTACGAATTTGTCAATTTTTCCAAACACAAATGAATGGATTTGAGCACGAACTAAAAACGCCAATGTTTCTGCCCAGCTGTAAAAATTGAACCCCACTATCAGATGATAAAATGTCACAAGAAGAACAGGAAAGTTCAAAATCAAGTAAACTCCAGCGACGAGAGAGGTTTCCTTCGCTAATTTGACTTCTTTTTGTCTTTTTAGATTAATACTGAGAAGCCTGAAGTTGTGCCTGAAGTTGTCAGCGATATCGTCGCGCAGTGAATAGTATTCCAATCTGAGTTGCCGACCAAAAAAAGGGAGAAATCCACCATAGAATGAGGTGAGTATCTCTTACTTGATTTATTTTAGCCCATTGCAGAGCACTAAGTAAAATTTTGACCGTCCATATCCCGATGACGTATTCCAAGATACGCTTTCGAGAGAAAAATGTTGTGTATATGCTTGAGAATAGAACTGCCACAAATCGCTCAAAGCTGACTGCGGTTAGTGTCATACAAGACACTCCAAAAAAATGTAAAAAGCCACGCTATAGAGAACCATCGCATAGCATAGAACTCCTTGAGGTTGGTTTTCCAAGAGCCTGTAGCCGATATCCTGGTTGGGTTGTCAAGCCGACTAAAAAGTCTAAAAATCTATTAATAGATTGGAAGGAGATCGAAGACGACTGCAGTTAATGATTGCCACAATGATCAGTACACTCGCGATAATGGCAATTGGAGCAGCTAGGATATTGATGACAGCCGTTATGAGATTCGTCGTAAAACGCTCTGGAGCTGTTTGAAAAACTGGATACGGAAGATGAAAACAGTGCGAATTTCTCTCAGATGCGTTCAGATTCATTTAGTACAATATGTAAGCTGCAGATACCTCACAATCTTTCCTAAGATATCTCAATGGGTTTCAACGTCAACACACAATTTCTAGTTATCAGCCTAAAAGTTGATTTTTATTATTTATCTTGTTTAATAAAGCGGATTTGGCATGGCTGCCATCATATCCAGGCAGCGAATCAACAAAGCTTGATTGTAATTACTTTGTGCAAATAGTTACTTTGTGCGAGTAATTACTTTGTACAAGTAATTATTCCACAAAGTTAAAGATGATGAAAAAAAGAAATCTCGTAACTTATACACTGATGCAGGTTTTAGCTTCTGAAGAAAATGTTAAACAGCGTTATCCGTGAGCGGCAAATGAAGATTCTGACAGCAATGCTCGGCGAGTTATGAAGAGTTGACATTTTGCGCATTTGCCCTTCGCAAAGAGAAAGAGAAAAAAATGGAGAAAAGTTCTTATTTTCTAAATAAAGTATAACACTGCTTAACGGTTAGGTTTAAAACTTGATTTATTATCGACTAAGAGTTGGTAAAGAAGATGTGTGGCTTCTACAACGAAAAAAAAAGTTACGTCTACACTTTAACACCAATACGATTATATGCGTGGATTTATTTTTCTATTTCAGTTTTGTAGTGTTTCCGGCATAAGATCTTGCCTGCTTGTAATCATTTGGAAAGCTAATTTATGAATATGTTAATTAACTCTATTTTTAAAATATTCTGGTTATGCAGACGTAATGCAAAAAGGGCTTACGCAAACCGAAGAACAATTGATAGACATAAATGTCATTTTCTACTCTTGATACATGAGCGGGCGGTACCATACAAATCCTCCGATCTGATTGGTTTCAAGAGCGGGAAGTATTTTCCCATCAATGTTTCGGTGAAGCCTCTCTATTTAATTTGCCTTACCTCTGTTTTCTTCGTTAAGTTTAAAAATAAAGTAAAGATGTTATCCACCAGCTTAGGTTGATCCTTATCGGGAAGAACTGAGTCCTTTGTCTTGAGTACCGCATGGTATCCAAGACGTCGGGCACAGTTTTCCCGACACGGACTTCCCGCCTGGTGAATAACATATAATTGTTTTTCAGTAAAACTATCAAATTTCGCATCTTTTAATTATGTGTTAGAGCGATTAAAATTCTTGAAAGGTGAAATAAGAACATTCTTTTGCTCCAGAACAAATTTCCCAAATTCCGTCGGCCTTATTGAAATAGATAATAGAACAGCACTTAGATGCGTATCTCATTGTTGTATCTCAAAGTTCAGTTAGTTACTATTCCCCACAGAAAGCAACCATTTTTCCAGCATAGAGGAATAGATATAGCGTCTCTGACTTTGCGTTTTACTGGATAAGATTGCTCACAATAAAGAAAGGGAAATATTGTTGTGTAGAAACGTAGTATAATTACTTGGAAGTTTGTTTACAATAGGGGAGGGTAAGGCTATCTGGTCGTCAAGGTAAATCCAGTTTAATTTAAATAAATCACAAAGAGCTGTGTTTTTGATAAATTTGATCGATGGGCAGACCGCCTTTTCCGATGTGCCTTTTCTAAAAGTATTTCTTTTATTAAAGCGCGCGTAGAAACGTTTGAAGAATTCATAATGTGTCATTATGACTACAACAAGCTAAAATACGAGTAGCCAATGTCAAATTTTCAACACTGAATAGAATAGCAACCCACTGAACGAAATTAAATATTAACAACTGCATCATTCGGAAATAAATAAGGCCTTTAAATGCTAAGCACGCAATTACACACTCCTGTTTAGGTTTTAAAACATTAATAACAAATTGAAACGCCAAGAATGGAATGATGTATTTCCAATGTCTTAAAACTACAAGTACAGAATATTTTTCTATCTTAGGTAATAGGCTGATAGTAAAATTAATAGCTTATGAATCAGTCGAGTCCAAGCTCCTTTTACTGCTTCTAAAGAATCTATAAACACCACAAATCTTGCTGCTTCGTCGATATGCTCTGCCCTTTACAAGCTGAGAGCAGTCACGAGAGCGGTCATCGTACGCGTCGGTGTAAAGTGAGTCCAGAGAAAGTTATCAAGTAATAAAGATAACCTTTAACTGGAAAAATAAGGGCTTTTAAAATCATATTTAAATTGAAAAAATAAAGAGGATTAAAATCACACTTGTTCATCCACAATCGTGAAACTGTGATGTTGAGTGAAGTCCTATAGCGCATAGCTGCGTTCATTAGTCAATGGAGTAGGTTGGAAAGTGCGAAAAGGACTTGTGCCGTTTTCCGCACAATCCTCTCCTCAGACCAAGAGTCTGGACAAAACCGACAGAAAATAGTCGGTTGCAGCAACTCGAATCGACAACATGAGCAGAAGTCACCATCAGAACTCATCAAGTGAGGAGTTAATGGTCAATCCAATTTGGTGGCTAGATACCGTGCTTGCAAGCTATCAGAACTAGATTGTCTTACAGAAGTTAAAAAACACACAAACTACAGAGTCAATGTGTGCAAAAATGCATGCTTTTTTTTAGTGGGTGGGGGGATTGGGGTAAAAGTGACACTAGTTGTTTTATAAGTTTTCGTTTAAAATTTTTTGAGAAGAAATTGCCATAGGGCTGGCCAAAATTGATCCAATAGCGCATGCCCAGCCAACGTTTTACCACTACGTTGTTTCCCCCTCCTCACGCACGTCTACATAACCTACGCCCATCGTGGTGTGGGCTCAGATTTAGAGCTCCGCACCAAGCCACCATTGCGTGGTGGAAAAAGAATTTTCAGTGCACTTGTGTTTAGGATTAATAATGTCATAGAATCCAAAATTATCTTCGTGCTCCAGGGCACCTGTCCTTGGATCCCAAGAGCAACCGTTTTTTCCGCTCCAGTACGAATCAGTATGCATATGTTGGGTATCTCGCTGCACAAGCATCCCCGAACAATTAGTGCAACTTCTTCCTCGAACTGAGATGTACTCGTACCTCTGACAGCTGTCTTGATTGACAAATGTCAGGATGTCCGTGTCTTGGAGAGTAGCGCGTGCGTAGTCGGTGAAATTAAGGCCTGACGGGAAATTGCACGTCACTCGCCAGTGCGTCGAGTTGTGTCGGATGTTGACCATTGCTTGGTAGGATACTCGATAATCATTCCAGTTGAATCTTGTCTCGTTTCTCGGAAAGTTGTAATAAAAAGGCTTTTGGTTGTAAAAATCCTTATTTCCTAAAGAGAGTGACTCGATGAGAGTCCAGACTTTTCCGGGTTTCGAGTCAAAATCACAATAACTCTGAGCCGTATCATTAAGCTTATACACGCCTGACTTAGACTCTGGTTTCAGCTTTAAATAAGATAGGCATGAATTGACTCTTGGATGGAATATCTCACATCTCTTTCCCTGGTAATGCTGTGGACATGTGCAGTTGTATTGTTTCCTGATGTCATCGCAATTTTCTGCGCATGTGCCTCCATTAAGGCAAGGTTTCGATTGACAGCAGCCATTCAGGCATCTGCCATTTTCCTGAAAACAAACACGAACAGCAATAAAATTAAAATTAAAATTTCCCTGAATAGAATTAGGAGTCGTTGTTCTTTTTTTGTCTTTTAAAAAATGAGTATTGCAACGAAAAAAATTTTCAAAGAAACTCTTCATTTCATACAAGGCGAATATTTCGAAGCGACTCATCCCCGCCATGAATCATGATAAATGGACTTCCATTCAATTTCGACTTGATCATCTATATTTTCCAGCTTTGAAAAAGTCTTCGAAATTTTATTCAAAAACCACTCTACAAGAACACAAACTTACCCTCACGCCGTTTTGCTGTACATGATACAAAACAGTTCCCGGTCTTTTCACTCGCTTCCCGATGGCTCCATCAATGTCCGTGTCCAGAAGCTCACATATTTTTCCACTGAATTGAAACGCAATGCAGTCGCAATGTTTAGCGCAGTGACGAAAACGCTCCCAGGGGTCCCGCACGCTTTCAGTCTGAATTGTATGATTTTATATGCTGAAGTTCTCCATGAATATGTTGTTGATGTAGATCAGCGGTGTTTTCATTTGGTTGCTCGCCGTAGTAATTGGAGGGATTAGCAGAAAAACTGTCTCAAAATTGAGCTATAGAAACGTGAAATATAAATCCATCTTACTCTAAAAGAAATTTAAATGAAAAGGTTGTCGTTCTTTCGAATAAATTTAGAATGAAAAACTCCTTGACAGCCTGCTTTTAATGAAACTGGAAGCAAATAAACAATGAATAGCATCTATTAGTGAAAAATAAATAATCGGGTATTTGTTCACGGACATTGTCTTTTTCGAGAAGGGAGAATTTTTTAGCACGAAGCAAAAATAAAAACTACGGAGCCCTTGAGTACGAATTTCCACCTCAAATGAAAGCAAATTCTTTGTGTATTGGAGGTTATATGTTTCATCTAACACGTAAAAAGGTCGTTTAAAAAAGCTTACTGAAAAAAACCACATATACTTGTTGAGAAAATATAGAGGCATGTTAGCAAGCCTTTGTTAAAGTTTACCTTTTAAGTGCGATTTCTTTCTAGAATTTCTGTATCTTCCGAGAATAATTAATACACACATACAACAAAAATATTCAAGATTGGGCGATTTTCGGAAATCACGAGTATCTCTCAGGCTAAAGGAAGAAATTGATCATTAGCGCTTAGTGAAAAACTTTTGTTAAAAATTATGGAACAAAAGACGCAAATAATGAAGCCATTACTGATCACGGAGACCACTTCAGGTCAAAAATCTTCCTTGAAGGTTTTTTCTTATTATCTTAATTTCTGAACTTTCCCTGGTGTCTTTGTTTAAAATATGTTTTCTATTAAAGCTCTGAAATCATTTCTAAGAGGTTTGTGATCGATAGGCACAACGGAATTTTCCAACTCTACGGGCTTTGAATCAACTTTTCCTAAATGCAAAGATAGGAAAGCAGTTTTCGGTTGCTGTAGTAATCCTGGCACTCAGAGCACGAGCGACCGATCTTAGACTTAACCCTCCGTTTTTTAATACCTCAAAACACTTTTATAAGGATTTAAAAGGAAGCCTTTAATTCACATTAAAGCTGCTTTTACACGTACGGAGCAATGTTGCCTGGGCAATTATACAAGTTAGAAAATTGTCAACCACATTTCATGATATGGTAGTTTACAGACAAGGAAGAACTTGTCATGGGAAAACAAATTGGGAACTAATGTCAAGAAAGCTTTCCAATGTAACAGTATTTTTTAACACTTTAACCAAGAAAAGTAAGACGTGCAAAATATGTATTTCTCATTTAGCGTTATACTTTAACTGGTGCTAGAAAGTAACTTTATTTCATTTCTCTCCAGTATAGATCGAGGAAAGACAATATCTTGTTTCTCTTCGATTTTTAAATAGACATTATCAATTTCAGTCCATCAAGCCTTTACGAAAAAGTAACAGTAAAGCAAGAAAACAGTAACTTACCCTTCAATTCCTGGTTATTTTGCCACATCGAAGCAAAGCATGCAGCTGTATGTTTAGAAAGTGCTGAACCGTGCAGATCTGCTGCCCTTTGACATCTCCTAAAGTGTATGTCTTTTCTCTGCGATTTGCTGAAAATCTGGACTTCTCGTAGAGCCTCTGGAATGCGTTCCATTTCTCGTGGAAGAAGACAAGCCAGTGCATGCGAGTCATACGTGTTGTCGTCTTCACTTTGAATAAAGTGTTCCACGTGGAGCTTTGATCTTGAAATTATGATACCTGGAAAATAAACGCCAATAAACACATGAGTGGGATAAAATAAAATCAAGTCGTCACAATCTATATTAAGACGAATACGCATGATCGAATTCAATGCAAGAGAATCATTTAAGGTATTTTGCGCGCTATTGATCGATTCGCGGGAGAATCTAGGTCTCAGAACACTACAAATTCGGTCCTACAGCTTTTAGTCAGCAATAATATGTCCTTTACAATTACCCTTTGATTTGAACACCCTGTATAGAAAGTTTGTTTAGGTAATCACTGCAAAGTGTGAAAGCACGAGCGGTGTTTCTAAACGAGTTTCACAATTACAGACAAGTCCCTTGTGGTTTTAGACGAAAATTTCACTCTCATCAGTTCGTGTAGTTAAACTCCAACCTTTGTTTCCGGAATGCTGTAATAGAGACACTTCGGCAAGGCTTTCCACCAATGTGATTTCTTTATTTTCATCTTCATGCCGCTCTTATCGCACATTTCCCGGATACGATACCTGAAGATGTGAGAGCTCAGTGAACGAATACCTCTTTGTTTTATGTTTGCCCGAAGGAGAACTTACTCGCTGGATAATCACATTTATGTGTTAGATCTGTGGTTTCCTGATGTCAAGATCGACATTGATTCGAAATTTCATCCAGAGCTCCAATTTAAAAGATTCTCTGTTTGTAGCACTGACCCAGGTCCGTGGCAGATTTGTGCCACAAAGACGACAAAGTGTCTCGAGATACTGAATGTATTCATCTATGCTGTTGGCTTGATCTGAAATTCACAATGTAGGCTTATAAAGGTCCGATAAATAATTGTCCTTTTACTTTAAATTGGCCGGCCACAACGTATGGTTAAAATTTATGGTTTACACGATACTCCGATGGATCTGAACAAAGGAATCCGTCTGGTAGTTTGCACACTAACAGACTTTCAACATTCGTGCACTCGAGCATAAACCTCGTGCACTCGATTGGAATTTTGACAAATTGGAAGCAAATTTATTCTAGTTTTTTAAAAGATTTTTTTTAGAAATCAAAAAAATGTTGCATACCTGAAAACCTCAACTAAATAGAGGTTATTCCTCGATCGAGCCCTTCGCAACATGGACCTCCACCCGACATTTCATCTGAATTTTTCCTTCTCGTCATCGCGACCACCATTAGTTCTTTGCTTGTTGTGTGTAATTGCTTGTCTTCTGTAATTTTGCAAGGTTTCATGGGATATGGGTCGGGAACTAAGTCGCTAGGGCTCGAATAAAGTAATGAGTGAGTTTCCTCGATGTCCCACTACGACATCCATGTTTGTGACGTCATCAAGTATCCAGAAATGGTTATGGCCCGGACTGTTGAAGGCGTGCGTGAAAACGAAAGCGCGCGCGAGAACAGCACGCATGTTTTTTTATTGTGCACGTTCGTAAAAAGTTAAGCTGTCTTTAACAGTACAGTAGCAATAGAAAAAATGCATTTTTAATAATTTTTTCTATGGCTACAATTTACAAATAAAAGGATTGTGCGCTCTGATATAAAATACAGATACTCGTCATAATTATTTGTAATAATCTTTGGGTAAATTTTAGTCTTTACAATAACATTAAATGCATCTCCAATCGCTTTTTGTTAAATTTGCAACAATTTCAAACCGGAATTCTACAAGTTTGAAGACCTTAACGAATTTTTTTTGCTGAATTGAGGCGCGAAACCTTGAACGAATTTTATAATTAAAACTTACCCGTATCATTTGGCTTTCAAAAAATGCAAGGAAACATCCTTCTTTCGCACAGAATTAGCGTCAAGATCCGTCCAAGGAGAGGTTACTTCCCCAGATCGCAGCTAAGGCAACGAAACTCACTTTAAAAAAACAACAAAAGTGAGTTGGTTGTTCTTCTCCATGTCGATAGTGACAAACAAAACCGCTTTCTCTAAAAAACTCTTTTACCATCAAACTTCTTGTAAAATATGCATTATTTCTGTCCCCAAACTGACATTCGATATCTTTTATCTCCTTGAGGCAGGTGTATTTGAAATGGAGAATAATTTGTGGATAATAATTTCAAGTGAAAGGAAATGGAATTTAAAACATGATGAAAGAATTTTTCTTTTTTCAGCAATGATGCTTCCATCAGCCTCAGTATGCTGTGAGTTAGTAGGAGAAAGCTCTATAATCATGCTAGAAAACAAATTGAAAACAAATATTTGGCTTCAGTTGTCATGTAACCTTTAACTTTGCCAAAGGAATATATTTTTTTTAAATTAAATCGAGATTCATGTTTACAATTTAGCCTGTTTCATCGGAACAACTGCCATATACTGCTAATTCAGGGCGTAAGAACAAACTTGTATCACGACAGAGGAGTATCACGTGTCCTACGGAGATTTTGGAAGATAAACTTTTATTACGATAGGGAGTTAATACAGGCGTTCAATAAGAATTTTAAGAAAATTTTGACTGTACTCATATTCAGATACAAATCCTGGTGATTTCTGTACTATGAAAGATCCCTCATCGACTTAACAAGCGCAAGAAGGATTTCTTGTTTTTTTGTTTTTGTTTTGTTTTTTTTTGAGGATATAGCCCTAAGTTCATTTTAAGCGATTTTTTAACTTGTCGTAGGCTAATAAATGATAAAGTAAACAAAGCCCTCGTTGTGCGGGGCTCATTTATATGACATTTGTGCAAATGAATTCAAATTTAGACGCACGCAAGAGTTCAGGGAAATTTAATTTTTTTTATTTTGACTCGTGCATTATAGATGAAAGAATTCTTCTTAGGAAGCTTTAATGAAATTTTTTCAATACAATTGCTTGTTGTAATAACTGCGAACTAGAGAGTCACGAGAGAAGTACTTTTCGTAAACGGCTGCATGTATGTCGGCCTCATGCCACTCAAAATAACGAAAATGTCTTAATTGAGAAGGCTCATCATTCTTCCAATAGCTCGTAATTTTGTTGTCTCCGCCGCTTTCATATGACGCTAGTAAGTTAATCGAAGAAAAAGTGAGACGGGCATAATGTTTGACCACAAACCTAGAAGGAATTTCCCGATACAATGAACATATTCTTTGCGGCAAAGACTAGAACTGCTTCTAGATCGAGAACTTTTTTTTACTTTTCTTTCTTATCTTCAAGAGAAGGAAATTTGCAAATAAACAATAATTAGGGTTAGTAGTTAATAAAGAGGATTTCAATTTTCAATATTCGCGTGGGTTTTACCAAACGACACAAGCCACTTTCATGCTACACGAGGGTGCGAGAGTCAAATGAATTTGCACTTGACTGTTTCATAGGTCACTCATTTTACTACTTTCTTATGATATCATAGCCTAAGATAGAAAAACTCTATAGTTGTAAATTTGGAATATTCTAAATACATTATTCAGTTCCACGTATTTAACAACTGGTTCATGCTTAGCGTGCGTATACTGATTGAGATGCTCGGGTTATTAAGCCAGTAAACCTATAAAAAGTGCAGTCTGTTGCTTTTATGAAATAAATTTTCATTTTTTGTTGGTTTACTTGCGCATTAATTTTTGCAATATCTCGGCTACTATGTAAAGAGATACACCGTGGTGGCTTTATAAGAATCAAGTACAGTGTAACACTTCCTCCCAAGTCACGTTTTAATTCAATGTTTTCCGTGACGAGAACTTTTTATTTAATGCTTAAAAACTTAAACACGATTACACAATCGCGTGCTTGGCAATTGAAGGCATTATACAATTTCCGATGAGGCCATTTTTTAAAATTCAAATTTGTTCAGCGGGTTGCCATTCTATTCAACACCGATAAATGACATGGATTGATTGCTTTTCACCTTGTTGGTTGACACAATAGCACATTTGAATTCTTCAAAGATTTGTAGGAGGACTCTAAATCGTCATTGAACAAGTCATAGTGTAGGAAGTATATTCTGCAAAATGGAGGGCAATCACTCCGAGCACGAAAATTCTTGTTTCTATCATGGTGATCCATCCTTCCATAAAGCTCATGAACAGTTTACAATCAACCTTATTACAGCCATCATTAACATTGTGACAGTTCCAGTCGGTGTTATTGCAAATATACTGATTGTCACCGCCATCTTTGGCTGTCCTCGTCTACGAACTCCCTCTAATCCGCTGATAGCTTCTCTGGCGCTTTCTGATTTGTTCGTATCCCTAACAGTCCAGCCCGGATATATCACATACAGGCTTTTGGAAAACCAGCTTCGTCTAGTTCCTTGTTTTGTGAGGATTATGTATCATCTGGCTTTTTTCAGTTGCTTTGGAGTGTCTTTTATGACTTTGGGTGCTGTCAGCTATGAGCGCTTCGTGGCTGTTCGACTGCAAGTCAGATACAATGATTTCTTCTCTTCGACACGAGTTGTGAAATATGTTCTGATCATATGGACCCTAAATATTTTGTTAACTGCTTTAAAATGGACTTCTATTGAATCCGCAGTCGAAAACATCCATCTCATGGTATGGTCAGTTTGCTTTCTCGTTTCTGTAGCTACGCAGATTGGCGTTCTGTACGTCGTGCGAATACAGCGTGAACAAGTCCAGCCGCAACTCCAAGGCGCTGAAAATCGCCAGAGACAACGAGAGGCCAAGCTCGCGAAAAACATATCTATCCTCGTCGGAGTGTACTTGATTTTGAACTTTCCTGTGTTGTTCACTTTAATATGTGATCAATTATTGAGACTAAACTTACAAACTAACAACCACTACAGCTGGACGGAGACGCTTGCCTTTTTAAATTCTTGTACCAATTCATTAATATGCTATTGGAAAAATGTAGAGGTGCGTCAAAAAGTTAAAAATATCTTGAAGAAGCTGGTTTGTCAATAAATACCACGTTTACCGGAAGGTGCTAAGAGTTTGTATCTGGCTTTTCAATTCATATTTATTTCTTGTGTTTTCTAATTAGCTAAAAAGTATTGTTACATCATCTGCCACTGCTAACTTTCAATTGAGAAGTAACCTTTCTATAGTTTTCTATAGTTCCTAAACCTAACATGTTTGGGTTTACCGAGAGTGTTGTCGTTGTTGTCGTTTCTGTTGTTTGTTATTTTTGTTATTTTAATTAAGAATTTGTCAGGGACGAATCACTCACTTGGCGTGGGAAGTCATTTTTTAATGCTGCTGTATTTTACGCAGATCCAAAGTGCTCGTGAGGTATACCAGTAGACCAGAAATGGAACTAACAAATCTCTTTATCCCAAAGGACTTAAAACCCCAACCGGGAAATGAATAATACATGTAGAAAATGCTGTCTTCCAAAAGAAAAATACTAATTAATTGATAAATCATGAGAAAAAAGTTCACAGAATCCATTTTTGCCGGAACTTAGTATCCAATCCCTTGTTGTCGCAGGTATTTTAGAAAGGATATTATTGTAAGTTATACCGTGTCTTATACATCTTTAGACACAAAGGTATCAGTGTTCAGAGTAGCCTTACCTATGAATATACTATCAGAAGAGAGTTTGTTGGTCATGTGTTTTTAAAGAATAAGATCATATGGTAATATCTTACTTATCTTAATATCTTATCTTAACTTATCCCTGAACCTTAACAAGTGTTGACAACTTGAAAAGTTTGTTCTAGAAAATATGACTTATTAAAAATTCGTTATCCTTTGTGGCCGCTGTCAGGGAAAAAACACAAGAGTACTTAGATTACTTACAAAATAATATAGCTTTCAAGCAAACGCACCTTTCCCCTCGTAATAAAATTATAGTGTTTTACTACTAAAGAGTAAAATCCGATTTATTTGTTATCATGACAATAATAGGATAGCATACTTGTCTGAAACTAAATTTAGAGAAAAAAAAATCGCATTTCCAGAAATGTTACCTGACATGTTCCGTTTCTGTTGCAATGAGCAAATTTTGGGGTTTCTCGTGACTCAGTTACGAGATGATGTACGAACAGGCTTTTCATACATCATCTTTAATAATTGTCCTAGGTTTCGAAAACACGATATTCGACGCGCTACAAAACATATGCATGGTCAAAACTTACATGTTTTATTTTCTTAGTATGTCCTCGCTCTTAAGACTAATTACTATTTAAAAATGTTAGTTTTCCTGCACCTCATAAGTGTAAACCTAGTAATATTCTAGGTGCGGAAGAACATTTTTATTTTTTAACGATACAAGTCATTTTTCTCAAATTATTTAAAGCTGAGTTAACTACTCCAGGCGCCAAAGACCACTCCACTGTTAACAATTCGAAAGATATTAAAGAAAAAACGTTTCAGTGAAAACTTCTAGTTTAATTGTTTGGGTGTTATATCCCATTCAGTGGGGAATGGATTATTCATGGGCTAGGTCGGCATTTTTCGTTAATGCTTGATGTCTGCCTTCGTTGATTTTTCACGCAGGAGAAGCTTTCAAAAGAAGAAATTCTTGGTAAGGTTTTTTTTGTATATGTAGCTCATCTGGAATAACGCCAACAAAAATGCACAAACTCAGAGTGCAAATTGCAATCATGCTGCGCGGATAAAAATTTGAGGGCTTGCTTTCAATCCCAATTAGTCTCCTGCTATTTTCTTTTTCATGATTAATTAAACGATGATTGAGTTACTAAGTTTTTTTTAGTTCTTCGTCGCCAATAATCAATTGTTTTTTGCTACTCTTTCATCGTTTCGTGCAATATATGTCTTTATCATATTAAGATACCAACCAGCCAGAGATATTTGATCCTCCAAGCATAAAAGCTAGTACGTCGAATCTTTCATTCCATATTTCGGTATTTTTCATAGATATTTGACTATAACAGATTTACTAGTAAATAAAAAAAAGGAAAAAATTAATAACAACAGCGATAAAAATATTGCCCGACAGCTCTTCTTATGTTTATTATAATTTTATTTATTCATTTTTGATTGGCAGAGTATCTTGAGGCGTTTCAGTACTGTGGCCAGGGTCGGGAGGGACGTATTTCAACAAAGCAACTAAGACGAGCAATGCAGATGGTGGGACTGAACCCAACTGATTTTCAAATACAAACTCTTATCAATGAAGTGGAATACGAGGGTCAGTAAATTACCCTCTCAGCCATTCATGGTCTCCCTGTGATACCTTTGTACATATTTATCCAAATAGCTCAAGAGTGCCAATGCCGTTTTCCTTTTTCTTTGGAGAGCATCACAACAGTCAATTAAATAAAAAGAAAACATTACAAGAAGCCAAAAAAACGAGGAAACTGCTTAAAGCGCGAAAAAACTTTGGTGGCTAAGTCCAGATTAGCCTTAGTTTTGAATCTGGATTGGTTTTGAGAATGGCGCTTGTTTCTTGGACCAATCGCGGGCATCTCTCTTACTGGAGTGACATAAGTCAGTAGGCCATGTTATTACTTTGTCCTCTTGCGATGTACTCATAAAAAAATTACTAATTTGGTTTGGATGGTGCTGTTGCTCTCGGGATAACGTAAAGTAAACAAAAATTGGGCATCCCAAGACCGACTATAGTGATAAACTGGCATCTATATTACTGAAAGAGCGCGTCCTATTAATCAGCAACTGCATATGCTTTTTTTTTTTTTAACCAAGTGACGGTTACATAACTTTTTCTGATTTCATTCAAACCATGGAAGAATATAAGAAACCCGACGATAAAGTAGACCTTATGATGGCATTCAAGGTGTTTGACTGTAATAACAAAGGCTACATTGAGACGAGAGAGTTGAGAAGAGCTTTCATGAGACTAAAAGGAATTACTAAACAAGAACTTGAGGAACTTATGGCGACTGCAAATCTAGAAAAAGATAGGCACATATACTTTTAAGGTACGACGTGCCGGCCTAGCGTCTGATTGTTGAAACGTAAAGTCAGATAAATACTCGTAACATGATATATATATGATACTAGACGTCTAATAATCAAAAACAGCGACGACTTTAAAATCTTAAGTATACTTGTTTCCTAAAACTTTAAAAATTCATTGGAATGCTCTGTCTCAGGAAGTTTTGATCATTCATTTTCAAACAATCATTTCTCTTTCCATTACGTCTTTAAAAGCCTTCCGAATTCTCCGAATATTCCGGTATTATTTTGACATTTACGGGAACACCCTCAACAATACTTTTGGAAGTCATTCAGACGTTTAAGAGCTTTGGAAATTTTGAGAGAGAAATCTAATTAAATGACTTTGAAAAGATTTGAAGTTTTGAAGAATATCATCATACCTAAACGTCCTATCAACAACACGCGAGGTGTTTGAAAAATTACTTCTGGTAGTCCACATACAGAGTCTTAAAAAACATTGAAGGGATCGCCTTTATACTAAGGCATATGTGGACAAAATGATCTCTCATCTTGATCGTAAGTCATAATGAAGCATAAAAAAATTATTAAACACAAAAATTTACCCTCTCTCTTCTTTTGCAGTCCCCGAGAACTGCCCAATTCCATTATCCTTTCACCCGACTGTCTTTCTTTTCCTTTTCAGAATTTTCAAGGCTGTTAGTACCACTAATCAACAGAGACCTGGACATAATTTGCTTGTAATAATGCCCTTCTGTTAAAGGAAGTAATATAAGATTCTCGAATCACAGAACGGCTGGACCATCTTTGAATCGTTTTGTTTTGCAAAGATCAGTTTTTTCGACTATACCGTACTTATACTCAATCAAATACCGCGGCGCCGGCAGTTTTGGAATCTTTAGCGTTTCCGTCGATATCAAAAGAATTACTGGTCATCGCTCATAATGCTTATAATGATATTTGGTGAGCCTGTACAAGCAGACTATGAGCTGAAAATTTATATAGTTTGTTATTTGATTAGGATGAAGCCCAAATAGATTATCATGCAATGAAATCGAGAGCGAATAATGTAATTGCTGTCGTGAAAATGTATTGGATGTTCATGATTTAAAAGCAAGACAAGATTGAAAATTTCATCAAGTATCATAAAATGTGCAGAGAAAGGCGCGTGTCGTGATTGGTCAAAACGAGTTCATTATATTTCCATAAAGCACGCGCCCTACGTAGCACGAGTGCACTGTTAAGATATGATGCACGCAGCCTAGTGCTAAATGCTGTGGTAGTAGAGCTAAGTATACATAAGTTAAAGAATTAAAGGGGACGCATCGATTCTTTGTGACTCTGAGTTTCGCACCTAAGCGCTCGTCAGATAAAACACGTGGAAAACAGACATAGTTTGATGCTACTCTGGTTTGCAGATTTAATGAATGTAACCGAAGAAGTTACAATTCATAGACCCAACGTTTCGACACTCCTGTCTAGTGCCTTCATCAGGGGTGATCTAAACGCTGCAACAAGAGGTCCTATTATATGATCACTAATTAGGGGCCTTTTCTCTGACGAGGTGTAAATAGGCGTCAGGAAGCAAACCGCCATCGTCACGATTTAAAGGAGCGTGGGCGGCGTTAATATGCCAAGCCTCCAAACAAAGGCGCAGGTGGTAACGCCGACTGGTGGTGATAATTTTAGAATCATCCCACCCAATTGTATGGTTAGTTAGGCATGTATGCTCCAATAAAGCTGAATTTTCCTTTTTGCAAAGGAAAACCGCTTTTTGGTGTTCTTTTAACCGTGTACCAAACTGACGTTTGGTCTGTCCGATGTATTCGTTGTCACAGTTATTGCAAGGAATAGAATAAATGACGTCCGTTCGTTGTTCTTTCGTGACATCCCGTGTGAACTTTAATATATTACACGTAAAAAATATCTTATTTTTTCACGTGTGTTGATATAACCAATCAGCTGCTGCTGACACGTCACTCGCCTTTGGCGCCACCCGGTCAGGTTGATGAATGACAAAGCCCTCACGATTCTCAATACAAGTTGTTTCTTAAATAACACTAAAACACTAAAAGATCCGTATCGCTGACAGACAGTGAGGCTCAAACTTTCCTAGAAGGGGAAGAAAACCAATATACTAAAAGAAAAACCGAAAGTTACGTATTCAGTGGCTTTGGTGTTAGCATTTCTCTCGGCTGAGAATTAGGACAACTGGAGGATTTACCACTGGCCGGTTTTGGCTGTTTACCTGAACGACTTCTTCTTTCAGTAAGGACAAAGCCAATAAAAGATAATTTTGTAAATTGAAAATTACGACCGTTGTTGATATTGTAGTCATGATTCAACATATTTTTCCATCTCAAGAGTTAGCGCCAACGCACTCTACGATTGTTATTCGGGGATTGTCGATTCATTTATTTTCAGTCATTAATGAAGCCGGCTTTTTTTCTCAGTAAAGGGCTATTGTGTTTATATGAGAAACAAACTAATACATGGTTGCATGTAGATATGGAATTTCTCTTCGCGTGTTAAACTCGACATGTCACTCGTTCGCTGCGCTCCATATCAACGCGCGCCCATGTATTATTCTCTATATATTTCATGTAATGTGAAAATGTACATGAAATATACATACCTTTTGATTTTTGTATATGTATATATATATATATATAAAATTATGTGTTTTTTTTTTTAGTCAATCGCGCTCAAGCGAGAATGCCTGAAATTAAAAGAAAAAAATTTATAGTGGTATATTTTAAATCTCCTTCTTCCATCAATATGAGCCTATGAGAAACTATAAAAAAAACAATGAAAATTTGTAGACTTTATAGATTTCCCTCATTTTAGTTCAGAAGCAATTGAAGAGTAAAATTATTGTAGACCTTAATTCAGAAAAAAAATATTCAAAGATTTAAAAAAAATAATTAATTTTTTAGCCATGTGAAGTTTCAGCTGCCTCGAGACTTTAAACAAAGTAAACTTTAAAAAAGAGATTGATAAGTGCAGATGAACAGTATGAATCTCGCTTTCTATTATGTACAAATACTTCTGTCCTTATTATATTTTGCATCCAAATATAAAACTATTTTTCTTTTGGTTTGAACACATCAAGCTGTTATTTTTTAAATTAAAAGCTACCTCAACCTGTGTGACGACGCTTCCTTCAGGGAAAATTAAAAGAAAACCATGCTTTTTCATTTCGAAGCCTTAATAAGCCCTGAGAAGCGTTTTAGAACCCTTTCCACCCAATCGAAAGTCTTAAAAAATTTATTTAAAAAAATTTGTTATCAACGAGAGTATTGTTTGAATACAATATGTTTTCATGTCCACTACGATCGAAATTAATGAGCTAGAAGCGAGTTTTATTAGATTTCATTGGAAAAGCAAACAACTTCTGAGTATTTGGTTGTTCACCTTATCGTGCTTCTCATTGCAAGGAGTTTGATTTACACACAATCACGTCAAAAAACTTTATCTGGTCTTGTTGTCTAAATATTATTTCTTTCAATCAAATTTTGTAACATATGGGATTCAAAGCTTTAGAGGACAAAGTGTCATATCGTTAGATGTAGCTGTGGAAAGCATCTAAGAAGTCATGGCTGAGAACAGTTTATCTTGTTACCAATTGCAACTTCCCGATCCTACTTTTCACAAAGTAGCTGAGCGCTATACAATGAACCTTGTAACAGCTATAATCAATATGGTAACAGCCCCTCTCGCTTTATTAGCAACCTTGTAATTTTCGCTGCAATCGTTTCTCGACTTAGAGCACCATCAAAAATTTTGATCGCTAGTTTGGCCCTCTCGGATGTCTTTGTTGGGCTTGCAGTTCAGCCGGGTTACATTATGTACCTACTCATGGAAAATCAGCATCGTTCCGTTCCCTGCTTTGTCAGAATTGTATATGCAAATGCTTTTTACATTTGTTGTGGTGTGGCTTTCATGACACTAGCTGTTGTTAGTTATGAGCGATTGATTGCAGTTCGACTTCAGGTGAGGTACAATGCTGTGTTCTCCTCAAGTCGTATTCTGAGGTATATGGCATTTATCTGGATACTCAACATTCTTTTTATAAGTTTGCAGTGGGTTGTGGTAAAGCAGGTTTCAAGAGGTATACATTTGATAGCTTGGTTCATTTGTCTTCTCGTAGCTGCAGTATCAAACATTGGAATCATTTTGAGTTTACGACAACATTCCCGACGCGTGCAACCCGCCAGTCGTCATCCATCTCAAAGAAACCAGAGCAAGCAAAGAATATTTAGATAAGTAAACGTAACAAGAAGCATATCATTTATCGTTGCAGTTTACTTGATGTTTAATATACCAGTTTTGTTTGTGACAATTTATCATCAGATATTGGGTAGAGATATCAAGACTTATAACCACTACAGTTGGTCAGAAACTCTTGCTTTTTTCAACTCGTGCACAAATCCATTAGTGTGTTGTTGGAAAAGTCGCGAAATCCGTCAGGCGGTGAAAGCAGTAGTAGAAAGAATTTTCTGCAAATAGAATACTTTTAGATTGGAGCTCGAAAGAGATGTCAAGAGTTAGGACCACTACAGCTGGATGTGTAGTTGGAATTACAAAATTCATAAAGCGCCAAAGAATACTAACACGCAGAAGATGTTTGCAAACAAAATTTATATCCTTAAGCATCTCGAATCCCGTCCATTTGAGAGAAACTAAAATACAGTTTGAAACGGATTAAGTTTAGTCAGTGGTCTTCGTAGAAATTTATGTCATTACTGCGTAGATATTATTTTTGCGCAAGAAGATACTTGATAACCGTCTGTTTCCTAAAAAATATTAGTACTGATACGTCCTTTGAGGCTTTTCTAAATGCGTATAAACGATGCAAATAATCCATTACACTCTACCTTTTGTGATATGGCGCTTTAGACTACAACCCGGCAAGAAAAAGCAAAAAAATAGGTACACAGGAAACTTTTTCCAAATTAGCCGACATGACAAAGCCCATAATAGTACAATGTAGTTGTAGCGAAAACCGTTGCTTCCTTGCAGCTTTCAATTGTCGAGCTAGATAAAGAATTTAGACAGACCTGTAAATACCTAGTTCCTCAGTGATTTTATCAGAACTATATGCCTGTGTGAGTGAAAGAGCCCGTAGAACACATAACTGACAGAACTTTGTCTCGGAATTTAAAGAGATATCTGCAAAAAGGTATAAAGTCCGGCTTCCTTCGCGAGAGGGACTCCTGTGTGGCTCTAATAATCTATCTTAAAAAACATTTAATAATAATGATAATAATTTATCTCTAACGTATTACATCATTAAATTCTCTATGCTCGGAAAAAAAAAACCATTAGTGATTTAAGATAAGTAAAACCTTTACAATAGTAAACGTTGGTGCACAATATGAAGAAGCGCGACAACCATGGCTCTTTGTCCTGAGCATCGGCCTGTATAGTCGCAGGTTGAGTGGAGACGCCTGTTCCGTTGATGTAAAAGTAGCAACTTGATTGGAAGTTAGCGAGATGTGGAATTAAAAGCTGTCAGCAGAATTCTCCACTTGCTTTGAAGTACTCAAGAATTGGCCCAGCTTTTCTCTTTCCAACATAGCGACATGTAGTGTAATGTTGTCATTTTTTTGCGGTGTTGATTTGAAAATTACTTTTTCATCTCCTTTATTGTCATCTACCTTACAGTGGTTAATTTTAGGGCGCTTCATTAGAATGATCGACTCTGATTGGTCCCCAATAGCCTTTCCCTTTCCTGGAGCCTCATACAAGACCAAACTTTCTGTTTTGACCCTTTCCCTTCAAGTTACTTCCCACCGCGAGTGTCCTTCGGGGAAAAATTCGTACGCGCGCTAGTTTCACTAAAATTCCAGCAAACTAGATATCAGAAGAAAGCTTAATAACTGCAGTTTACGATAAAAGTATAATTTAAGCGACTTGTTTTAAAGGGAGTATCGAGAACCGGTAAGGCGGGAAACGACCGAAGGTTCTTCTATTTAATTTATCAGGTATCAGACGCCGCAGCACGAGCAAAATGGCTGAACAGTCTTACCACATTATGACGTAAACAGTGATATGCTACTGAGCAGATACCAGGAAACATGAAATCAAATAGTTAAATAGAAATATTATGATAAAAAGAATGTTGTTGAGTTCTTTTTTTTTTGTTCGTTCGTTTTATTTTTTGTTTAAGGTTCAAGGTTGTCAAGGTTTTACTCATGCATCCTTGGCATCAGCTGGTGGGACAAAGTGCCCAACGCTTAAGTTCTTGCCCGTGCCGGCCTCCCCACGATGCACACGCTGCTCAAGCGACGCAGAATGCACTAGCTTGGCCATGGGCGTCGTATGGAAGACGGTCGGATCCTCAAGGACATCTTCTATGGTCAACTTGCTTCGGGTATAAGACCCTAAGGTCGCCCCCAGCTGAGATATAAAGATGTCTGCAAGCGCAACATGAAAGCTCTGGACATCAATATAGAGATCTGGGAGGACACTGCAGCACTGCTTGCTGAAGAAATTCGACATCGACCGAAGGAGGCCTACTACTATTCCACAACTACTCATGCTGAATGACCAGGTTATTCAATGTTAGCTCTCGCAAAAAGTTTTTAAATTTCGCCTAACATGTACAGTTTAAGAATAATTAGAGGTGAGTGGTCGTTGACTTCTCAGTAGAAGTTAACATTTGCAGAAGTTGTTGCAAAAGTGGTTGGTTTACGAGAAGAAACAGAGAATAAACAGAACTTTGATAATGACAAGACAAGTACAAACGCTTAGTACTTTCCACTAAGCGTGGTTTTATTTGCTTTTAAGCCTGGCAAGTGCTAACATTAGTTTTCGACGAAGAGTTTTAATCGTTTTACAGTCAATTATTGACTGTATTGTATTGAATAATTCACCTCGTATTATTTCCATTGGTAAATATGTTCATATACACATAAGGACAAAATTGAAAAAGGCCTGCTGGATGTCTCTCTGGAGGAAGCTGTGTTTAGTGTTATGCGGAGTTTGCAGCCAATGATCGGTACGAACTTTTCATGGAGGGAACAAAGCGAGAGTTTAAGATTACCAAAGATCGCTCACATGACAGAGGAAAAAGGGAAGCTAAAAACGATCCATACCATTAGAAGCTAAGATTATTAAAGCATACGTATTTGCCTGTACGTTTCCTTCTGTTTTCTCTTTTAAATGAAGACGTTTCTTATTTGCAAAATATTTTGTTCAGGACTTCTTTGAAAGCGTGACGGATTTCCTGACTTTTCCGACAACACACCATTGGATTCGTGCAAGAATTGACATCTCTTTCGAGCTCCAATCTCAAAGTATTCTATTTGCGGATAATTCTGTCTACTATTGCTTTCACCGCATGACGGATTTCGCGACTTTTCCAACAACACACCAATGGATTCGTGCACGAATTGAGAAAAGCAAGAGTTTCTGTCCAGCTGTAGTGGTTGTATGTCTTGATATCTCTCCCCAGTATCTGATTATAAAGCGTCACAAATAGGACAGGCAAGTTAAACATTAAGTAGACCCCAACGATGAAGGACACACTTTTTGTCAACCTCAGTTCTCTTTGCCTTTGACTCCGTTCAGGCAGGTTAGAATTGGCAGGTTGCATTCGGTTTCGATTTTGGCGCAAATTAAAAATGATTCCCATATTTGCCACTGCAGCGATAACGAGAGACGTGAACCAAGCCACCAAATGCATCCCTTTTGAAATCTTTTTTACACCGGCCCACTGCAGACTTGTGAAAATAATATTGAAAACCCAGATAAACGCCGTATACTTCATTATTCGCCTGGGGGAGAACACAGCATTGTACCTTGCCCGAAGACGAACTGCTACGAACCGCTGGTAACTGACAGTAGCTAGCGTCATAAGGGCCACTCCATAGCAAATGTAGAAAGCATTTGCATATACAACTCTGACAAAGCAGGGAACGGAACGATGCTGATTTTCCATGAGTCGGTACATGATGTAACCCGGCTGAACTGCAAGACCAACAAAGACATCCGAGAGGGCCAAACTTGCGATCAAAAGGTTCGATGGTGTTCGAAGCCGAATTATGATAGCAGCGCAAATTAAAAGGTTGCAAATGACAGCGAGAGGGGCTGTTACTATATTGATTATGGCTGTTATAAGGTTCATCGTGTAACGCTCAGATACGTGGTCAAAAGATGGATCGGGCAGGTGGAAACAAGAAAGCGGTGGACCTTCCATCGAAGAGTTGTTGGCCACGAGTTCCGCAAAATGTCCGTTAAGAATCGCCGATGTTATTGTATTCTGATAAAGCTAGATGCAAAGTAAATCCATTAGACAAAACTGTCGAATTTACATTTGGAACCTTTCTAAAATAGGTCACAGCATATAGCGTAATTTTCTGGGCTAAAAAAGGTAATTTCGCTCATGGAATATTCTCCCGCACTTTGTGATACCCGTCGCACTATGTAATACCCATCAATCTGTAATAACAATTGTCGCACTGTTTTATTCAAAAGCCGCCTCACTTTGTAATAAAAGACTATCCCAAGTTTTAAGACCGGTTACGTAATCAAACGTGGTAAACTTACATTACGGGTAACGAAAAGAAAGGGCCGAACTTCTGCTGTAACGATAAGATTTTTAGCTGTCAAGTTTGTATGCTAGCGCTAAAAAGTATATAAAATTCAAGGTAGAAACTGCGAGATTTTGCTAAGTTCAGCATGCGCAAATGATACCGGTCTCAATACAGTCAGTCGTAAACAGTTATTATTAGATCATATCGGTAATTAGTGTTAAACTGTAACCGTCACCTGTCATGATCTTTCTGTGGTTGTTATCCATCTGAGCTTTTTGAAAGTAATTAATCTTGTGAAAGGGGAAATTCCTACTTAACCAATCGTTGTATTAGATTACGTGGTCCTCTAGATAATTCATAGCGTTGCCTAATCTCCTGTACCTTAGGCTTGAATAGAGCTTTCTTTGGCAGTATCGGGGGTCGAAAAATAGTGAAAAAGGAAACCAGTCAGCTTAGGGGTGCTTACGGAATAAATCCACGTTGGAGCCAAACTTTTGTGTGGGTGAATATTCCATGGACATCATGTTATACAATAGGCATTCGGGCAGGTCACACATGTTCCTAGGCAAATGTTGGCTACAGACCTATTTGACACAACAAAATCATTTTCAAGACAGTGAAGAAGTTTTGATCCTCCCGCTGGAGTTTTGTTGTCTATGAGTTTCCATGAAATATCTGAAAATGCTTTCGCTGCAATGAATGCTCAGCAGGGACATATGGCCGCAGTAATCAAGCGACAGAAAGAGGCAGGAAAATAAAAAAAAAACAAAAAAACAAAACACCTGCCTTTGGAGGACAGAACCTCCAACTACAGCATAAACCAAATCATGAGAATTCTTCGGGATACAGAATATATCATTTTAGTTTTTAAATTGGAAACGTTTAGTGATATCACCTTAAGTCATAAGGCAAGTCCCACATCGCGTAATGATAGGTCTTGCCCAAGGATATATTCGCACTTCCTCCTTTTACCATCAAAGAAGGTAACTGTTGTGTATTCATTTGGAGGAGACACTCACTCCTTAATTGCTTTCTATATATATATTGTCTTTATTCATCGATCAGCTTTCTAATAAGCTGGTACAATTATGTCATTTGATTAAAGTACTTCAGATCAATCAGTAATCCTTGATATTACCAGTATTGGTACAAGTACTCTTTCTATGTTCTCAGTACACTATAATTACTACCAGAATGCCTGACTTGACTCTCGCAATAAAGTTCAGCCATAAAATTGATACTAGTATCTCCCTTTGTAAGTAGCGGGGAAGAGTTTCACTATTTTGCCCATTGTTCGCTTCCCGCGTGCTCTACAACAAAACAGTGCACTACAGGGGCTTTTTTAATTTATAATTGTCTGTTTCAAGTTACGTAATGTCAAAAAACCGAGCGTGTGCATGGGGTATGATTAATTTGAGTTAGATTGGTGCCCATCACGTGTAGAAAACTGTTTAAATTCAAAATTCAATGCCAGGGGTTTGAACAGAAAGAACCACACTTTTTAAATGATAAATTAGAACAACCTTTTTTTTTGGTAATTTGAAGAGTTTAAGTCGGGTGACAGCACGTCATTGCTTTTATGATGCTAATATGGTGCTAATAGTAATGTGGAAAGACATTTTGCCTTTAACCAGTGGGAATCAATAAAAGTGATGCATCAGGACACAGGGAAATAAAACAAAGTGTTCGGTTTACAGTCTGGCAGCAGTTAGTGGTCATGGATTTGAATACTTCCTCTGAGAATTCTTCTTGTTTTCATCTTCCTCGTCCGTTATTGGATGGAACCTATGAGCGATTCATTACAAATTTAATAACAGCCATCATCAACATCATTACCACTCCATTCGCTTTTATTGTCAACATACTGATCTTTCTCGCCATTTTTGACTTTCACCGTCTACAAACTCCTTCCAATCTATTATTTGCGACTTTCGCATAGTCAGATGCATTTGTCGGCCTGACAGTCCAACCAGGTTATATCACCTATCGGCTTATGGAAAATCAGCATCGTTCAGTTCCTTGTTTTGTAAGACTTATCCACAGTTCTGCATTCTACGTATGTTTTGGTATTTCTTCCATGACTCTAACCGCTGTGAGCTAAGAGCGCTTTGTGGCTGTTCGTCTAATTGTAAGGTACAATGCGATGTTTTCAACGAGACGGGTTCTAAAATTTGCTTTGGGGATATGGAAGGTAAATATATTCTTGACTGCTCGGGAACGGGCTAAAATAGATAAAGCTCAGTAAGAGGTATTCTTCTAACTCTTTGGTTTCTTTGCCTTCTTATCTCAACTGCGACCCAAATTAGCATTTTTATGGCTGTGCGAACACACCATCGAAGAGTCCAAGACCAACTTCAAGGGGATGAAAAGCCACAGAGACAAAGAAAAGTGAACTAGCGAAAAAGATATTGACTGGGGTTGTAATTTACTTTATTTTGTACTTTCCCATCTTTCTCGTGACATTTTATCATCAGATATTAGGGCTAAACATACAACCACTACAGCAGTACAGAGACGCTGGCTTTCATAAACTCCTGCTCAAATCCCTTTATATGTTGCTGGAAAAAGAGAAAGATTCTTCAAAGATTTAATGATCTCCCAGAGAAAATTGTTTCCTAAAACACATTTTGTAAGCTAATTTGTATAATATTTTGTTATTTCTTTCATTTCTCCCAATGTTTTGTTGACATCTTGACTATTGATTTTAAGTCTCGTGGTAATTTTCAAAACTCGGCGGCAAACGTCAATTTCACGTTTTACACCTGCTTTTTTCAGAATTTCTTCAATTAATGCAAGCTTTTTCATCAAAGCCTCAGGTTGTTAAATTGCGCTTCATGACAAGCACTAATTCGAGCGATGGATCTTTCTGAGAGTACACAACGCCTTCGAAATAACTAGTAAAAGCTGGAATTTTCTTTCTTTTACCGCCGCATTAGCATCGCAGATGATCAAACTTGAAGATGAGTTTCAAACAAGATATTCACAAAGTCAGATGATTGAAACGGGAGGAACTTTTGGGTCGTAACGGTTTGCAAACAACAGCTGACTGTATTTTAATATAAATGATTAATATTTTGAAAGGTAGAGGAAAAAAAAAAACGAGAAAACATGTTTGACACCACCAAAAAAAAAAAAAAAATATATATATATATATATATCGTAGGAAGTCTGTTTCGATTTTGCCGTAGTACAGTGCTCGATACATAGAAGAAGAGCGCGATTTGTATTGAGGTAGGGAAAATTAAGAGGCTACACTTTCATTCCGACAAGCCTGTTACGTGATTAAATCACTCTTCAGGGGATTTTAATGGCAAGAGTATTCGTAAACATCGCTAATACACTATAAAATTTGCATAATTGATGTGGCGATAAATTTAGATGTTCAGTTGCTACGTAACAACGCTTTGTTTCTGTGGCAGCATGAAGACAATTTCGTCACGAAATATCTTTCCTTAAAAGAACGTATATCTATCTATATATATATATATATATATATATATATATACATTTCGCTGATGGAATATGTTCCTGCTCTTAGTGATACCTGTCGCACTTTGTAATAAAAGACTATCCCAAGTTTTAAGACCGCTAGGATAGATAGTCGCACTTGTAATGACACTTGTCGTGCTTTTTGTTATTTAAAGGATAAAAAATAGCAAACCGTTTTAATAACGTAGCTTAAGCAATCCAGCTATCTTGATTAGATCTAAGTGCTGGTTACGTAATCAAACATGGTACACTTGCATTGCCGGTAACGAAAAGGAAGGGCTGCACTTCTAAATCGGTGAAACACCCCTTTGAAGACGGATATTTCAGATTCTCTGCGCCCAGCTTTGAGAAAAATGCTTAAAGCTCTGACACAGTGAGTTTTCTGTTATATTCAGCTCTTTCTTGAAAGCGGGACTGAAGGAGCATATCTGACGATCTTACCACAACTTCCACATCGCTTTATTTTGCAATGACGCCTCAGAGCAAAGGAATGCTGAGGGTCGCTGTGCTTTTAAGGAGATGAAAGTGTGTGGGTGAATATTCAATGAATATCATGTCATACAATAAGTTCCTCGGCAAATGTTCGCTACAGACCTATTTGACACAAATAAATCATTTTCAAGACAGTGAAGAAGTTTTGATCCTCTCACTGGAGTTTTGTTTCCTATGAGTCTCCATGTAATATATAAAAATGCTTTTGCTGCAATGATGCGGTAATCAAGCGACAGAAAGAGGCAGTAAAATTAAAAAAACACCTCCCTTAGGAGGACAGAACCTCCAACTAGAGCGTAAACCAAATCATGAGAATTCTTCGAGATAAAGAACATACAATTTTAATTTTTAAATTGGGAACGTTTTAGTGATACCACCTCAAGTCATAACAAAAGTCAAACATCGCGAGGTGATAGGTCAGACCATTGACCATTATTTTCAAAGAAGGTTACTTTTGCGTATTCATTTAGAGGAGATACTCACTCCTTAATTGCTTTCTATGCATATTGTCTTTATTCATCGATCAGTTTTCTAATAAGCTGGTACAATTATGTTATTTGATAAAAGTACTTTCACATCTCTCAGTAATCCTTGATATTACTAGTATTGGTACAAGTACTCTTTCTACGTTCTCAATACACTACAGTTACTACAATAATGCCTAACTTGACTCTCGCAATAAAGTTTAGCAATTAAATGGAATCTAGTATCTCCCTTAAGAAGTAGTGGGGAAACTTATGACTACTTCGCCCACTATTCGCTTCCTACGTGCTCTACAACAAAACAGAGTCCGGGGCTTCTTTATTTTATAATTGTATGTTTAAAGTTACGTGATGTCAAAAAACCGAGCGCGTGCATGGGATATGATTAAATTTAGTTAAATTGGTGTCCAATAGGAACCCTGCACGTTATCGTCGTGTGATTAGAACTTGACGATTTTAAGTCGGGTGACAGCACGTCATAGCTTGTGCGGTGCTAATAATAATGCGTAAACACGTTTCCTATTATTCAGTGGGAATCAACAAACGTGATGCATCTTGACACAAGAGAAGCAAACAAAATTGTCGGTTTACAGTCCGGCAGCAGTAAGTGGTAATGGATTTGAATATTTCCTCTGAGGATTCTTTTTGTTTTCATCTCCCTCATCCGTTATTCGATGAAGCCTCTGAGCGATATATCACAAACTTAATAACAGCCATCATCAACATCATTAGCGCTCCATTCGCTTTCATTTCCAACATGCTGATCTTTGTCGCCATTTTTGGCTTTCACCGTCTACAAACTCCTTCCAATCTATTACTTGCGACTTTAGCATTGTCAGATGCATTTGTCGGGCTGACGGTCCAACCAGGTTATATTACCTACCGGCTTATGGAAAATCAGCACCGTTCAGTTCCTTGTTTTGCAAGACATATCTACAGTTCTGCATTCTACGTATGTTTTGGTGTTTCTTTCATGACTCTAACTGCTGTGAGCTATGAGCGCTTTGTGGCTGTTCGCCTACGTGTAAGGTACAACGCGATGTTCTCAACGAAACGAGTTCTAAAATATGCTTTGGGGATATGGACGGTAAATATATTCTTGACTGCTATGGAATGGGCTAAAATAGATAAAGCTATGAGAGGTATTCATCTAACTCTTTGGTTTCTTTGTCTCCTTTTCTCAACTGCGACCCAAATTGTCGTTTTCTATAGCTATACGAAGACACCATCGACGAGTCAAAAACCAACTTCAAGTGGATAAAAAGCTACAGACACGAAGAGAAGTGAAATTAGCGAAAAAGATATTAACTGTGGTTGTAATATACTTTATTTTGTACTTTCCCGTTCTATTTGTGACATTTTATCATCAGATATTAGGGCAAAACATACAAACATACAACCACTACAGCTGGACAGAGACGCTGGCTTTTCTAAACTCCTGCTCAAATCCATTTATATGTTGCTGGAAAAAGAGAGAGATTTTTCGAAGAGTTAAATATCTCCTGAAGAAATTAATTCGCTAAAGCACATTTTTTATGCTCATTTGTATAATATTTTCTTTTTTGTTTTTTGGTTTTTTTTTTTTTTCATTTCGCCCAATGTTTTGTTGATATCTTGAGTACTAATAATTTAGTGTCATAGTAATATTCAAACCTGGCAGCAAACTTCAATTGAACGTTTGACACCTGCTATTTTCTTAACTTCCTAAATTACTGCACGTCTTTTCATTAAAGCTTCAGGTTGTTCAATTGCGCTTCATGAAAAGTACTGATTCAGGCAATGGATCTTTGAGAGAGTACACAACGCCTTCGAAATAACTTCAATTCAATGAAAGCTCGAATTTTCTTTCTTTTACCGCCGCATTAGCATCGCGGATGATCAAACTTTAGGGATGAGTTTCAAAAGGAATATTCACAAAGTCAGATGGTTGAAACGGAAGGAACTTTCGGGTCGTGACTTTTTGCAAATAATAGCTGACTGTTTGCGTAATATCAACGATTAGTATTTTGAAAGGAAAAGGAAAAGATGGAAATGAGGAGACATGTTTGACACCACCAACCAAAAAAACAAATTTATATATATCGTAGGAAGTCTGTGTTTCGATTTTTCCGTAGTGCAGTGCTCGATACATAGAAGGAAAGCGCGATTTGTATTAAGGCAGGAAAAACAAAGAGACTTCACTTTCATCCCGACTAGCCTGTTTCGTGATTACCTCACTCTTCCGGGTATTTTAATGGCAAGAATATTCATAACCATTGTTGACACACTATAAATTTTGCATAATTGTGTAGCGATTAATTTAGATGTTCAACTGTTACGTAGCAACGCATTGTTTCTGTGACGGCGTGAAAACACAAGTTCATTAAAAATGTTTTCCCTTCAAAGAACATATGTACATATATGTACATATATATTCTAGAATAAAAGAATCAAATGCAAAAGTCTTTGGATGTTTGGAAAAAAAAAGTTACTAATTTTGATCTAACAGTCACTCAATCTTGCGGGTAAAGCCCATTTAAAAAATCTCTTTAAGAGGAGAAACTTGGGATATTGAGCATAAACAAGCTCTACACAGTTAGCAAGGTATAAGGTATATGGAGAAAAAACATGGCGATGATATTGCATCCACGAAAGTCAAGAAGCATTCTTTTTCGTGCAAGGATTCTGTTTCGTGCAGGTGACAAGAGAAAGTTGTTAATTCATTAAAATTTTGATTACGATATACTGGTCATGATGTCATATAATTATCGTTTCACGAAAAAGGAAGACGCTTCAATTCAACAGAAAGTAGAAAAAGACCAATTTCGATTAAGTTACAGACCCTATAAATTAAAAAACTATAAAGTAATAACTTTCAATTAGTTAATTAGAAGTTCAAAATCAAGTAAAATCCAGCGACGAGAGAGATTTCCTTCGCTAATTTCGCTTCTCTTTGTCTTTTTAGATTAATACTAAGAAGCCTTAAGTTATGCTTAAAACTGAAAAGGAAAACCTCAAACAGCCGTCTTGAGGGCATGTTTCAACAATTAATGCATACGTGGTAAGGCTTCCACTGGGATTAAAGATAAATAAAACTGAGCCCGGCAGATGTGATATAGCGATTTGGGATGGCTGCCATCATATCCAGGCAGCGAATCAACAAAGCTTGATGGTAATTACTTTGTACAAGTAGTTACTTTGGGCAAGTAATTACTTTGTGCAAGTAATTACTTTGTGCCAGTGGTTACTTTGTGCAAGTAATTATTGCACAAAGTTAAAGATGATGAAAAAAAGAAATCTCGTAACTTATACACTGATGCAGATTTTAGCTTCTGAAGAAAATGTTAAACAGCGTTATCCGTGTGTGGCAAATGGAGATTCTGACAACAATGCTCGGCGAGTTATGAAGAGTTGACATTTTGCGCATTTGCCCTTCGCAACGACAAAGAGAAAAAAATGGAGAAAAGTTCTTATTTTCTAATTAAAATATAACGCTACTTAACGGGTAGGTTTAAAACTTGATTTATTATCGACTAAGAGTTGGCAAAGAAAAAAAAAGTTACGTCTACACTTTAACATCAACACGATTATCTGCGTGGATTTATTTTTCTATTTAAGTTTTATAGTGTTCCCGGCATTAGATCTTGTATCGGCCGCTGATCTATAGCTGACGTGTTGCACAAAAGTGGTGTTTGGATGAATAAGACGGTGTAATCTATGCTTTAATGTCACTCGAAACCTTCTGTCTCTAAATGCATAAAGAAGAGGATTTAAAAAGGAGTTGATGCTAAAACAAACAGTTGTTAATGAACCCACCAAAATTTCTCTGGTCGTTAAAGAAACTTTGTTGAAAGTTTGAGTCATCAACCATAATACTCCTATAAACACAGGAACAAGGAAAAACATCAAATTGCTTGTGACCAAGATTGAAATCTTTTTGGCCAGTTTTCCATCTCGCTTTATACCCATTTGATTTCCTGAGTTCCTCACATGGACAAAAATATGGAGATACATGGGAATAGTGATTATGTACAACAAAACTCCAATTGCGACGACACTGGCGCTGTATGCAAACGAATGAGGGATTCCCTTCGCAGGCTGGATCGGAAGGCAGAAGGTAGTCGTAGTGTATGTTCCCACACCGAGGAATGGAAGGGATGCCATAAATACAGCTATTGCCCACGAGGCAGCCATGCAATAGAGGCATACCTTTGCTGTGACAGAGATACTTGGTCTCATGGAGAAGATAATCGCTATGTATCGTTCAGTAGTCAACAGCAATGAAGAAAGAGCTGCTGCAAATTGCCCGACAACCCACACAAAACCAATAGCTGGACACAAAGAGCTCATCACGCCAACGAAGGCTTGATAAGTCATAGCGTGACGTGATGACGTGATAGCAAGGGTGTACACTCCTAGGAAAAAGTCACTCAAGGCCAAATTTGCAACTAATAACATACAAGGTAGTTTTCTGAGTGTTTTTGTGGTAGACATTGTAAAAAACACTGTCAAGTTGAAGATTATTATTAATGGAGTTAACAGGTATTCAATATATAGAGCTTCATTAGCACTGTCCCAGCATCGATGCATTGGGATGACTGTCACTTCAGAGGTGAAGCATTTTTCATCGAAAGCAATTACAAATCCATACTTAGCAAATAAGCGAGATATGGATTCGACAAGGTAGCGTGAACCTCGACAGCGTGACTTTGGGTAAATGTCATACACCCCTTTCTTGAAAAGCGTCACGTTTGAGTGAGTTTGGTTCTTTATAAGTGTCTTGTTGTTGCAAGCACTGCTCCAAGTAACACCAGAGATGCGCTGAAGGCTTGACGCTTTGAGAACGTGTGAAGGAGGAACAAAGGTATTCTCGGTCACCAATGAAATTGCTTCGAGAGAAGGTAGTTCGCGGGAAATATTCCCATTCCAGGTTTTCAAGTTTTTGAATTTGAGTTCCCTTTGAGAAAAGCAAACTGGTAATTAATCGCGAGTTTGCATTACAGTTCAAACGGCATTCAATGTACATATTGATCGTTAATACATATACCACATCTTTGAGATGTGCTTTTTGCGCATGGGTTAATTCGGAGGTGATTAGCAAGCAAACTTCTTCGAGCAGCCGAAGAGACGAATCACGCGTCAAGGGTTTAATTTGCGATCATTTTTCGGTATATTGAAAAAAACTACATTGATTCTATGGTTTCTACGTATGTGGTATATACTACAACAGTTATTCAATAGTCTTGATGTAAGTGAAAATTGTGGATATTGACCTTGCTGCTTGACAGCTTAGTAGATATCCAATTCGATGAATAATCGGTAAAAACATATTATGTCAGTTAAATAGATTTAATGTATGTACCTAATAGGTTCACCATGGTCGTTTTTTTTTTTCGAAGAAAATTCGAAATTATATCCAAAGGTATATACCAAGGCCATCTTTTTTTAGCCAAAAAAGCTTACTTAGAGGTGAATAAATTCACGAAACAACTTCGAGCTAAGTTTTTAACTTGGTAATATATATATATATATATATATATATATATAGGAAGTCTGCAGGTCGATTTTCGCGTGGAAGAGTGCTCAATACGTTGAAGTAGAGCAGAATAAATATTATGAGAGGAAAAAACGACGCAACTACATATCCCGACAAGCCTGTTTCGTGAATCGCTTCACTCTTCAGGGGATTAATTAAACCCCTGAAGAGTGAAGCGATTCACGAAACAGGCTTGTCGGGATATGTAGTTGCGTCGTTTTTTCCTCTCATAATATATATATAGGAAGTCTGCAAGTCGATCGTGAACCGCTTCACTCTTCAGGGGTTTAAATATATATATTATATAAATATATATATTATATATATATATATATATTATATAAATATACATTATATATATATATATATATATATATATATATATATGACAGGTGTCAATATCAATGGTAACGAAACTGTTGAACCCAATCGAGCTTCACAATGGGAAATCTTTCACCATATTAAAGTTCACAAGGCAACCAGGCGGACAATCAGACATGGTTTGATCCTACTTTGGTGAAAGATTTAATGAATGTAATCGAGAACTTACAATTCATAGACCCAACGTTTCGACACTCATGTCTAGTGCCTTCTTCAGAGTTGATCTAATCACTGCAAGAAGAGGTCCTTTTATATTCTCACTAATTAGTTGCCCTTTTTTCGGACGAGGTCAGATAGGCATCAGGTATTAAGCCGCCATCATCGCGATTTAAGGGAGCGCGGACAGGCTTCCAAATAAAGGTGCTATTGGTAATGTCGATTAGTGGTGATTTATCAATTTTCACCACTAATCGACGCTACCAATTAGTGAGCATATAAAAGGTCCTCTTCGTTGTTGCAGCGATTAGATCACCCCTAATGAGGGCATTAGACAGGAGTGTCGAAAGGTTGGTTCTATGAATTGTAACTTCTCGAGTACATATATTAAATCCTTAAACCAGGGTAGCATCAAACCATGTCTTACACCATATTGTTAGACCATGTTGCTGTGCTCCTCAGATAGGTTGATTTAACAAACTTTAAGTGAAAACGAGTATTCTTTGAACATAAAAATTAGCTTGAAGGCAAGGGAGAACAAAACGAATAAACCAAAAAGTTATATTTGATCACAAGTTACTAAAATACTTACAGATATTTCAAATTGATGAACTTGACAAATGTGCCTTCTGGTATATTGGTAGCGTTGTCATCTACGACAGTACTAAAAAAGAATAACCTTTGGTCAAAGTGATATAGTTTGTTAGGAAACTCGAATAAACCTCACTTCTACTTGAGCCTAATATCTATGTCGTCATTAGGCATTTTTCTAATTTTTCTTCATTTAATAAGTATTATTAAGTATGTTATGCTATTACATGATTATTCGTCTTCTCGGATAAGACGTTAAGCCGGAGGTCCCGTCTCTTGCAGGGTTTGGGGTAGGAGACGTTAATTTCCCACGCACGAGATTACTGTGTGATGGATGTCCTCCCCTGGGTTGGGTTGGGTGGGTTTGTAACTTGTAAGGCGCATCTGAATATATTCATATAGATATTTGCGCCGAATAAGTATTATTAAGTATCTTATTTTTGGTTCTATATTTCAGTGAGTACCGCCATTGTTCTTGGACGACGAATGTTCGTGTACCAGTATCAAGTTTGCTTTTTGTTTCCACCAAACAGAGACTAGTTTTAGTTGGGCTTCAGGTAACCCAGCACAGAACAATTAAGTAGTTCTTGTTGCAAAGTGCCCAACTGAAGAATTGAGCAAATTTAACTCGATAATGCTGCAGGAGAGTGAAATTCTTTCAGCATTTTTCATGCTGCAGGAGAGTGAAAGTTTTTAGTTTTTTCAGCATTAGCAATGATCACTGACATAAAAATATCTCGCATCTTTCCTCTTCAATTCAGTGGGGACACCAAATTCTTCACTGACGTACTTAGGAACATTTTCAAAGACGATTTCAAGCTATAACAAAGAAGACGGAAAGAGAAGAAGAAAGAAAGAATGTAAAATAATGAGTCATAGCTATTTACGTACAGAGCGACGATTTCCTCCGGCTTCTTTATGGAATGGTTTAAGTCGTTCTTTACGTCGTCTGTATGGCAAATGACCGTCACGTTATAACTTAAATAAGATGAACAACGACAGACTGGCGTGACACACATCTCTGTGACAGATGTTGTGAAAGAAGGGGACAAAAAGATGGCCACAAACAGAAGTACGAAGATTTGCTTCACCATGCACCTGTTGGGAGGGAAACAAGTTGACGCCAAGAGCCTTTTTAGGAAACATGGAAAGAAATCAGATCTTCGATACTTTAAAGAGACCTCAAAGGGGTCTTCACTGACCCTTTAAACATCTAGATGGCGATAACTTTGTCTAAATGGTTTGAGGTGACCAGGAGCATTGACATTTTTTCTTTTAAATAACCAGTGCGAATCTAGAAAATCTCCCACCCTCCCTCTCTCCCATTTGGAATTACAGGTTTTTTCCCTTTGGAAACCTAAACTTCCAATACTAGTCTGTCCTTTTATACTTCTTATTGGGGCGAGATAAGGTGTAATAAAGGCAAAGAAACAAGCACATTCTAGTTTTTCTCAACATACTTAACGTTTTGATAAGATGTCAGTAACAAGTAAGGAGATGCGTGGCGTAAGGTTTAGGGCACTCCATACTCTAAATGGGAAAGGATTAGTTGGAGCGATGGCGAAGTTGCTGTGTTGTGATCTTTACAAGGAATTTCCCTCTAAAATTGCCCATCCGCAAATGAATATAAACATGCATCAGCAAACACATAGAGGGAACCTGATAAAATACGTAGAGGGGTGGCGAGGGATATTATACCTGTAATAGATCATCGTTCTATTCAGAGCAGGAAATGTTTTTCGGAACGCAATTTGGAAACTAAGTCTTTTTGCATTCCATGAGGTCTCAAATTGACACTAAAGTTATGGGGCACTTTCTAAAGGTCCGATCATAGAAGATACTATCTATTTGTTTAAAAATATGCTTTACAAACCTGTTTGTATGATTCCCAAACGATTCCAATTCAGTTAAGCAATATTCGACGACAGTTAGCACACAAGTATAGGAATGTTACCAACGGGGTTGAATTCCAGGGCGTATCATGACCACACGCCTGTAAAAGAAGCAGAGGTGAATGTTCTATAAGTTTCAGCCATGATTAACCTCATTGTAAATATTCATAGATATTTGGTTCAAATTCCACAAATATGTGATGCAACGAGCACTAGCGAACTATTCGTAAATACTGATTATCCACAGACAACACCTTCCACAGACATCCATCTTTCCCTCTGCGGCAACAAGAAGGCAACCCAATGTAAGTAAATAAAGATTTGTAACTGTGGTTCATCTGCTGATGTGAATTTGTCTTTCCGCATTTTTTTTCTCCGGCTAGTGGTTGGTTGTCTGTTTATCCGTCCGGCTTACCCTCTCTTTGCCTGTCTGAAGGGATTACGTTTCTAAAGAAGCTGTAGTACTTCGTCGGTAGGGGGATATAACATAATAATTTGGTTTTGTCAAAATAGTTGATTTTAAAAAAGTTTCTAAAGCTGAAGTTTCGAGCATTAGCCTGTCGCCATTCGCCCTGACGAAAGGCTAACGTTCGAAACGTCAGCTCCAGTAATTCTTTACGGCGGCCAATTTACATTATCAAATCATTTTCTTGTTTAACAAAGTTCTGGCGTCTCTTCTTGTCGTCAGGGACGACCAGGCTTGATGACTAAAACAACATCATGTTAGCTATGGGAAATTTAAATGTCGTGTTGTGTGATAGTGAAACCGATCTTTATCGCCTTCAAATTTAGGATATTGAAAATACAAGTTAGTAATCACTTGTATCCTCTGCATGGAAAGTTCAGCTTTTCAGTTGTCTTTTTCTGATTTACTTTCAGCGAAAGTCTGTTTGAATTAATATGTTTTGCTATTGTGAACAGGGTATTAGTTTCCTTGTTTGGGTACTGAGATCATCTGCGTAAGGCCAGTTCATAGAATGATCTTCGGCTAAAAGGAAGGTCTTCGGTGTCAGGGACTTAGGTTTTTCGGCACAATGAGTAGAAGTAATCAGCAGAGTCAATGGCGATCACACTATAAAATCTTATTCGCATGGAGAAGTGAGACCATACACCACGACCTCGCGCCAAATACCCTTCGCCCTCTCCCCCCTCCCCCCTCCCCTAGGTCGATAGGTATTTACAAAATAGCAGCTGAGTTTTAAAATATATTATCTTTAAACACAAGACAGGATTATATACATAAGTAGAGGGTGTGCTGGACATTTAAAAAACGCTTCTATAACAGAACAAGAAACTCGCAATTAATCAAAACACGCAGCATATTCCTTTATTTGTGTGTTACTTAAAGTTTAACTTTAAAATCTCTACTCGCAACAGAAAACGCAAGAGAGCCGTGCGGCCGACTGCGGGTATTACGGCTTTTTCCAGACCAGCACGCGTTAACTTTTTTGGACACACGTTAGCTTCCATTGTGGCTTTCTATAGGATTGCGATATGCCTTTCAAGGGATATGATTATATTTCCATTACAACTGAACAAGTCAGGCCCCCAATCAACGAAAAACTAAGAAAAACTTCCGTCTGACTAGAAACCCAAAGCGCTAATGGAATATCTATCAAACTGTTGAGCCAGTTTATAAGCAAATACAACTCTTGTCTTTGGTTTAAGAATTGGAGAAAAACAATGTGCAATATTCTCACCATAAAGTATGGAGTCCATTTGAACTGTGGCCGTCAGATGCGAGAGACTAGCGAAATTACAGATCCTACCAGTAATTCAAATCTAGAATAACACTTCTCAAGCATTACGAGTTGTAATATATGTAAATAAAAATGACAACCATATCAAAAAGTCCTGTTAGTAATTCCGGCAGGTGCAAGAACCTTGTTGATATTATCTAAAAAAAACTTGACATCCGAGGGGTCCGAACGGATTAAATTTCCAAATTGCCTAAGATCAAGGGATGTCTTTCGATCGTGTTATGAATAATATTGCGACCAGTTTCTGAGTATGATAAACTAACGAATCTTTATTTCAATTCATTAACAAATTGTAAAGAACGCAAAACGTTCCGGTGTTTAAAGCTAAAATGACATTTCAGTAACACGATAGAAATTTGATTTACATTTTAGAAAAAAGTTGAAACTTCTCTACCATAAAATTAAAAACTGATATATGCGGTAGACCTTGAAAAGGGAGAATATGACGAATAAACTTTCCAATCTCGAAAATTGATGATCAGACTTTGGGCATTTTAGCTAACTACTTCAGCAAGGTAAGGTAAACATGTTGTTATTATTTTCTGCAACAAGTGCAATGCCGCACGATCCTAAATCGTATCGAAAACCCCAATGTTGCTTTTTATTCAAATTTGGGTGCTGTTCTCGAAATCAATCTAACACGCATATTTTATGAAGGAAAACAATATATTATTTACACTCTCTCTTCAAATTCATCTTTTAATTTTGTTCTTGAAATAAGAAATGCATATTTAAAAAATATATTTGAAATTAGCAACGGGCGACATTGATGCCTAACAATTTTCAATTTCATAGGAAAACAAGTCGACACCAAATCTTCTATTTGGCTGCCAGAAACACATCACTAAACAACTTCGAAAAAAAAGGAGAGATAACATCCTAATAATACAAGGGCAAAATATTCCATCGCAAGAAAGGAAAAGACTGGATAAAGTAAAGCAAAACTCGAAATATCAGGAAATCTAGATGGCATAAATTTCAAATCGGAAGCGATTGAGGCCGATAAAGGGGTGACAGATGAGATCAAAAGCTTTCTGCCTACCATTTACCGCTTTGTAAAAATAATTTCTTCTCCCTTAATTCTAAAATGCTAATTTTTCAATTTTGAAACTTAAACCATAACTCCATATTTACTCTCGTATAACTAGTACTCCCAGAGGTCGTGAGGTTAAAATTGTAACTTGTATTTGTAAGCCTGGCATGAGTACGTTTTAAATTTTGTCGTTATATTGGTAATAACAAAAAATAACGATAACAATAATGATAATATTGATAACATACAGTGAATCCAAGACCGGAGACTTTAAACTATTGTACATAAATGAATTCAAAAATTAATACAAAACTAAACAACTTCAGAAAAAAAAGAAAAAAAAAATACATACTTGGCAGGCATTATTGTTGCTACGGTATTACTTATTTTTCAACAGATAAACATTCGCTCCGTCATTTTTAATGACCCTGATGAGTTATTTTTCATATTTTTTTTTCGCTAAATATTTGAGAAGTGTAACATAAACCTTGACGATAATCCTAAAACTGAGTATCAGAGCTCATCTCAGTACGCTCTTTATAGGTGGTGCCGCTTAAGGATACTTGGGCTTTGAAAATCTTTCCTTAGGTGTTAGTACGATTCGCACTTAATGCTTTAGCAAAACTTTCACATTTGAGTAGCTAGATATCCTATGGCGATCAAACAATGGACACAATAAAGTAAACAGTACGTTTCCATAAGCGCTCGCAAAGACGCAACTGTTAAAATGAAATAACAATTCGTGGGTTATTTTTACTGCTTGCGCATATTACAAAAACCTCTTGACACAGCTTTATGTTCATCAAAGGCAATTCATACTATTATCATTCACAATTTAGACGCACCTTCTACTTACAGCATTTTCCTACAATTCTAAAGGGATGAATTTAAAATCGGGGTCTATTTATTTGTTTCACTTGACACAAAGACGTGGCGTGGGAAAAATGTCTGTGTTCAGGGCCAGTTTTTATTTGAGGATGCAAGCACGGTTCGAGAAGAGAGACAAAACATCATTGAACGTTTAAGTAAAAGTTTTAAATCAAAAACATTTTCTTTACCTGTTTTACAACGTTCGAAAAAAGAAAGAAAAGAAAAGCGGCGCAAATATATCATCCCTAGTATGCGTTCATCGCCAATTTTTATTTTAGGATGCAAGCACGCTTCGAGAAGAGCGACAAAACATCATTAAGCTTTTAATTAAAATTTTTAAATCAGAAACCTTTTCTTTACCTGTTTTACAACGTTAAAAAAAGACAAAAAAAAAAGACACAAATTTATCATTCCTAGGGTTTCGTGCATATAGACACCTACTCTTCATGAACCAAAAAATAATGGAATAAAAATTAATTATGGTCGTCTTTGTTTGCTGAGAG